TTTAATATAACATATGTCAGCCTACAACATATAATGAATGAAATAAAAGTGAATAAAGAACATGTAAATAGCTCACATCAAAGGCGACATGTACCAGCTTGTCCCCGATTCATAAATTTCAATGTCGAGCGTGTTGCCGTGTGAAGATCCTCTGAGCACCTAAAAACCATAAGAAGTCTGTACCATGGAAGTGTAAATTTTATAGCTCAAAAACTGTATTTATGTAATACAGTGTGTTGATACTTACGTCAATTGAATATAGGGCTTCTACGCCGAAATCTGCCTGAACCTTCTTCAGAGCGTCATTGAAGTTCCAGTCTTGTTTCCAGTTGCCTAAAAGTTTCCACCCTCCAAGCTCAGAAATTATCTTGTTAAGTAAAGGAGCACCTGAAGGAATAGTTGGTTTTATTGTTAATCTCTACCGCATAAGTATTGCTAATGTAATTAGCCTAATGAAAAATATTGCGGTCGACACTTAGAGCATGTGCTTGTTGACTTTAAAGTCTTAAGTTTGGTAACTGTTTTTATTATGTGTTTTAGTAATGGATTTAAGTGCGAAAGAACAGTGGTGCACGTAAGTAATTACTGTACTGCATGGAATCATGACACGATAAATAAGATAAGGGAAGCCTCAGTTGCTGTGAAAAGAAAGCCTAGTTTTATTTAGTCTTTATTGTTCAGGAGTAAGGAAGTTTTAGTTCGTCTGGGTATTGTAAGAAAGAGCCTCGTGTAGTTGGCCTAAGAAGCCTGGAGCAAGTCTTCGGAAAGAATGAAGAATAGCATGTGTAAATCACCCAAATTTGTAGGCTATTGCTTTAATTGATTAGAGACTGAGCATGCGCATCCTGTCCCGTCAAGTATGGCTTATTGAATCACTACCCTCAAATGCTTAACACACGACACCAAATGCTCTCCGACTACCTCAGTTTTAAAACAAGGGTTGTGCAATTAACATGGGTTACATAGTACACACTATGAAACGCATGTTCCCCACTTTCTGTGATCTCGGCCTGGTGAGGGGATAGTGTGGTCAGACGCGTGAGTCACCTACTGTAATAAGGATACGAGCTCTTGATACTTCGGTTAGAAATCTACATATCAACCATAAAGTCCACGATGCACCGTGGGTTAAAATAAATGACTGACAGAAGCCGGAGCATCTATATAAAACAACATCAGTGAGAAAATACTCAATTTTTTATGCAATGGAGGCCACCGACTTGACGGAAATCCTTCGATCATATTGTTGACATGAATGAAATTCGTTTTTTTTTTAAATATATGTGACTTTATAGCGGCCGTAAAAATATTAAAAAATAAAAACTTAAACCTAAGTATAATTCCAAAATTTAATATTTTAGAATCAATGTTATAAAGTTGCCCATATCCAGAGAACTTGAAAATATTTTTTTTTTGAGTTTAAGGCGACATTTCGATTTGTTTTTATGAAGCCTGAATTATAACCGGATGTTTCACTTTCGTAAGACAAACATTGATTGGCTGTACAGGATCTCCGCGATCGATAGTTATTTATTTACAAAACTTTGACGATAAAGTTTTCAAATAACATAATACTATTTTTAACCAGATAAACTAGTTCTGCTAATTTTGTTTATATCTGCCTATCGATTGGCAGGATGTCTTGTTTATATCGCCATTACCATGTTCAAATTAAATTGCTTTTGCCTTTTTTTTACTTTCTCGAATGCAGATTATAGAGGAAGTATTGTAATCGTGCACAAAAATCACAGGAAAATTAGGACAATTTTCATCGTTTTACACATCAGTACAGAGTATAGGAGTCTTATTTTAATCGGGCAAAAATTATATAAATGCAGATTTATCAAATTTTCGGCGTTTTATGAGTAATCGAGTCGGAAATACGGGCTTTGCAATTCTGGTCGTAAGTTTGTGTGTGTATGTACGTGTGTGTGTGTGTGTGTGTGTGTGTGTGTGTGTGTGTGTGTGTGTGTTAACACGATAACTTGAGTACCGTTACAGCTAAGTTGATGAAATTTCATATATAAGGACTAACAAATGTGTAGTTCTGAATCAAATTTTTAGCGATTTCCGATACACGGAAGTGGAACTCATTCTACTTTTTGTTTTTCAAAAGCCTATAACTTGAGTACTGTTTCAGATAGTTAAACTGAATTTTTCATATAAGCAAAATATCTAATACTCTGCTTTTTTTTAAATTTTGAGTAATTTCTGTCGACCGGAAGTAGTAGTTTACGCTATTTCAAGTTTTTCAAAAAACACAAATGAATTTTTAAAGTACTAATAATATTCAGCACTATTATACACATATTGTTTGCTGTTCACTTGGTGCGCAATTCTTGTTTTTACGAGATTCTATTCTATTTTTAGCAGTTTAAATAATTAAAATTTATTAAAATTCATGTCAACATCCCTAGTTGCAATCCCTAGCAGAGTTGTATAAGAATATTTGAGAAAGTTTATGAGAGATCACTCCCGCTTTATTTAAATAGTGTTCAATAACCGAAAATACTGAAACGTCAAATACATTTACTCTTTTTTTAGTCTTAAAGAACCCATCACTCAGTATTTTATAATTATATTAATTTTAATTTCATCGTGCATGAATTTTGGGTCCATTAACGCCCGCAGACTTGTATTGATAGCTCGAATCAGAATAGAAATCAAGCGGGAGTGAACTCCCCTTAAGTTTACAAGCATATTGATATATAACAGGGCTACAGAAATATTTTTATTATTTTTATGTAAAAATTGCAAAAAATTTAAAAATGTTCTTTAAATTATTTTTTTTTGCCGATTACAATACGTCCTCTTTTCTCTGTATAATATAATCAAAACTCATTTAAGCTTTTGAGCAATGATCATAGAAACATCAACAACCGATGCATTTTTTATAAATAAATTACTGTCTGTAACGATACACATATAGAACAATATCTTTTTTTTTCTTACAACTATCAATTGCATTTTCAGTATATAATGTGGAGAAAAAAAGTAAGTAAAATTGTTGACATATTATGAATTATATACTATTGTCCTTTCAATAACTAATTTATATAACATACCGATGTAACAAAACGATCCAATTAATAAAGTAAGATTATCCAGCTTTTTACTTTGTATTAAATTTATTAATTACATTTTACATCCAGTTCGCGATTTTTTTGGAGATACCTAGCGCGAACCTTAGCGCTAGGCCACGCTGAACCCAAAATTTGTGAGTTTAAATTCTACCCCGACCTTGAACCTACCTCTCTTCGTGTCCCGATCAAACATATTGTTACAAGCCTGAAAATATTGTTTCAGTTTTCTTTCATACGAGGCATCGTGAGCATCTGATATAGGGCTATCCAACAGGTCCATCATGCGATCTTCGTTCTGTCGTGTTAAATCTTCCAGAACACTTCTGGCATAAGGGGGACTTAATCTCGATAATGCAGATCTCCATCTATATCTCATGATTTTCCTTGAATCTGTTCAAAGAACATCATACAAATTAACACACACATTATATATTTTTTTAATCAAGCTCAAAAAATAAATTAAAATTTAAAAAACAAACATCTTGAAAACTGTATTTCCAAAAAATATATTTTAACACAGATGGAAAGTTGTTTTAGAAATCAATGCATTCATATGTATTGCGATAATACAAATAATCTTCAACGAACATCGTTTTGTTCTTAATGTTGTATCAATTAGAGATTCAATACAATACTTCCAGCTGCTTTATTCTCTAGACGTTAAATAGTAAAGAGCCACAATATTCTATGAGCAGGAGAACGCACGATTACTAGCTCAAATGTATAGAGTCCAGGAATTGTAGGAATTCCTCATATTAAACCATCGCTACAGTACAAGACATTGAGCTGACAACACTACCTTCACATCAGCCGATGATAGAGAAACTTATAAACTCTAAGTTTTCTACTTTTTTGGACAAATAGTCTAAATATATTATTTAGTTTCTGTACCATACCAGAGATGTTTGTAGTACTGCCCAAGGTAAATTGCCCTTCTTTTTACAAAGTATATAGGAACAATTGTAATCGTGCTAAATAATTAACATATATTTTAACCGTTTTCGCCGTGTTACACATTCATAATTTATACGCAACATAAAAGCAGGCATTACACTAGTTCCAAGAAATCTAAACATAGATTTTGACAAAGTTTGATGCTTTACACCCTTCCGAAATGGTAAAATTTAGCTATTTTCTTTGTGTCTGTGTGTGTCTGTAAACATGATAACTTTAATACCGTCTCTGTTACGTTGAGAAAATTGTATACATTAGTATTGTATCGAAAGTGTAGTTCCGTATCAAATTTTGAGCGATTTCCAGGAACCAAAAGTGGTGTATACTCTATTTCCGGGTTCTTAAAGGCAAATAGCTAGTGTTTAACAAAAACGGAATTTCATATATTATGCATAGTAAATTGCATGCGCAAAAATCTTTACACTTTTTAACGATTTCGGGTAATCGGGTGTGATACATTACTTTCTGTAAGGTGAAAACTTTATCTTGAGTACTGTTTCAGTTAGTTTAAAGAAACTTCATATATGAATTAATAGAAGAAAGAATGATTATACAAGAAAGTTTAGGGTAGATTACTCCCACTTTATTTTTCCCGCTGCTGATAATAATAATTTATTTGACAATGACGGTGTTCGTTGAAGTCAAAGAATTTAAATAACCGCAAACCTCACCTCTATCCAGGTAAACCGGTGCCACATTCTTGTAGTTTCCACAAGCGTACTCAAAGAAGTTCTCACACGGGTCAACACTTTTGTTCCGTAGTTCCATGGCCCTGGTGGCCGTCTCCATACAGCCGATATCAACACACATCCGCTCGTCTGGTTAAGATGACATACATTTTAATATTTTTTAAACAATGTACCAAACTATGAATGATTATAGGCTACAGAACTGTTGAGTAAAACTATTTTCAGAAAGAAAAATATAAAATTTAAGAGAAAAAAGTGAATCCAGCCTTCCTACCTAGGTAAGCTTGACTTGTTGAAGCCCCTAACTCGTTGCTGACTTTGTTAAACAAACCGGACAATATAAAGCAGATCAACAAGAGCAAAAGGGCGATCACCCCGAGAATAATCTCCCTTAGACCAAACTTCCATTTCCTTATGTGAATGAATCCAATGATGGGCTCCTTGTCATACATTTCCAATATATCTGCCATTTTCTAATATATGAGGATTTTTTTATATCTGAAGTGTTGAATGGCTGAAATTGATAAAATGATTACAATAATTGAAATAAATATATACTAGCACAGGTTCCATCGCTTTATGTGAATGAATTTAATGATGGGCTCCTTGTCGTTCAGATCATAACTGCTGGCCATTCTAGAAATGTGCATAATTTAAATACTTTGCAAATAGTATTATGGCATTATATGTGTTATCTATATAATTAGAATTTAGATACGAGGATGCTTGGGTAAGAATTAAAAAGGAGTGTGTAACCTTTATAATTTTACATTTTCTAACAATAATTTCTATTTTCAAGTTTTTTACTTGAAACGGAAAGTGTTAGTTCTTAGTAGTTAAGTCATACTTTACATCTACGTTATTTATAGTTTTAAATCGCAACATTTTTTAAAGACTTGAATAATTCTAATCTAATCATTTATAAAGTTTGCATCAAAAGAAGAATAAGTCCGAAGTCATCTTTATTACAATTTACCTAAAAAATAGTTTTATAATTAAAATATAAAACAAAATATCTAACCTGCAGAGAAACTAAAGTGTAAAAAAAAATTTAAATAAAAATTGTATCACATACGCGATGAGATGCCAACTATAACTTTATGCACTTTTGACCATCTACAGATTGGTTTTGCTTTAAGTGCTTAACCGGATAATATTAGAACAGTTCTTTGTATCTCAGAAGACCAACCTAGAGGCGAGGTAGTCTGGAGGTCAAGAGGCGTATTTAGGGCAGATAACATGTCAAATAAAAACATGCTAAATTTGCACTGGGTCAACATGTCCTCTGACCAAAGTAAACCAAGATTTTCCACAGCGTACACGCAGAACTGAAATATCATAGCGTTTATGTATTAGTGGTACTTCTGATTACTGTCTGGTAAAGTCTAGTTCACTTAAAAGTTCGAACAACACTACTTTTTAAAATCGCAAACCTCAAAGTCGACAATCTGATAGATATTTAAATAAATCATGTAAACTAGCTACATAGTTCGCTATTTTACTACATTGGTGGATTTTTTTTTAATGTGACTTATCTCACATAAATTTAGAGAGATCATGTAGACCACGGGTTCCCAACCTGGGGGTCGCGACCCCCCTGGGGGTCGCGAAGGTCTTTCTGGGGGGTCGCCAACTGGTATACTAAACCTTAGTAATTTGAAACAAAACATAAATATTTAGAAGAATTTTTGAAATTCGGCTTCATTAACATCACTGGAAATGTAATAGAGAAGAAACACAGCGCACTGTACAAAGTTGTTCTCAGTCACGAATCTAAGATTCAAAACTAAAACGTCATTTGAGACGAGTCATTCGGAACACACCAAAAAATATATGGAGTTCTTTCGTCGGTAATAAGCTAGTTGCAAACGCCAGAGACTTGATCGAACAAGAAGTTTTCACCAGCATTAGTGCAAGCATCAAATGAAGTCGCGATAGAAAATGCCAAGCAAAAAAAAACAAAAAAAAAAAAACAATAGGAGAAAATCCCATCAAACGCTACATGTACGTAAATGTTAAATAACATTTTTATTGAAATTAAGCTTTCACCATTGTTTGCTTTTCAAGATGATAAATCAACAGACGTGAGTTCGTGTTCGCAGTTGCTGGTCTGTGTCTATATTCACGCGGATGATAGCAAAGATAAAAGAGTTGCTCTTTTGTGAAGATAGCATGGAGAAGATAAATATCTTTTTTGAAACTGGATGATTAAATTGGGTTAGAACGGCTGTGGGGGTTTGTACGGATGGTGCGCCATCTATGTTTAGCTCAAAATCGGGCTTTCAGAAAACAGAAAAGATTTAGCTCCCTAACCACTGCCCTAACCAATCGACATCAAGAGTCCATTACTAGTATAAGTCGTAAATTATAAAAAATCTGGAGCCTTCAAAGAACTGAGCAAAAACATTAATATAGATCACGAGGTTCTGCTCTTCTACACAACAGTACGCTGGCTGTCAAACGAAATGTTGTGAATCGTGTTTTTGAATTGAAATCTGAAATCCAATTGTTCTTGGAAGTGCAAAGGAAACAAGACATTTTGGCATACTTAAAACGAAACGACATAGAGTGGTTGGAGAGAGTATCATACCTAGCAGATGTGTTCGAACATCAAGATAAGATTAACCTGAAGCTTCAGGGAAAATGAACGAATATTATCACTTTCCATGATAATCTCGGGGCATTTTTATCAAAGCTGCAAAATCGGTAAAAAAACAAATCTTGGAAATACTGTAAATTTGAGAAACTCTGCGGTGTGGTAGATGAATCTGATTGTGAGATAATTAAAATTTTGAAAGAAGCGATTTCTGGGCATCTTGAATCTCTTGAAAACGAACTGCATCGCTATTTCTCTGAGCTGAAAAAAGAAGAATCTGCATTTACGCATTACCCATTCTCTTCTTCCCTTGATGTTGCCAGCATTCCCGATGAATTACAAGATGAATTCTTTGATTTGCAGAATGATTCCGTGTAAGATGAAAAACTGTAGACACAATTTTTGTGTAGTATTCACCATTCATACCCAAGCGTAAAATTGATTGACTTTTCGAGAATATATTTATTTTCATTACTATTCTTCGATTAAAAGCAAAATTAAGAAAATTATAATGACATAGGTTGGCGTTAAATTTTTTTTTTTTAAATTAAAAACTTAACCACGAAGATTTAGTGAATAGTATGCAATTTTACTCATGCTATAAAACAGTTATCAAGAGTAGTTCATATTGAAAGTCTACTAGAAAATCTTATTTTAGTGCTTATTAATTTCCATACTAATTTCAGCTTTTTAATTCTATGGGGGTCGCGGGTCACTTAATTTTTATAAAAGGGGGTCGCCACTCGAAAAAGGTTGGGAACCACTGATGTAGACTAACAACAAATAATGATGATATTACTGACGTCTATTGTTCATAAAAAACGGTAGACAATAAAGTAACACTTTTTTATCGTTAAATAACTCAAATTAAATATATATATATATATATATATATATATATATATATATATATATATACCGGGTGACACCATTTAGGGGGGTGACACCAAGACAAAAAAATTACATGATATATAGAATATATGTATTTTGCCAGTTCAATGAATGCTTAACTAGAGTTAAAAGTATTATAAGTACATAATGACAATCCCTACAAAGGAGGGGGGATCACACCATAATAATTTAAACTATAGAGGAAACAATAATACATCCGGCTGTATTAGCAGCCGACTATAGATAAACATCATTAGTATTGAATGTGAACACTTTAAAGCTTTTACTGGGAGGGGTGTCGAACTCAACTGCAAAATTTACACAGGAAAAAGAAAAAGGGGGGAGGGGTGACACCATACGTACCGCGTCGGGTGACACCTGACCTAGCGACGCCACTTCGTCCTTGCGAGCGCGCGCGTGTGTGTATGTGTGTGTGTGTGTTACTCATACCTAGTAGATAGAGTACTTGCAGGTAAGTTTCAGGGAAATGGTATGGCAAAAAAGTTTGCTGTTCACTCTAGTTGTAAAGGGAAAAACAGAGTCAACTCAATAATCGAGTTTTAAATAGCCGAAAACGGACCTAGAATGACAGCGGCCTTGCACAAACTATACATTTTTAGGAGGTTGAACTAGATCGACCACTTGCAGATGAGATTCAAACTTAATATTTGGTCATGAGATAGCCCTGATGCAGTAGGCACCTTCAAATTATATTATATTTTCATAGATATATTATGGTGTTGAAAACTAACCAGCTTGACTTACAGAACTGCTTTACCTATCAAAGGGAGTAACCGCATAAAATAATATAATTTTCATTTTCCACATTCTTTGACTACACTAAAATAAACCGGGAGTGATCTCCCTTAAACTCTTATATAAAACAACAGGGGATGGGAACTCGGGATATAGTTATGATTTTTAATTCATTTTAAATACTTACACTTTTTAAAATAGAATAGAATCTCATAGAAAAAATAATTGCGCACCAAGCGAACGCCGAATAAAGATGTGTATAATAGTGTGGTATATTATTGGTACTTTTTAAATTCACATGCGTTTTTTAAGAAATCAGAAATAGTGAAAATTACTACTTCCGGTCAACGAAAATTACTCAAAATTTGACAGAAGGTAGAGAATTAGATCTTATACATACATGTGAAATTTCATTTATTTATCTGAAATTGTACTCAAGTTATAGGCTTTTGAAAAATTCAAATTAGAAAAAGTTCCACTTCCGGTTATCGGAAATCGCTCAAAAGTTGATACGGATCTACGATTTCATCAACCTAGCTGTAACGGTACTCAAGTTATTGTGTTTACACACACATACAGACACACACAGACACACAGACATACGAACAAGATTGCAACATTTTATTTTTTAGTCTCAGTGAGGTGTAAAACGTCAAGATTTGCAAAAATCTCGATTTTTTTTTTGCACGATTACAAGACTTTCTCTATTCTTCGTATATACGAGAAAGTAAAAACGAAAACATTTGAATAAAAGAAAGATTCTATTAAACTTTATACTAGACGGTTTCCAGATAGCAGAGAAAAATAATTAATAATGACTAACAATAATGATTGCTTTACGGCTGATGTCAACAAAACAAATACGTCACAAATACCATTGGCGACTACTAATGTTCCTAATTTCCTTCTTGAAAATAAACCGGGAATGATCTCCCCTAAACTTTCTCGAATATTCTTATATAAAAAAAACAGGGGGTGGGAACTCGGGATATAGACATGATTTTTAATCCATTTTAAATACTTAAACCTTTTAAAATAGAATAAAATCTCGTAGAAAAAAGAATTGCACACCAGTGAACGCCAAAAAAAAATGTACATAATAGTTAGGAATATTATTAGTATGTTATAAATTTTCATTAGTTTTTTGAGAAATCGGAAATAGCGCAAATTAGTACTTCCTGTCAACGGAAATTACTCAAAATTGACAGCTGGTAGAGAATTAGACCTTTTACTTACATGTGAAATTTCATTTATCTATCTGAAATAGTACTCAAGTTATAGGCTTTTGAAAAATTCAAAGTAGAAAAAGTACCACTTCCGGTTATCTGAAATCGCTCAAAAGTTGATCAGGATCTACGATTTTGATAAAATACTTATATATGAAATTTCATCAACCTAGCTGTAACGGTACTCAAGTTATTTTGTTTACACACCCATACAGACACACACAGACACTTAGACATACGAACAAGATTGCAAAATTATATTTTTCAGTATCAGTGAGGTGTAAAACGTCAAGATTTGCAAAAATCTCAATTTTTTTTTATTTTTTGCACGATACAAGACTTTCTCTATACTTCGTATATACGAGAAAGTAAAAACGAAAACATTTGAATAAAAGAAAGATTCTATTAAACTTTATACTAGACGGTTTCCAGATAGCAGAGAAAAATAATTAATAATGACTAACAATAATGATTGCTTTACGGCTGATGTCAACAAAACAAATACGTCACAAATACCATTGGCGACTACTAATGTTCCTAATTTCCTTCTTAAATATAGTCAAATTTGAGTGTTGTCACCGTCTTATTTCTCTTGTCTACAATTGGGTGTGCGAAATTTTAATACTTCTAAACATTTGTTTAGTTTACCAAAATGTTTAGTGTTTAGTTTTTTTGAGCTCCAAAAAAATTCAATTTAAAAACATTTTGCAAAACATTTTGCCAATGTGTGTGTTTTTAAAAACAGTCATTTTGTTATAGACGTTTTAAAATTAAGAGTAGGTTTCTTACCAAAAGAAACAATACACAATGCTATTAGTAGCAGTATTGTTGTCGTTCTTGTACTGGCTTTCAATCGACCCGATTCCTCGAGATTAGTCACTTTCTTACAGGCTGCGTCATGGGTTGAAACCAGAAAATCAAATTTACATTATTAAGCTGAATCCACTCGTTTCAAATTGGACACGAATCTCCAATCCCAATAACAATCAAATGTTACACAAACATTGAAATAGCTAAATGTTTAATTTTTTTTAAATTTAATAACAAATAATATATTTAGCACTAATCTTTACAAGTGCTTTTACTTATTAAATTGTATTTTTAAACATGTACCTACAAATGTTTCTAAAAACAATCTTTCAGTCTGTATATGCACTAACGAGAAAAAAACCCAATGTATTTTAAGATATAATAATACAAACCCTATTTAAACAACAATAAAAGAAAACAATTGGTCGCTCATAAAATATAACAAAGATTTTATTCTTTTACTACAAAACTTCTGTAAGGCTGCTTGAAAGTTCATAAGCTACAAACAACGACATAGACCTACTTCTACTGTAAAAAAAATTAAACAAGTGATTTTTACAATGATTTTAAACACATTATTTTATTATTAGATAATTTATAAACTAATTTGAAATATAATGTAGCACAAACTATCAATTAGAAAGTAGGTAGTTTAATTTTATATATGCATATTAAATTTGTTCTTTACTATATTGTTAATGCTGGAAAATCATCACCAGATTTTTTACCACTTTGATTTCTTAGGGTGTTTGCTGATCTTTTTTTCTTTTTTAATTGTTTTATATTTTACTTTAGTTTTGCTACGTGATCGGCTAGGTATAGTCTAAGCATTGTATTGGCTGCCAATGTCAGGTTTCTTATTTTTGGATATCACACGCGGTAACTGCTGTACAAATAACATCATTTAATCTTGTAAACATCTAAAACCTTCTAGATTACTGTTCGGTAGGCGGGTTGTTGTTTTTTTCTAATTCTTTGCACAACACTTGAAAAGTTCAAAAAGAATATGTCTTTTCATTTAGTTAAGAAACCTTAAGTGTATTTTGATTTTTCAGTGGGGAAATTTTAGTTTAAAACATAATCCCATTTACTTTTTATTAAACATCTTTTGCAGGTAGTTTAATTAGATTTTTTAACCTCATTCATGCACGTGGAGATTGTATGCCTTGAATTGCGTCTTCGCAATTTTTTTAGTGGAGGATCGAAACACAACTGGCTTAAAGGCTTAATGTATTTCTGCATAAATTGACATCAAATTAACACTTTTGTTCCAGATATTCACTGTAAGCAACTAATCAATGTTTTAACTTGCGATAGACGGACTGACACACTACCTGGCGTATTATTTTAGTGTCGGTTACATCTAGTGGCTTGATATATTCGTCCTAATCTTGAACGTGTCTATCACCCTTTGGAAAATTTGAACATTCTATTGATTATCCTAACACATTATAATGCCGAAGCAATATCAAACAAACATAAACATAATAAAACAACTGACATAAACTATAAGGAATAAAGATACATAAATCTAATAATAGCCGCAATTGCCTTTGTGGTTCATCTTAGCCTCGGGTTTACAATTAAAGGCTTTAGAAAACTCTTTAAGTTGGCCCAGGGCCTTGTTAACCCTGTCGTCATTTTGTATATCAGAAAATCTTAACCAATCAGGAATATCGTCTTTCACGTAACAGAACGTCTGCGCATGCGCTAGTAAAATCATCTGCTCGTTGTTTAATCCAATTCCCGGTAAAACTTTTTCAACAATCCCTCGACTTTTGACCCAATCCTTGTAGCCAATCAGAGCTAGCCGTACGCCATTTATCCAGGCGGTTAAGTCTGCAATGTCCTGTCTGCCGTACCGCCTTACGTCAGTTTTTGTGGCATCATTGCAGAAATCGGTTAAACATGTCCTGACTTTTTCATATGCTGTGACAGAAGCGTCCGACCACCATGTCTCTGAAAGTTGGTGGCCCTGTCTGTCGAAGTCTTTTCCTATGTCTCCAATCATGTGATGGATGGCCCGACCCAAGATGGCGCCGAGGGATCCAAAACTTGCAAAATGGGGTTGCTTGCTGGAGTAGATGGGATACTGAAGAACACCTGGGTTAAATGAGAAAAAATTTGCACATTGCATTCACTTTATTCCTTTCAAAAACAAATGTTACATCTCAACGGAAGAAGAAATACAATTCATAAATTCACAAAACGTTTTAAAACTGGTAAAAGCATGGACGGAGTGGTAGAGACCTGGACTGCTAACCCGTAAGTCTCGAGTTCGAATCCGGGTTCAAGTCAGTAGACCTTGCTTGAGTCATCCCAACTCTGATGGGTACCTAACTCACGTTAGGGAAAGTAAGGCGACTGGGCATAGTGCCACACTATCTCTTCATATGCCGAGGTCACAGGAACAAGTGAACTCCACTTGTCCAGTTTGACTCTTTTGTTTAAAATCATGCTAAACCTCTAGCTATTACGGCTAGGCTTGCTCCAGAAATTTCGAAACTATATTTTCGCGATTGAAACAAATAACGTACTGTACAACTGCTATTAACTCGGTTACACGATTTTTTTACTTTAAAAAAAATCATTGGTGTAACAATAGATTATACAAAACAATACATATTAATATTATTATAAACAATAATTGCAAAGCTTGATTAGTGGTCATGGCTACAGTATTTTTCTAAATTTATTAATTAATTAATTCCATAACTGACCATTACGAAATGCGAATTTCGAATGCACCTAAGCCTAAATCTATTCATAAACATAATATACCTTATGTAAGGAAAAAATCGCCCCCTCCCGTGAATTTTTTTTTCCTTTCTCGTATACGAATTAGGCAATAGAGGAAGTATTCCACATTTTTAGTGCTATGTTACTGCTATGTTTTTTTTTTTTTTTTTTTTTTTTTTAATGCTGTTATTGAATTGTTGTTTTTTTTTGTTTAAATGGCCAATGTGAAAAAAAGGCCTTCGTGCCTACAATTGTTACTGTTTTTTTTTTAATAAATTTGAATTTGAATAAATTTGAATATTGTAAGCGTGTAAAAATAGCGAAATTTTTACAAATCTCGACGTATTACACCTCCCTGAGTTAGAAAAACATAGTTTTGCAATTGTGTCCGAATGACTGCGTGTGTGTATGTAAGTATGTATGTTTGTGTTTGTGTGTCTGTGAACACGATAACTTGAGTGCCGTTACTTGGTTGATGAAATTTCATATATAAGTATTATATCAAATTAATAGTTCTACATCAATTTTTCAACGTTTTCCGATAACCGAAAGAGGAACTTATTCTAATTTTAATTTTTTAATAGCCTATAACTTGAGTACTGTTTCAGACTGATAAATGAAATTTCACATGTAAGTAAACGATCTAATTCTCTGCCCTCTGTCAAATTTTGGGTAATGTTTGTTGACCGAAAGTAGTAATTTACGCTATTTTTGATTTCTCAAATGTGAATTTATAAAGTAGGCCTATCAATTAATATTCCGCGCTATTATACACATATTGTTTGGCGTTCACTTGGTGCGCAATTATTTTTTCTACGCGATTCTTTTTTACTTTAAAAAGTTTAAGTAATTCAAAATGAAAACAAAATCCTGTTTATATCCGAGTTTCCATTCCCAGTATGGTTATATAAGAATATTCGAGAAAGTTTAGGGGAGCTCACTATCGATTTATTTAAATGCCACTTTTAGCACATTTAGAAAATGACACCAAAAAATTGAGAAAATTAAGTTTAATTATTAGATTAGTTTATTTTTTTTTATTTTGGTATACAAACCCGCAGTTTTAAGTTTCGTACCTGCTGAGGCAAACACGATATTTTCTTCAATAAGTGGTCCCAAAGTTGTGATGAAGTCGGAGAACAAAAAATCTTCTGGCCAAAATCGTTGGTTGTTGAATTCATATCTTTTACATCTCACGAGGAAACGATTAATGCTGATCAGGTTGTCAAAATGATCACTAGCGTTGATGGTCAGGTCGCTGTACATCACATCAACCTGAAAAATAAAATCAGAATTTTAAATATGAAAGATTGTGAAATCAGAATTTAATTTACAATATAAAAGATAATGAAATCAGAATTTTAAAATAAAAGACAATAAAATAAAAATTAAAAAATAACTACTGTCTGATGTAATCGTTCTGAGGTATTTGGTCTGATATATGGTGTTTCTATTTTTTGTCTAATGTATTAAGTCGAAGGCATTTTGTCTGAATCGTTTTGTCGGCGGCCTTTTTGTATAACGTATTTTATTTAAGGTGTCTTTTTAGAATAAAGGTTTTTAAATGTTTTTTACGGCCACTCTTAAGGGAAAATTGTCGAAATTGAATTGTATCAATGACAACAGTAATCATGGAAGGATTTTTGTAAATTCGTTGATATTCACTCATAATAAGAACTAAAATAATGTGCGTGCTCCAATCAATTTTACACCACCAATGAGCAAATATCGCATACGTATGTCTGGTTACCAATCCAGTCAGGGTACCCCATTCTGAAGATGGTTTTATCCAGCTTCTCCTTGGCGTATTGTTTGGTTGTTGCATCCATCCACGGCGTCTTCTCTAACTGTGACTGTAAGGCCAGCTTGATGTTGTCTGTGATCTCGTGAACCTGGACAAGGGGTGATTGAATTTTAAAAACTTAATGAAGAGAACCTACGTTTCAATGTGTTATTTTCTAGTCACTATATGAAAATATTTCGGGTCCTTTTGAAGAAAACATATCAACTTCATTTTGCTCTCATTATCCGGTCGCTATATCAAAATATCTCACAGTCCTTTTGTTCTCATAGTGTGGTCACTATTTGAAAATATCTCACCGTCCTTTTGTTCTCCTCATTGAAAAAGTGGTGGACATAGAGTGCACTCATAGCATCTTCAAGTTTATTCTCCGCTGTAAGGATGCAAAAGTATCGTGAATCCAAGTGGACAAGTATGCTGGTTAACTGTTTCCCAAACGATTTGACAGTTTGCATATAATCCCACGACAAACCCAACCTGTAGAACATATTAGGCATTTTTAGTTTACATAAACAATTAGCATTAGCAGTTCCCTTCCCGTGGAATTAATGATGCCTTATTTGTATATCAATAAGTCATTAACTGGTAGACTACATTAAAAAATTAAAATTTAAAATTTAAAATTCCTATTACATACTTACGTCGTGGTCTAGGCTGCTAACCCGAGTCTCGAGTTCAAAACCGGGTTTAAATTAGTGGAACGTCCGTGAGTCAACCCAGCTCTAATCAGTACCTAACTTATTTTAGAGAAAAAGGCGACTAGCCATAGTGCTGACTACACTATCCATTCATATGCCGAGGTCGCTGCAGTAGATAAACTCTACTTCATCCGCCCCATGTGTCTTGGGATGATTTTTTTTTTAATTTAATTAAAAGGCTAGTCTGTAATCTAAGGCAGTTAGCACTGAGCCATTTGTTGTACATAATTACAATACCCATATGGTTCAGCAACGCGCCATATTAGGTAGTTATGCAACATCCGGCGCATATGTTGAGCAGGAAGTGACGTAATCATATCCGAGAGAAAGTCTTTGTTCTGGAACTTGGCCTCCGTAGCACCTGTGATGTTGGTTGTGCCGAAGAAATAGTTCAGTTGTTGGACCCAGTCGATAAGACAATGAGACTCGGCGTTTAGAGCAGTCAAGTTCGTCTAAAAACAATATCAAGTATGAAATATCTTCAATGTTCGAACATAATAAGATTCGAATTAAGAAATAATTTTAGCGGAATTATCTGACTTTAGTGTTAATTGTATATTATGTACATATCTTTTTTTTTAAATTAATTAAATACAAACAAGAAAATTATCTGTATTATAAAATGCAAATTTTGCTAGACGAGACTCTATGGTGAAGGTATCGTTGACAAACTCGTCCAGATCTGACTCTGTTGTCCCGTTGTCCTGGGTGATATTCATAGTAATGGCGTCATTAACTAGAAGGTTACCAACTTTTCTAATAAACGTCTTGTACGCATTCTGGAAACGTTTGTCTAGGTACCTAAAATGGTATGGGAAAAATTAAGTTTCATTATAAACTATCAAGTCTTGTTTCTTGTCATAGCGGAGATAGAATGGATGAAGGTAAAGAAAAATTTTAAGATTCACTATAATCTTTTAAATCTTTTAGGAAATAGAAAGGAATGAAAATCTACAAGTGAAACAACTCACATATCTACACCCATGATCTCACTTGTACCGGATTGAAAAATTTCAACGTCAGCCTTTTCGCTGCTAAAGTAGTCTTTTCGCACCTAAAAAAATCGTTTAATAACTAACACTTTTATGCACCTGAATATTTGTTTTATACTTTATTTCTTTTAGCCATCACAAATAATATATTTATTGTAACGTGGATTGTCTGTAACGAAAATGTGTAGGCACGGAGAGTGTGTGTGTGTGTGTGTAAGTAGCCTCCCTTTGAAAGTGGTGTGCTAGCGGGACAAAGTGTGTGAACCAGGCAGTGTGTGAACGAGGCGGTGTGTGAACGAGGCAATGTGTGAACGAGGCAGTGTGTGAACGAGGAAGTGTGTGAACGAGGAAGTGTGTGAACGAGGAAGTGTGTGAACGAGGCAGTGTGTGAACGAGGCAGTGTGTGAACGAGGAAGTGTGTGAACGAGGAAGTGTGTGAACGAGGCAGTGTGAGAACCAATGTAGTGTGGTGTCAACTTCGTGTACATACTCGCCAGTTTTTCTTCTGGTAATGTGTTCTTGTGATTGATGATAATTATACACCCATGATATAGATTCTCGTTGTGGATTGTGTTTATATACAATTGATACACTTGGCTAAAATGGGCAAAAAATACATAAGAAGCCGAGTGTAACAAATTGTGTGTTTGTCCAGGATTTAAACACACACAACACAAGATTCAAGCTTGGCAAAGAACGTAAAAAATGGCAGAGCATCAGAAAGACAGTAGATGGGGAGCTAAAAATAAAATTAAAACAAATGAAAATTGAGGGACAGAAGGAACTTGAAAGAATGAAAATAGAGAAAGAATTGGAACTGAAGGATAGAGTTGAAGATCAAACAAGTAGTGGCTGAAAACGAAAAATAGGTAGCAAAGGAAAAAAATCGCAGCTACAAAACCAAGTACATGAGAGAGAAATAATAGAAAAAAGCCAAATCAGAAACAGAAGAACTCAAACTAGAAATTGAAACGGCAGAATTTAAAGTGCACATTGACGAAGAGAATATCCCTAATATTGACACACAAATGAATAAAGAGCTCATTAACATAATTTTACAAAGATTTGAAACCAAAGGAGAAAATAGAGATTGAACTTAGCAAAGATTTCAAGGTAATAGAAATTTCAAAGTTTACTAATCAGATTAACTTTATGTTGAATCATACCCTTGTGAGCGAAACAGACAGTATCGTTAGACCATCAGAGAATGGCAGTAATAGTGATAACATAAGACCATCAGAGAAAGGTAGTCAAACAAATAATATAAGACCATCAGAGAAAGGCAGTCAAACAAATAACATAATACCATCAGAAAGTGGCAGTTACATTGATAACATAAGACCATTGGAGAATGCAGTAATCAAGATACAATAAGGCTATCTGATGACAGCGAACAAGTTAGTCAACGAAACAAGTAATACTGGAGAGAACGCAAATATAGCAGAACTCCTACGAAACCTGAAGTCAAAATGTAAAGAAGATGTACTGAAAATTAAAAATAAATTTTACAGAGAGGTGAGGAACTTGACAAATAAATTGATATTTGAATTAGTGTTAATACTGAATCACAATTAAGTTAATAAATATGAAACCAGAAGTAAAAACTACAAAGTAATTAACCAAGTCCAAACTCAAAGAAGTAATGTATCGAGTTGTGGATACAGTGATCCTAAATATAAGAGACCACAGTCTAATAGATATTTTTACTGCGGGAAACCAGGTCACTGCCATGATCAATACGAGTATAGATCGGCAGATCAGAGAAAGAACAATATTGCAAAGAACTTCAAATCAAAATAGACATGACTATAACCAGAACTTTAGAAAAATGCATCTTATTCCGATACAAATAACTAGAGTAATGTAAATGTAAATATGTGTATCAAATTGATTGATATTCCAAGTAGGCAAATTGAGAAAACTACTGATGAAAGTCAGAAACTAAAGAAGAAAGAAATTATGCAGATACCAAAGAAAATAAAGATAAGGGTGAAGAAAAACATGACAGCAACAATATAAATGAAGTGAGATATATTGAAAGAAATCTATTCAATGATGACAGAATGAAAGCTAGAAGCTATTCATAAATTACAAAAGAAAGACGGCGAAGATGTCATAACTTATATAGGGGTTAACAATATACCAGTATCGAGCAATTAAAGGTTCAATTATGTCTAATGAGCACTAAGTAACTAAAGTGTAACATTGTGTAAAAAAAAGTTTGATATTTACTTTAATTGAATATAACGCCTCTATACCGAAATCTGCCTGAACCTTCTTCAGAGCGTCATTGAAGTTCCAGTCTTGTTTCCAGTTGCCTAAAAGTTTCCATCCTCCAAGCTCAGAAATTATCTTAAGTAACGGAGCACCTGAAAAAAATAGTTGGTTGTATTGTTAATCTCTACCACATAATTATTACTGGTGTAAGTTATGGTATACAAGAAAATCGTGGTCCAGCTTTACAGTGTGTGCTTGTTAATGACGGGTCCTGGTCTGTTGTCTGAAATTCTTATTATTCTTAATGGCTTCCTCCGCCCTATTGGCAAAATTGTCGTGTAGAACTTCTTCAGATTTTTGCTAAGTCAAAACCATTTTTAAAAATTATTTTTTCTCCTAATAATGAGCATTCATTTAGTCAATAATTTGTGTTGTTTTTTTTAATTGCGGCTTGCGGCAAATTTTGTAACTTATTTTAAACCACTTCTAAAGCATTGATTTCGTTTTAAATTTTAATATGCATTCATCTTCGGCGACAACGCCAAAATATCTAATTCGTTATTTTATTAGATTTTAAATTGATCATTACAAATTAAATAAGCACAAAAGGAGATAATTATTACATTAGACTATAACGATATTTTGATCAGCAAGCTCTAAACTGTTAATTGGATTTGATGAGTATTAGTCTCACGGGCGTTAAGTTGTGGTAGGTAATTGTCTTTTTAGGTCGCAAGCTACTAATCGGGTTTCAAAGCAAATATTTTAACTCGTATTAGGTTTATACTTAATTTAAAACTATCAACTAAAATAAGGGAAAATAAAACAAATATAAAAACAGTTATACGATAAGCTTTTAATTGCATTGAATATAATAACATAAAACACATTTGTTTTCGTTAATAAAATCTTTGGTGGCTAACTTGATCTATAATATGTATTACAGAAATGCATGATTATTTTATTTTCTTATTTTCCGTGAAGCCTCCAGCCTATTATTACAGAGTTTTTTTTTATGTTTGTTTAAATGAATACCCAACTGGTTAGCAAGCGCGCGCTGCATCTCTACCTCGCTGTCGCATTTATCTTGTTTAATTTGACCCTGACCTTTAACCTACCTCTCTTCGTGTCCCGATCAAACATATTGTTACAAGCCTGAAAATATTGTTTCAGTTTTCTTTCATACGAGGCATCGTGAGCATCTGATATAGGGCTGTCCAATAGGTCCATCATGCGATCTTCGTTCTGTCGTGTTAAATCTTCCAGAACACTTCTGGCATAAGGGAATCTAATCCTATTCTCCACAAACGGTACCCACCTCCTATATCTAAGAAGTTTCATTGAATCTATAGAGAAAAAAATAATATTAATCCATACTTTAATGTATTGAACTAAACAAAAATTTCCATTTAGGTAAATAATAATTTTAATCATGCGATAGAAACAAAAATTAGTTCATTTTTTGTTGAGGTCATAGAATTTAAATAACCGCAAACCTCACCTCTATCCAGGTAAACCGGTGCCACATTCTGGTAGTTGCCACAAGCGTACTCATAGAAGTTCTCACACGGGTCAACACTTTTGCTCCGTAGTTCCATGGCCCTGGTGGCCGTCTCCATACAGCCGATATCAACACACATACGCTCGTCTGGTTAAGATGATATAAACTTTAATATTTTTTTTATTTAATGTGCCAAACTATGAATGATTATAGGCTACAGAAATGTATAATAAAATTTTCACCAGAAAGCAAAATATAAAATTCGAGGAAAAAAAAATGAAGCCAGCCTCCCTACCTAGGTAAGCTTGACTTGTTGAAGCCACTAACTCGTTGTTGACTTTGTTAAACAAACCGGACAATATAAAGCAGATCAACAAGAGCAAAAGGGCGATCACACCAAGAATAATCTCCCTTAGACCAAACTTCCATTTCTTAATGTTAATGAATCCAATGATGGGCTCCTTGTCATGCATTTCCAATATATCTGCCATTTTCTAATATATGAGGATTTTTTTTTTACATGTGAAGTGTTGAATGGCTGAAATCGATAAAATGATTACAATAATTGAAATAAATATATGTTTGCACAGGTTCCTATTCTTTATGGTTTATTTTTTAATTAGTTTGAGGACAGTTCAAAGCTGAATGAAGAAGGAAAATGCAAAACAAAACTGAACAAGACAAGACTAAGCGTGTAGTGTATGCTATCACATTGGCGTAGTACATGCATACGTCATAATTTAAAACATTTTACTAAATTACAATTAGACTTTCGTTTACTTTTAATTAAGCGAGTATACTATCACAGTATAGATTTCTGGGTCACTTATTCTAAAGTATAAAATATAAACAATTTACAATTTACATCAAAGTCTCCAGATGAAGCGATTACTATTCATATAACAACATAAATCCAGCAGCGTATGCAGTGGCGGAACTAGAAATCAAGGGCTCCCCCGCAAAGAAAAATCTAGGGCCCCCTATATCAGGGGTCGGCAACCTGCGGCTCGCGAGCCGCATGCGGCTCTTTGATATAAAGTGGCGGCTCTCCAGCTCCTTGCACAAATACTAATAATCTTAATAAAAAAAAAATATTTGAAATAAAAAGATGTTAGTGGCTCTTTAAAACCAGGGAAATTTTGAAAAGTGTAACTTTTGGCTCTTCCGCTTCAAAAGGTTGCCGACCCCTGCCCTATATATATATATATATATATATATATATATATATAAATATATATATATATATATATATGATCTATATCCTGAGTAATTTAGTTTACTTCATTGCAATATATAACCATTCTGAGAGAACAAAACAGAAAAAATTTAGTCCAAACTCAATGTAAGTCAGAAAGAACGTCATAAATATGCTGATCAAAAATATATAAAGACGTTAGTTTGATTCGTGAATGGTTTCTCGCGTTATGTTTATTTTTTTCATTTTTGGCTTTTATAATATCAATTTTGAAAACATTGATTTCTATAGCTATACTGTTGTATAGTACGTCTTATTTAAGTAACAATTCAGAGAATCAATTGCTTTTTAATATACATAGTACAAAACTATTTAAATGAGCTTCGTGGGCATCCCTATTTTAAAGAAGGGCAGTAAGTCATGGAAGTAGTGTGAATGTTTACCTACCTTTCAAACTATAGCTCTTGTAGATTTTAAAATATTTTTCTACGCAACAATCTCTGCTATAGTAGACCTGTTTTTTTTTTGTTTTTTTTTTTACAAAACCACTTTCAAGATGCATGAAAACATAATTTTTGAAAAAAAAAAATGCATTGTTTTTTGGTCGGAACTGGGCCCCTAAACGTCCTGGGTCCCCCCGCATTGCGGGGTCTGGCGGTATGGTAGTTCCGCCCCTGAGCGTATGATAAACTATACTCACTACCAACCTATGGCGTAACAACCATGCAACCAGGTTGGACTGAGTCCACGGGCCACGAGGTACAGGGCCACCGAGTTGTTAAGGGAAATAAAATTGAGCCATTGAAACAACTGACGCTGATTGAATTTTTTAAATTACTAGTATTTTAAAAGAGATATTCGATCTAGTTCATTTTGACAAATCTTTACGTAGAAACTTAGTTTTGCGATCTTGTCCGTCTGTCTCTATGTCTGTCTGTGTGTACATGAACACAATAACTTGAGAACCAATTAAATTAGGTTGACGTAATTTCAAATTATATCAAATATTTAGTTTACTTTTATGGCGATTTACGGTAAACGGAAGTGTTACCTTAGTCTCTTGCTTGTTAATATTTAGTTAGGTAAACAAAGTTTCATATTTAATTTTAAAATCTTGTACTTAGATAACTTTCAATTCTTTTTTTGGGAACTCAGAAAACCGAAAGTGGTACTTAACTCTATTTCCGGTTTCTAAAATACCGATAACATAAGTACAGTTTCAGTTCGGCGAACGAAATGTCGTACATAGGTTTAAAATCGTATTCTCTTGATTTTCGCCATTACTGAGTTAATTTCGGTGACCAAAAATAGTACTTTACGCTAATTCTGATTTCTCAACAACAACAAAAATTTCAAACATTTTCAAGCATTGTAACATGTGAATTAATTAGAAGTTGAGGTTGAGTTAAAAAAATTGATCAATGTTTATTCATAAAGTAGCCCACTAATCTTCCACTCTATCATATACACATTGTATATGACATTATTAAAAAAATTTAAAAGGTCGGAAAAACTTAATTCTACTTAAAATTTCACCACATACCCAAAAGATCAACAACGTCCTCTATGTCCACTCAACGACGGGTTTATTTTTTCTAATGCTGAGCTAAATCACTCTTACATGAGATACAATCTCCCACACTTGCACGTGACAATCTACCACAATTACATGAGACGATCTTCCACACTTACATGAGACGATCTTCCACACTTACATGAGACAATCTCCCACACTTACATGAGACAATCCTCCACACTTACATGAGACAATCTTCCACACAACCAGCTCTTGGGCCGAAGTCCTCTGAGGGCGTATACAGGGCAGATAAGCATGTCAGACAGGGGGTCATGCTGACCTATACAACCTTGGCGTTAATGGAATTCAATTATATCTTACGAGCCGACCCGCGGCGTATCTTACGCCGCTATTTAGTTGTTTTATTTTCTACTTTTCAGAAATTCATAATTTATGAATTCGACAGTACCAATGCTGCAACTGAAAATATTTGCTTTAAAACACTACCCCCCCCCCCTTTCCTCAACCCCTACTTTATACCCCCCCCTCCCGTGAAAGCAGCCTCCTCTTAGTTACCTCCTCTAAGTTTAAAATAGTTTCAAACTAAATTATCTGCCCCTAATAGCCGTCACTAAACCCGGCTCTATGATTGTAAACATTTAGAGTGAACCACCGCTCACCAGACCATGTGGGGGTGGGGGGGTGGGGGTGGTAGTGATAGAGAGGAAGAGAGGGGACTGCAAGGCGCGTTTGCAGCTTGTTTTCTAACGTCTCCCAGAAGAGAATTATATATATAGATAGTGTGGTCATTACCCGGGTCATTACACATCCCCGATATCCCCGTCCCCGAGTGTACCGACTCACACCCATAAACCTTGTGAGAATACATGAATACATTATACCTAATCATTTCAATTTGTATACACATCATCTTATCCCTAGCTCTAACCCAAGCCTATTTGCTATCCACGATTTTAAGTTGCGTAGTCGACACTAAAATAAATAAGGAGTAATATTTTCAAGTTGTTTGTACCATTAGTTTATGAAAAAATATTAAGAATAAATTATCAAAGCATTTAATTTGGTGATTTGTTGTTTTTTTTATCTAATTGTGTTTCTTTTTAAATGACCTTAATGCACTAATGTAAATAAAGTTACGTATAAATAGTACAGTCATTGAGAAAGGAATTTTAATAGTCACCAACAGCTGTAACTTAAAATGTATCTTTCATTCAGTCAGTTCCTGGGGTATATGGTACCCACCCCTCCACATCACTGAATTACTTTGCACACGAACTGAAAAATTCATACATATTTCAGTGTTCACCATTGCAGATTCGTCCCAGTTGGCCTATATCTACGTTCCTCTCGGGCATACAAAAACAAAACAGTCTCAGATTTCTTTGGTTGCGTCAGTGTCTGTTACTTAATTTACATCTGCTAATCTCCAGACAGGGCGTATTTGTACTGAAGTTACAAGCATGCCTGTCATTGGCTGTAATTGGAATTGTACAATAAAGTAGAATTGCTGGTTCGGTCTTAACTAATACGTTGCTGTTTTATACATATCAAGGATTTAATTTTCCCTGTGTTACAGAAATTATAAATTTTGGAACGCTTTGAAATTTTGATACATTACTTTACGTGTGTGTTGATTATTTTTTTCACGTTTAGACAAATTTATCAAAAAATTAATTTTCAATATGGATGACGAATTTCAAACACGCATGACTCTGCCACTGTTTAGCAGTTTCAGCACGATAAGGAGATACACTTTCAGTAAAATGGAAATCATCCTCGGAGTGATCGCCCTTTCCTTGTTCGTTCTATGCATGACTTTGATGGGTCTTCTGGGTACAGCCAATAGTAAATTAGACGTTCAAGGTAAAACTATATTCAAATAAACGACAGAGTGGCAAGTTGAAGCTCATTTTTTTTTGTAAAACATGCATGTCACATTAAACACACACACATATATGCATATATATATATATATATATATATATATATATATATATATATATATATATATCACATACATATATATATATATATATATATATATATATATATATATATATATATATATATATATATATATATATATATATATATATATATATATATATATATGTATATATATATATATATATATATAGCTGCATTCCTTTAAACACATACACACACATATATATGTATGTGATATATATATATATATATATATATATATATATATATATATATATATATATATATATATATATATATATATATATATATATATATATATATATATATATATATATATATATATATATATATCACATACATATATATATGTGTGTGTGTATGTGTTTAAAGGAATGCAGCTATAGATAGGGTAGACCTCTGAGATTTTAAAAAAGGACATTTTTAGAGAGAAAGTAATGTGTCGCCTGCCATTACACCGCTCCACCTATACCAGCTTCCCCCCCCCCCCCCCCCCCTCACCGCCCACCATCTCGCCCGCCCACATTCCGACGTGTTAAAATTGTTTTCTTTTCTACTCTATAAAGTCGAGTATTAAACCGCTGAGTTGATGACTGACACACTACCGAGCGGATTTCTTTAAAGCTCAAAAACTAAGTGTGTGCATTGAAATGTAAGTCATGTCTCTTTGATGCTGGATATTATTTTTGCTAGATGACCACGTGTGTTTTGATATCGGCTGTATGGAGACGGCCACCAGGGCCATGGAACTACGGAACAAAAGTGTTGACCCGTGTGAGAACTTCTATGAGTACGCTTGTGGCAACTACCAGAACGTGGAGCATTTTTATGTCGACGGGCGTAAGCGAGTTTTTATATAGTATCATCTACTTAGTTATTGTCATACATATTTCATCAATAAACTGACAACTTCATAATGCATGTATTTTAACCATTCAGAAATATCATCTTCAAAGCGAAGTGTGCAGTTGGATATGCTGAGACAGAATGAAAATAGAGTCCTTGATCTTTTAGAAAAGCCCATTAAAAAAAACCATGACAGTTCATCTGAACGTAAGGTGAAAGAATTCTTTCGGGCTTGTAACGATATAAATAGCCGCAAGAAAAACAAAGGTAAACTCCACCCACAAAGTTTTACGTTCAATTTAAATGAACAATAATACGAATATTTATTATATATATATATATATATATATATATATATATATATATATATATATATATATATATATATATATATATGATATTTTATTTATAATGGATTCGTTTTGTGATATAAAATAAATTGGAAATTATATTTATTGTGCTTCCTGCATATGGGATAACGAATAACCTTCAAATATGTGTTTTTCTCTGTCTGAAAAGTTGGTTAGAGTTATTTACATTTGTACACATAAGCTATACCCCCCTCCCCTCTTCCCCACCCGCCACAGGAACACCAATAGTGAGGCAGATAATTTCAAAGTTAGGGGGCTGGAAACTTCTGGGAAATTGGAAGCCAGACTGGGATTTTAACGATGCACTGCAGAAGGTTCAAACTGATTTACTGGTTGACCCATTTTATTCCGTTCACGTAAGTTCTTTTAACATGTCTTGTTGATTGGTTTTAAAATATACATTTTTATAAGGCTAGTTAAATGTATCATTGTATATAAACATTTATATAAAAAACAAAGTATTATGATTTACAAAAAAATATTTCATTTATGATAATTTATAAAAATCAAGCACGACTCTTATACATATTATAGGTTTTCAGTTTTGGAATATATGTGTACCCACTTGATGCACTTTACAGAACTTATCATCGGGAAAGTTGGTCTGTATCTGATTCATAGTGATACATTTGTTCGAAAACTTGTAATAGAATAGCTCTTGTACATGTCCACTTTAGACGTCTAAACATTACCTGACTGTTAAACTTCAATAACTTAAATGCAACCGATTATAACAGGTATACATAAACAAATGACATCAAGATATATATATATATATATATATATATATATATATATATATATATATATATATATATATATATATATATTCCAACAACTACAAACGAAAACGATTTATTTCAAACTAGACACGTTGGTAAAGATCTGATGACAATGCAATAAGTTTAATTAGTTTTTAGACTATTAACATACAATTTTCTAGATAAAGAAACCTTTTTGAGCGATTACAAACATTTGGTTAACACGAGTTTTAAATTTGCGATGTGATTTTATTCAAACTAAAACGTATTAATTAAATATTTGGACCTAGATTGATTTTATTCTCAACCCGTTTGTTAACAATATCGATTGTAATTGAGATAAATCTCTTAAACTACTTTTTTAGAAACTAAATTTAAGAAAAATAGTTGTTGTCCAGTGATAATTCTTGAGTGAGATTGGTAAAAGTAAAGTTCCCTTTCAAACCTGACGGTCTATGGGGCAAGTGAAGAGTTCACTTGTTTCTGTAACCTCGGCATATGAAGAGATGGAGATTGGTATGGTTACAAAAAGTCCTTTATACTTCGTGTATGTAAAACGGCAAAATAAGACCGAATTTCATGTGAGTTTTCAGCACGATTAAAATACTTTCTCTATACTCAGCATACAATGAAGTAAAAGGTGGAAAGTAATTTTATAAAAAACTTTTTCATGCACTATTACTTAAAATTGTTGGCATTGGACATATATATTAAAGAACTAAACTTTTTAAAAATTATTTTTAGAAATTTTTATTTCAGTTTTATACAATGCTAAACATATTAAGCATGATTTACTTGCTAAAGATGGACCCTCTTTCTGTAGGGTAAAACACAAAACCTACCGCACAGCCTACGGTATGTTCATTAGAAGAGTGGTCACCCATCTAGTTAACGACGCCATCAGTGCCAACCTGACACAGAAAACCCGTGTACACAACGCTGATGTTGACGAATTTATAGACGATGTTTTCACTATATTCAATGGTTCGGTAGCACCTGAAAAAACTGTCTACCAGCGATTTAAGAAAGTAAGTACTTACAAGTACAAGATATATATATATATATATATATATATATATATATATATATATATATATATATATATATATATATATATATGTGTGGTGTGTGTGTGTGTGTGTGTATATATATATATATATATATATATATATATATATATATATATATATATATATATATATATATATATATATATGTATATATGCATAGGGGAGATAAATAGCTAGACGCGATCACCATAACAGTCTAGTGAGCTGTAGTTCACGAATGTTTACAATCGTAGAGCCGGTCGATCTAGTGAAGGCTTTTAAGGACAGTTAATATAGCTTTAAAATGATTTCAAAGTAAGGGGAGGTAACAAGATCTGTTTGATTTGGTAGCCGTCGTTTGTAAACTGTAACCACGGACGGTTATTTCCGCTAAGGATAGGGATATGAGGATAATTGTCTTTTAAAGGAAATATGTTTAGTTGCAGCACTAGTTGAATTTTATTATGAACTACTAAACAGTAGAAAAATAAAACAAATATTAAAAGCATCATAAAAGCTTTGGTTGCTAAAATATATAAAAGATCTCATAAGATTTCCAAGCCATTGTGAGAGACAGTAAAAGAGTTTTATTTTTTTTATTTTCAGTGCATTTGAAAGCTTGATATTAGAAATGTTTTCTGTATTTTGTTATATTGCTTTTCTGCAAACGGAAAGATAGAAGTAAACATAGAGGATATTTAGGAGAGGCTTCTAAACTGTTATTGATTAAAAATAATAATTAATAAATAGTACGTTCAGTGTATAAAACCAAAATAGGCAGTATTCAAAATTTCCGTGTTTTACCTACCACATTGCACTTTATCAATCCATGCTAATAGTATAATTATTCTTTTCCAACATCAAAACAAACTTATAAAAAGTATATATATATATATATATATATATATATATATATATATATATATATATATATATATATATATATATATATATATATCAAGAAAGAGAGTGAGAGTATGAGTAAAAGAGAAAGAGAGTTAATCTTTTGAAATAGACAAGTATTTGAGGACAAATGTGCGCAAACGTATTTATCTTTATTTTATATTTTTAAAAATAAAGTAGCTGTTTTTGGACGTTATGGTTATCCCTTGACAATTTGAATCTATAAATTCATTGTTGATTGTTTGATTGAGATGTTGTGTCAAAATGTGTGAGCAGCTTGTCAGTATACTATTTTTTCACCAACAGAAACCAATGCAAACGGTTTAAAAAAAGTGTGTTAAATAAATTGTTTATAGTGACATTAATCATGTTTACAATATGAGGCTGTAGAAAATGAAAGCAATATATATATATATATATATATATATATATATATATATATATATATATATATATATATATATATATATATATATATATATATATATATATATTATATTGACAACACCCAGCATTTTGCAAGTCTATTTTATATGTTTTTTTTTTCTTTGTACACAACGGTTGTGTTTTGTTTTAGTCCTTATTTTTTTTAGCTGTGTTTTGAATTATTTTCATATAAAGCGACACGTTTCCGTAATTATACGCTTATCTGACTGTGTATGTTTGTCTGCAATTTAATCTAATTAAGAAACAAAGTATGTTAGCCTGAAGGTGTCGAGTGCGATCTTGGTTCCGGAGTCTGGTGGACCTGCCTGAGTCCACCAGCTGTAATGGGTACCTGAATTAAGTTAGTGAAACAAACGCAGCTGGGCATGGTGCTTACTACATTATCCTCATTGAAACAAATGAACTCTACTTTGTCCGCCCCATGTGTCTTAAGCAGGAACTGGAAAAGATGATGATGATCATGGAGAAATAAACACAGCTTGTTTTAGCTGAATGAACTAAGTCGTTTGTTTCTAAAATACACTTCAAATATGTCTTGAGCCAGCAATGCTCTTATTATATATTATCTAAAATTTCTCTTTTTTACTATTCTGTTTACTATATGTATAAGTATATTTCTAGGTGTCATTAGGAGAGCTAACTAACGTCACTGAGAACCACATTAACTGGGTCAAGCAATTGTCCTACTTTTTCAACAACGACTCGGTTACTAACGAGACCATGGTAACATTTGACAACGAAGCGGAAATCCACTTATTGCGTAACCTGATGACTTCCCTTCCTGTCCAGAACCAAAACAGAATTCTGCATAATTATTTAATTTGGTGCCTTGTAGAAGCCTACAGGTTCGTATCTGTAACAGACTGTACGTAGGGTCAGTGTTTCTTCCAGACTTTTTCTCCGGGGGGGGGGGGGGGCACTTGAAATTTTCGGGGGGGCTGTAGACTTTCTTCGGGGGGGGGGGGGGCGGACACTGTTAAAAGTATATATTTTCTATTTAAATTATATAAATTTCATTTCGTTCGGGGGGGGGGGGGGGGGCGGACACTGTTAAAAGTATATATTTTCTATATACATTATATAAATTTCATTTCGTTCGGGGGGGGGCGGAAAAATTTTTTTCGGGGGGGGGGGCTCGTCCTGGAAGAAACTCTGCGTAGGGTATATAGTATTTATATTGTATTTAGTATGAACTTAGTATGGGAGAGGAACACCCTTGCTTACGGAAGGACTGTTTGAGCGATTGGTCATGTTTTTCCATGCTTTTTGTTGATCTCTCTCACTGTCGTTGGGGAGAGAATAGGGGTATAAGAAGGGGGATTGGAAGATGGACCGGGGTGCCTCGGTAGAAAAATGTAAGCTGTTACTACGTCAGTTCGTTTGTGGATTGTTCCTGTATTATTCCAACTGTGGGTATATATTAGTGCTTGTCTCAACTTCAAGGTGTACAAAAGTGTAATAAAGTTACCAAGTTCAACAAAGAAGTGTTACTCTCACGCTTATATCACGAACCCACAAACCAGTGTTACCAATCATTTAGCACTGTTACAGTATCTTTTAGAAGCAAAATCACCCTTGTGTAGGTTAATGACACATTACTCTTCTTTGTTGTTCATTGCATCATTGAAGAGGATATTCTTCGAGTCATGTAAAACACCTGTAAACACGTTATGCGCCGTATGACATGTTGAATCAAATTAGAGACTTCTTTACTCTCTGTATTTGCTTCCATAGCCAGTGTCCACCAAAGAACAATCTACAAGGTAGTAGTTTCATTTTTGTGTTTCCTCCCCTTAATTTGTTGATACCCCATCTAACAAGCTTCGTCAGTCCGGGGTCCGAACTCGGGAATTTGGAGATAGCAATCATACGCTCTCCTTCCTGAAGCAATCATACGCTCTCCTTCCCGAAGCAATCATACGCTCTCCTTCCCGAAGCAATCATACGCTCTCCTTCCCGAAGCAATCATACGCTCTCCTTCCCGAAGCAATCATACGCTCTCCTTCCCGAAGCAATCATACGCTTTCCTTCCCGACATGTTTCGTAGGATTTAGATTTTTAGCCAGAGCTATTTTCAGAAATATTCCAGCGATATCACACAGAGAACTAATGTATAGTTAACACACACTTTAGTCTTATTTTAGTTAAGAGTTACTTGAAATAGCGACGTCAAGGTAACAAAAGTGTCAAGTAAAATATAACTTTATAAAAACCTCATATTTTATTCTCCATAAAGAAGCTAATTATAGCAATAAACGTGTCGGATACATTCCTTTTTAGCCAATAAAATATGTTGACAATGGTCTTTTATACGTATTAACTGATGAAAAAAAAAAACCACTGCACAATAGTAAGCATAGCCTATAGGTCTAAGGGGTCGTCCATAAATGACGTTACAATCGTAAAGGGGGGGGGGGGGGGGGGGGGGGGCTCCGTGCTTTTGTGACGTGGGTGATGAGGGGGAGGGGGGGGGGATCAGATGGTGTGACGTCATATTTTTGCATTAAAAAAAAAGCAAAGTTAGAAAACGAGTTTTAGCCGTTATTTCGCGTTTCAGAAAACGGTTTTAATAAATTGCAATAGGAATTGATCAAAATAATCTGTGTTGACAGTGTTCTGACACGATTTTGGAAAAAATATCGATGTTTTAAGACAAATGAAAACTGCAATTATGAGAGGGGGGTAGGCTGAGGTGTGACGTCATTTTAGGGGGGGGGGGGTGTCTGGATTTTTGTGACGATGTGTGACAGAGGGGAAGGGGGGGGTGTAAAAATCGTCAAAAAAGTGTGACGTCATTTATGGGTGACCCCTAAAATGTTAATGATGATCTATGTTTCAACAGGAAAGATTTATCAATGGAATATTTTAACGCTGACAGCGAACTGTACGAGCTTGAGACAGACCGACTCGAAGTTTTGAGTTTTCCCAGACTCTGTTTACATTCAGCCTCGTGGGTACTAACCCATGCTGTCAACTTCCTTTTTATCAAACATTATTTTAGCGAGGAACAGAAGAAAGCGGTAGGTAGAACGTTAATTGACTCAAAACTTTCATTGTTATTGCAATAGTTTATTTTTATTATAGTTTGGTACGGCAAGGTATCATTTTTCGATATACCTTTCAAACAAAGTTTACCATATAATAAAGCAACAAAGTGCATATGTAATCTTTTATTTTAGATATAGGTTCCTAATACCTTGTAATACTTAACACTAGAATTCTGTATCACATATCGTTGACAACTTGCAAGGATACATAATCTTAACACTACTCCATAATCTTAATAACTTAGACCTTAATTTAGCACTAACTCTTACACTAACCCTAACCCTTACTTTTTCAAACCATCGCAACAACAATTATAGATAAAAATGCAGCTGTAAGCATGTATGATCAAAATCATAATCTCAGATTTTAAAAATCTAAATCACAATACCCCAAAATATCAATCTAAAATTTTCAAAATCTCTTGGGGAAATTACCCCTTTTAATAATATGGTTATTGTTTACGTTTTTGTTTAGGCTCAGGAAATCGTAAACAATATAAAGCTAGCTTCAATCGCACAAATGGAGAGGGCTCAGTGGATGAGTGCAAAAACAATACAAGAGGTCAAGGGTCAGCTGGAGGCGTTTACTCTCCACGTCGGATACCCGGATTGGATGGGAAATCAAGAAAATGTAATTTCATTTCACTGTTTGCGATTTTAAATTTTTATATTTAACATTTTTAAATATAATTGTCATTACTGTGAATATCTTTTTTTTCTATTTTAAAAATAACATTTTTAATATAATTGTCATTATTCTGAAAATCTTTTCTTTTCGATTATAAATTGTCAAATTTAACATTTTTACTTTCTCGTATTTACGAAGTATAGAGAAAGTCTTGTAATCGTGCAAAAAAAATCAACATTTTTGCAAATCTCGACGTTTTACAGCTACCTGAGCCGGAAATCATAGTTTTGCATATTAAGTCCGTATGTCTGTGTGTGTGTGTATGTGTGTTTGTGCGCGCATGTGTGTGGTGTCTGTAAACACGATAACTTGAGTATCGTTACAGCTAGGTTGATGAAATTTCATATATAAGTTTAATTAAAATAGTAAATCCGTATAAATTTTTGAGCGATTTCCGATAACCGGAAGTGTAATTTTTTTTTACTTTGAATTTTTCAAAAGCCTATAACTTTAGTACTATTTCAGATAGATAAATAAAATTTCAAAAGTAAGTAAAAGATTTAATTCTCTACCTTCTGTCAAATTTTGATTAATTTCTGTTGATCGGAATTAGTAATGAACGCTATTTCCGATTTCTCAAAAATCGCATGTGAATTTAAAAAGTACTAATAATCGTCCGCACCATTATGCACATATTTGGCGTTCACTTGGTGTGCAATAGGTTTTTCTACGAGACTCTATTCTATTTTAAAATGTTTAAGTACTTAAAATGGATTAAAAATCATGTCTACATCCCGAGCTGCCATCCCCTGTTGTTTTATACAAGAATATTCGAGAAAGTTTAGGGGAGATCACTCCCGGTTTATTAAATTTATCATTTTTTAATATCATTATCGTGAAAATCTTTTCTTTTCGGTTTCCAGGACACATTTAGCCACCATAGAATGTACTTTCCACTTCAGTAAGTGGAATATTGCGAGGGTTAGGGTTAAGGCTAGGGTTAAGGTTATGGTTAGGTTTAGGGTTAGGGTTAAGGTTAGGAAAACAGTCAGAATCTTGTTAGTTATTTTTCGACAGTGCGTTTTTACTTCTCCCTCGCCCTTTCCTGTGTTCTTTCCCCTGAGTCGTCCATTTCTGCGCTGTTGCTGTAATTTGATCTGGCCTTATCATTTTCCGAATGCAACTGAAGCCTCTCAAAATTTCCGTTTCTCTAGTAACTTATCATTGGAAATGGTGTTGGGTTAGTGGATGCCTTATGTCCCTTATGTCCCTAGCACCAACATGCACTTAGTATGAAATAAATAAAGTGGCTGAATAGTAGCGGTGATTTTTTCCAGCATTCACTGCATTGGGATGAGCGGTGTTGAACCGCATTCGATTTTTATTTTGTATATATCCTATATAGAGTAAAATTGCACCCTCCCGGGGCCCCGCCCTTTCGAAATTAAAAAAAAAAAGATTTTTATTCCTTCCCCGATGTGTTTTAATCAAATCCTCAACGCGTCATGACGGTCGGATGAGCGGTGTAAAACCGCTATCGACTTTTATTTTTTATAAACCATATATAGAGAAGAATAGATTCGTGCCCTGCCGGGGCGCCCTCCCTGCAAATTTGAAACTTTTTCCACAGAAACCTCCCCAGGAGTATTCTCAACAACTTCCCAAAGTTTCATGGCGATCAGATGAAAGGTGTAGTAATGCATAAAAGACAAACAAACAGACATTCATTGCTTTATATTGCTTTATATATAGAGGTATATATGTGTATATATATATATATATATATATATATATATATATATATATTGCGATTCTTTCAACAAGATTGACGAAATGTACAAATACTTGCGGATCAATGTTAGTGACCACTTTGAAAACTTACTGGAGAGAAACCAGCACTTTATCAGAGTGAGAAGCGCTAATCTACAAAAACGTGAATCATTCGATTGGATAGTTTACGGTGTTTACTCAGCTCAATTTTCCGATTACCTTTACATCACAGCAGGTAATGTTGTTCATCTAAAATATTTGTCGAACATCATATTTAAAAAAAAAAAAAAAAAAAAATTAATCCAAAATGCAATCTGGTTTTAATTTGTTATTTTCAACATTCAACACAATTTGCTATTTCAAGATCCAGCACAATTTGTTATATTCAACAACCAACACAATTTGTTATTTTTAACATCAACACAATTTGTTATTTTCAATATCCAACAAAATTTGTTGTTTTTAACACCCAACACAATTTGGTAATTTCAACATCCAACACTTTCTGTTATTTTCATTATCCAACACAATTTGTTATTTTCAACATACAACACAATTTGTTATCTCAAAATCCAACACAACCGCAGTATAGCGGGACTAAAACGTCTACAAGGACGTACTCGCAAAAAAAAGATAAATACAATATTTGTAAAATTAATATTTTTAATAGGTGGTTTGCAGCCTCCAAGCTTCTCAATGAATCAGCCGTATTTTTATAATTTCGGCTCCATTGGTGTTGCTGCGGCGCTACTACTACGTATGAAAATCATCTTGCACGTTTTCGATGTTGTTCCGGCTTTTCATTGTATCCAAGATCTACACAGTGGAACTTCTATCGATGACAAGTCACTCGCTTATTATTCGACTATTAAAGCTTTTGTGTATTCAAGCAGCTTAAAACTTGCTTTGAATGGTTACCAGAACTGGCTCAAGAATCGAGGTAGTGAAGAGAAAATATTGCCCGGGATGGGTTTAACCAAGGAACAGATATTTTTTTTAGCACACGCACAAGGACAATGCTCTGTGGGGGGAAATGAACTGCACCCGTATCGAAATAACGATGAAGAGGAGCTCAATATGGCTATTGGTCAGCTGGAGGAGTTCTCTAAAGCATTCAACTGCAGGCCAGGCTCAAAGATGAACCACAAGGTCAAATGTAACTACGATTAGCATGACCACACACACAGACTTATATACAGACACACGTCCTCACACCAACTGGATCTGTGTTTTGTAGCTCCAATCACTTTTTCATTATGTTTAATTGTTAATATCGACTTTATTAGCCAATTGAATAATTTACCAAAATGTTTTCAATTAAGAAAGTAGCTTCAATATTCAGAATTATTTTTCATAAAAATCTCAAATGTGTCGGAACAATAATCTTATAGCCACGATAACTTTCGTGAACAAACGCCCCTCCTATAAATAAATTTCCGCGACGAAATCCCATGATTATTAAAACTTCTTTAAAGTTTACAAAAGAACGAAATAAATGTTGTTGTTAATAATAAGATTGGTAGTTCATTTTCCATGTTTATTTGTGCATTTATTATATTATATTATTTTTAAAAATCTTTGCAGTTTTATAAAATAAATACATTTATTTATTTAAACGTACTGTTTTGAAGTTAAATCGGACAAAATATAGAACAATACATAACAGATAAAGAGGAATGACTTATTTGCATTATTCGACATAAAACATATGATCACAGAAAACGTATTAACTCATTAGAACAACTGTGACAACTAGTGCATTATTATTTCATCACATTGTTTAGCGTAAACCTTTAAAATAAAATTATTCCTAGTATTATTACAAATTTTTATTTTAAAAACGTAAAAGATGTGTTTTTGTCAATGTGTGTTTTTTCTTAAATAATTCACAACGTAACATAATTGTGACGGTCCTTAAATTATAATTGGCCTTGTTTGAGTCCAGATCAAGGAAGTAACCTAGAAGGTCAAATAAATAAAGCATAGGTTTATCATCATGTTTGATTGAAAACAAAACTTTTAAAATAAAATAGTATTCACATCCAACTTATTCAGTCCTTCATGAGCAGCAAAAAGATCTGCTCTAGCGACGTCTGCTGGGCCGTGAAATGTTGAAGGTCAAAGGTCGACTTGGCATGTAATGAAAGCCTGAAGATTTCAGACAATCGTGCGGTTTCTGGAATTTGTAGGTGGCAGTAAGATGGTTGGTCGTTGAAAACCTTAGGATGGAGAGAGTTATGACTTCATAAAGAAATTGTAGGTGGGTAGTAAGAAGAATGATCACTGAAAACCTAAGGAAAGACAGTAATGACTGAGTATGCTACTTGTAATGACTAAGAGACGAGAATTTTAATGTCCAATTCTTATAACGATTGGTCTCTTGACGCCTGTGTCTTAACTAATCAATGCCGCAAAGAATGTCCATATTTTAGATGCTTTATTTTAGGCGCTTAACGCTTATGGCTAATTACAGTTGTTTTTTTTTTCAAACATTCCAAAAGCCATTTCGACACTGACTCGAGTCGGCGTGGGCGGGTCGGTCATTGTTGGCTTAACATAAAAGTCCAGGGTTCGAATCTGGGGCAGATGAGGCTCGATAGCTAGAGACAGCAACCCATCTAACAAAAAACTCCAAAATCAAATAACGGTTGCGTTGTAGTTTGTTCTTGATTGGACAAACGTTATGAAAGTAAAGCCAGAAATGAAGGAGGCTGGATTCGGAGTCAACAATTAGATTCTTAATACATAATTTTGTTGGAAAAAATCCATAGCAACATTACAATTAAGAAAGGAGAAGAAGAAAAGGAAAAGAAAAAAATGACTTCAGATGTGAATACCGTCCAGGATTTAGACCAGTCATTGCTATGAAGTAATAGTTTTACTTGTCGCTCTATTCTCAATCTGACTACATTTATACCAGGTATACTATTTGCTATTTTAAAAGAAAAACATTATCATACTTTGTTATAATTTTAGATTATTCCACCACTTAGGTGAGTCTTTACGAATAAATACTTATAAATGTAACAAAACTAATAAGATAGACCACACTCTGTCATATTTTCAACCCTAGCTCTATATAACTGGAACTTCGAACAGACGTATTTCGTCGTGTGGTTACATATCGTATTATTAAAAATTAAATTGACCTTGGTCCCTGGTATGGACGATATCAGGAAATCTACGGCAGGTTTTAAGGAAAAGATGGTCCCGTCCTCCTGGCGTTTGGCGTGGAGGATGACGGTATAGCCCTGGGCGAACTTGTTCTTCAAGTGCTGCGTGCTACCTAGACTTATCAGCCGCCCCTTTTTGAGGATCGCAATTTTGGTACACAGCGCTTCGCATTCCTCCATGCTGAAACACAATAAATATAAATTTTTTTTTGCAATATAATGATGTAAACACAAACAATAATGTGTTTATGGTGGTTTGCTATATTGTATAATGAGACAGGGGTGGCTTAATCTCCTTCATTAACCTTTAAGCCAGAACGATCTATAATCTCAGCTAACCACTACTGTAAATCAACGAAACAATATAACAAACATCAATGTAAACCAAGGAAGTAACACAACATACGTGAATGTAAACCAACACAAAATACATCAATGTAAACCAAGGAAGTAACACAACATACGTGAATGTAAACCAACACAAAATACATCAATGTAAACCAAGGAAGTAACACAACATACTTCAATCTAAACCAACACAACATACACAATGTAAACAAACACAAAATACATCAATGTAAACCAATGAAGTAATACAACATACATCAGTGTAAATCAACACAACATACATAAATGTAAACCAACACAACATACATCAATGTAAACCAATGAAGTAATACAACATACATCAGTGTAAACCAACAAAAGAACACAACATACATTAATGTAAACCAAGGAAACACAACATACATCAATGTAAACCAACAAATGACGCCAACCACATCACTAAACCAACGAAGCACACACAACCCACACCAATGTGAACCAACAAAAACTTACAACCCCCAACCAAGCCATACCACTCCAACTAAAACACTAACGTAGAGTACTCACCTGTGTGAGGTCAGCACCAAGGTTCTCTCCATTGACCTGATCATGTGCAGACATTGCCACAGACTTCTCCTGGAGATGGGATCCATGCCAGCAGTCGGCTCGTCTAGCATTATAAAGTGGGGGTCACCGATTATCGCTATTCCCATCGACAGTTTTCTTTTGTTGCCTCCGCTGACAGAGTATAAATATGTTTTTAGAGCTCCAAACGTCATCTCTATCTTCTTCTTCTTAGTTCTTAATTTTTTTTACTGATGGAAGGGATACCCTTCCACACAGTTAAGGATACGTGTCAACTGGTTATGTGCCATTGAGGCCATTCACTTCGATTTCAGCCTGCTTTTCTTTTTGGATTTGCTTCCATAGCCTTTGTCCAACCAAAGTACAAAGCAGCAGTTGTTTCATTTTGGAGTTTTCTCTCCTAGAAGAGTGGCTGTCTCCAGCTAACGAGTCTCATCTGCATCTCTATCAATACTTGATTTTTTTTTTTTAAATATCCAGTTTTGACAATTTAAAATTGATCAAAAGAACAACATACTTATTTAAGCGGATTTGTAATTAGGCAAAATTATACTATTTTTAGTTTAACATCTATAAAAACAATATCAAAATATTAAAAAAAAATATTCCGAATATTAATTAAAATGTTTATTGTTTAATGCATTTTAAGGTTGTAATGTTGATGTACGTTATGATGTTAGTCTTTCTAAAATTTGAGAATTTAAAGAGATTGGATCTCTAACTCTGTTGATTTGCTACATTGTTATCCCTTATTACTGTTGGTTTTCATTGCGACCACCTTTACAGCAAATTTCTACTGATAACCTACCTGTAAGTAGATGTTGTTTTGTTCTCGTGTGGTCTCAGGGTAATAAAATCGAGGATAATTTCCGTGATTTCAGATAGATACTGCTCTTTAACCCCCCTCAACCTGCCGTACAGGTACAGCGTCTCACATCCGGTCAAACCGTCATGGAGGGCGTTAACCTGGGGGCAGTAACTCATCATAGACTGGACCTGTAACATTAAGGGCAGTAACTCATCATAGACTGGACCTGTAACATTAAGGGCAGTAACTCATCATAAACTGGACCTAACATTAAGGGCAGTAACTCATGAAAACTGGACCTGTAACATTAAGGGCAGTAACTCATCATAAACTGGACCTAACATTAAGGGCAGTAACTCATGAAAACTGGACCTGTAACATTAAGGGCAGTAACTCATCATAGACTGGATATAAAACATTAAGGGCAGTAACTCATCATAGACTGGATATAAAACATTAAGGGCAGTAACTCATCATAGACTGGACCTGTAACATTAAGGGCAATAATTTATCACGGAGTAGACCTGGAAAATTAAGAGCAGTAAATCGTCATGGGCTGGATATAAAACATTAAGAGCAGTAACTCATCATAGACTGGATATAAAACATTAAGGGCAGTAACTCATCATGGACTGGATCAGAAACATTAAGGGCAGTAACTCATCATAGACTGGACCTGTAACATTAAGGGCAGTAACTCATCATAGACTGGACCTAAAACATTAAGGGCAGTAACTCATCATAGACTGGACCTAAAACATTAAGGGCAGTAACTCATCGTGGACTGGACTAGAAATATTAAAAGCTGTAATTTATCAGGGAATAATTTAAAATAATGAAATTCACTACCCTACGAAGATTTTTTAAAAATTATAAAGAAAACTGTAGACTACTATAAGCTATTTACAACTCGGTATGTCGAAAATAATTAGGTCCAAAATTTGCGGCACCTACTATAGAATTTACAGAAAGGTGTATCGTTTTTTTTCCATCAGTTGATACTCTACAAAGAAATACCTGTACACCGAACTTTACATCATAGTCAATACTATGACATATGGCGGAAAAAGACACAATATCATTAACACTATACAATATTAAATGTAAAAGAAATGCAAAATATTCTCTGCAAAAAAAAAAAAATAAAGTGGAAAAACTAAAGGAGATTTTGAGGAGTGGAATTACTGTATCAACAAAAATGTAAAAACTCTTAAACAATCCAACAATGTTTTTTGATGGTGTTCATAAAATTCTGGCAAAATACTACGCAAATTTTTCCATTTTCATTTTTATATATTTTTTAGGATATCTTTTTCTTCATTATCTTTAGTAAATTGTGTACATTAGGCGTACAAAGAAACCCAACTAACTTTTTTGAGATGTTGTTTGATGTTATATCCCCCAACATAAGCTTCTCCGCTCGACAGAGTAATGTCCCCTGTCAAGATTTTGAAGACGGTTGTCTTGCCTGCACCATTCTGTCCCAGCAGCCCTAGACACTCCTTGTCTGGCACCCCAAAGCTTAAGGGCTGGACCGCCGTCTGGGTCGTACAGCAGTTGCAGTAGACTTTCTTCAGGTCGATCAGAAGCAGAGCGTCTAGAATCGAGAAGATTTAGGGTTGGAGCATTGCAGACAATCTGAATCTTTGTTTAGTTAGACACTGTACTCTATGTCGATTGTGTTATGCTGTAAAATCTAGAGTATAATGTACATCATATAAATTGCGTCATGTTATAAAATTTAGATGACGACAGAGTATCAAGATTTATGTAAATAATTTCCTGTTAAAATCTAAAGGTAAAGTAGAGTTGACCTGTTTTTGTGACCTCAGCATATGAAGGGATATTGTGGTCAGACCCATGCTCAGTCGAAATAGGTGTTTTTAAAAGACAAAAACGTCTTAGGTGTGACGTATATTTTGATGTGGAGTACGGTTGTTGTTTTTGTGACGATAAGTGACAGACATGAATGTCATTTTTGGATGCCCCCCGAAACCCACAGTTATCCAAGGATAACGGGTAATCTAGTTGTGTATAAAACGAGACATTCTACCTCACTTCACATTTGTTATCGAAACAATTATGCATAAAATCTCACCCTAGACATAACGCAACTACTAATACTAAACAATACTAAACTTCAGACTGCTGTAAATTTAACTTCGACATTCTAAATTTATGTACGAATATTTTTAATCATTAAAAAAAGATGAGACTTACTTTTTTCAGTTATTTTCATTGTCTAACCGATTCAATACATTTGATATTTAGAATGTTAGGAGATAAACGCTGAACCTTCATTCCGCAAATTTTATCACCCGTAAAATAGTTTAAGGATTCCCAACTATCCTAACGTCAATCAAACTATGAACTATGTGAGTGGTTGTGTGTGGGTGTGGTTGTGGGTGTGTGTGGTTGTGTGTGTGTGTGTGTGGCTGTGTGTGAGTGGTTGTATGTGTGTGTGTGTGGCTGTGTGTGTGAGTGGTTGTGGGTGTGTGTGGTTGTGTGGTTGTGTGTGTGTGTGTGGCTGTGTATGGGAGTGGTTGTGTGTGTGTGGTTGTGAGTGTGTGTGTGTGTGTGTGGTTGTGTGTGTGTGTGTGTGGCTGCTTGTGGAAGTGGTTGTGGGTGTGTGTGGTTGTGTGTGTGTGTGAGTGGCTGTGTGTGTGAGTGGTTGTGTGTGTGTGGCAGTGTGTAGTTACCGCTTGTCAAAAGATCTTCCTTCCTAGTCTCGTGAACCCGCTTGTGCTCATTGATGACGTCAGCATCCTCTTCAACACTCTTCGAGTCGTCTGGTGATTTCTGGCCGCAGGCAAGTTCCTGAACACACAACACACGATACCTTGTAGACAGGTGAAGCAGAGTTAAGGCAATTCATTTTGCTTTGTATGGGTGGGTGTGGCACGTGGTGGGAACGAAGAATATCACTCCCAGCTTCCGCCCTGCACCCAGTTCCATTGTGTCTTAATTTATCAGGCTTTGTTTTTGTTAGCAGCCATTTTGTCGGCAGCCGAATTGTCGAGAAAAAAATTGCTTTAGGCCCATGAGTAAATGTCCAGCTGGTCGCAGACTGTTGTAGGGAGTCGTTTGGTCAAGAATTTTTCGAAGTGGGTCTATGAGCCAAGAGCCGTTTTGTATTTGTCGTGGGTCTATGAGCCAAGAGCCGATTTGTATTTGTCGTGGGTCAATGTCTAGAGCCACTTTTTTCAGAAGAATTTCTTGAGAGACTGATTTTCAGGTCATCTTATCATTTGCAGCTCTGGTGGGGTTTATCTAATTATGCCAGTCTTTCATCTACACAAAGTAAAGATTCCCCTCTAGGCCTATTGATGCATCGGGTAGATGAAGTAGAGTGGGTACCTGGGCATAGTGCTAACCTAACAGCGCTGATGTAAGTTTGACTACCAATATATCGATACAATGGAAGTATTTTTTACAAAAACATTATTCACAGTTATATTATTTCTTCTCAGCGATGAAGCAGATATTTATATTCGTTCCGTTTATACCTGGAATACTATCTGACATGTATATTTTAGGTCATATAGCTTGAGACCTTAATTAGTGTACTTGAGTAATTGGGTGTAACGATATTTTAATTAGTGTACTTGAGTAATTGGGTGTAACGATATTTTAATTAGTGTACTTGAGTAATTGGGTGTAACGATATTTTAATTAGTGTTCTTGAGTAATTGGGTGTAATGATATTTTAATTAGTGTACTTGAGTAATTAGTTATAACGATATTTTAATTAGTGTACTTGATTAATTGGGTGTAACGATATTTTAATTAGTGTACTTGAGTTATTAGGTGTAACTATAGTCTTTAGTAAAGCAGAAAACGTTACTAACCAAATCAATCTGTGAACTTTGAACTCGATCAACATAAGGACTACCCACGACACTGCTGCTTGCCCGAGTAACCTGTAGTACGTTGTCAGCAATTCATAATCCATCGCAGCCATAAAGCTTGTGAAATCGCCTGTGTACACAAACGATTCATGTGTTGTTTTTTTTTTATCCTAAGCTTTTATTTAGTTCACAATAGTCTACAGTTTGTATATGCCTGTTTGTCTTTTGATTTGTGGCAAATTTGCAGCTCAATTTTTGACCAACTAATGCAGTAATTTTGTTCAGACTTTCCAGAAATCTTCATCTTCAAAGACAATAAAATAATATCTAATTTGTAATCTAATAAGATATCAAATTTTAGTGTTTCGTGACTAATCACAAATAGGATCAACCCCCAGCCCCCCTTCCCATCCCTCTGTTTACAGTTTGTTTAGCTACTCACCAGCTTGTGTGTTGACAGACACCATCAGTAAAATGCCAGACAGCGAGTAGTTTGGGGACAGGTAGGCAAACAGTCGGTCCAGATGAGAAACGGTACTGTCAAGTTTCTCTCCCGTAAACTTGAAAATGGTGATCACTAAACTGACGATAATACCTGCAACACAAGGCAGAGATAATGCTGAACACTAAGGGGGTCATCCATAAATGACGTCACGCTTTTTTTGACAATTTTTACCTCCCCCCTCCGTCACACGTCGTCACAAAAAGCCAGACCCACCCCCCTAAAATGACGTCACACCCCAGCCTACAACCCCCCTCAAAATTTTCCGGGTGTGGCGGACACACTGGTAAAAGTATATATTTTCTATATAAATTCCATTTCGTTGGGGGGGTACACTTTCTTCGGGGGGGGGGGGAGGACTGAGTACCCCCGTCCGTCCGCCCCCCCTTCGTCGTCGTCGTCCGTCGTCCCCCCCCCCCCCCCCCCCCCCCCCCCGAAGAGATGCCTGGAAGAAACTCTGTATAGAGCCAACATTTACATAAATTATATAAGCCTATGTATCCAATCACTACATAAATATTACTTTCATATAGCTAATCACTACATCAATCACTTTTATATAGCCAATCGCTACATATGTTATATACTTTTATATAGCTAATCACTACATCAATTAATCACTTTTATATAGCCAATCACTACATAAATTATACACTGTTATATAGCCAATCACTACATCAATTAATCACTTTTATATAGCCAATCACTACACCAATCAATCACTTATATTTATATCTAACCAACTTACCAATGTTGATGTTGACGACAAGAAGGACGACGATTCCTCTAGACGGGGTGGAGAAGATGTTCTGGAGTAGGTAGAGATAAGGAAACGATGCGATACCAAACGCTAGGAACCCAAACAGCAGAACCACCCAGCGGCTGTTGTCGGTGAAAGCCTTGGAGTTGTACGTCAGCATGCACAGAAGGATGATGGTTATGGCTAAAAACACCAAGAAGTCACATACAAACGTGCCGAGCCAGTAGGCGACTGGGTGGACCCCGCTCAACGTTTGGAGATGTTTGGCGCCAGTCTAAAGGTGAAAATAAAACTCTGCCGTTTGTTATTTAAAGTATGGTGTGGTCGGGTAGTAGAGCTTATGACTGATAACCCAAAAGTCTCGAGTTCGAATCACGAGTTGTAATCTGTAGATTTTCCCTGAGTCCACCCAGCTCTGATGGGTACCTGACTCACGTTAGGAAAACCTACGCGACCGGGCAGTGTGCTGACCAAACAATCCCTTAATATACCAAGGTCGTTGAAACATAAACTCTACTTCATCTGCCCCATGCATCTTAGAACGTACTTTGAAATGATGATGGGATGATTTTTTTTGTAAATCAGAAAGAAGACAGAAGACAAACGACCAAATAGGAGACGGAAAACTAAAGACACACAACCGAAGACCAGAGAAAAGACACAGTAATCATAGTTTCTTCCAGACATCTTTCCGAAGAAAGTCCACCGCCCCCCCCCCCCCATCGAACGAGATAGAATTTATATAGTAAACATATACCTTTACTAGTGTCCGCCCCCGCCCCCCCCCCCCCCCCCACCCGGAGAAAAAAGTCTGAAAGAAACGCTGACAGTAATTGAGACGCAAAACTTGAAACAACAGACGGTAAATTTCGACATACAACATGATTGTGTGCTCAGCACTATGCCTTAACGTCCGTCATGTACCCACTAAGGAAATTCTACAGACTTGAGTCCGGGATCCGAACTCGAGACGCCTAGGTTATAAGTCGTGAGCTCTACCTCCCTACCACGCAGTAAAAACAACATACCCTTCAAGATAAATGTCAGGAAAATATGAAAATCTAAGCTCTCGCATACTAATGTTCAATGTTGCTGATAAACTTACCGCACATTAAACACGAATGTTCAACCTAGCTGATAAACTTACCGCACGTTCAACTATTAGACCGTAAATAAAAAAGACGGGCAGGAGCGCCATGGCAAAGAGGACGCCATACAAGGTGCTGATCACATGATTGGCTATGTCCTCTTTAGCGAAATACTGGAGCCCTAGCTGTACCGTGTGGTCCTCGCCCAGAGCGTGCTGTACCTCAGCGTTCAGCATCAGTTGTAGCTGGAAGATGTGTGATGATTGTTATGTAGCCAAAGCTCAAGATTTGGTTTAGATTTTGAATTGAAATTAGATTTAACTTAGATCGGAGGCGTAGCGCCCCTTCCCGGCGCCCGGGGACAAACTTTCAATTTGGCGCCCCTCTCGGGAGCAAACTTTCAATTTTCAATTTGCACCCCCCCCCCACCCATATATTTTTAACATTTATGCAAAACTGCAACTAAAATAAGATTTTAATTTGTTTTTCCAACCCATTTTGGCGCCCGCTAAGGTCGGCGCCCGGGGACATATGTACCCCCCCCCCCCCCGTCGTTACGCCTCTGACTTAGAACAGCCTAGTTGCTAGTCGTAAACAAGAGTAAACAAGAACAGGAGAAATCTAACCACTAGTCCTGGGTTGTGTGTGAGCCTCTCATTGTACAAAACCTCCGTCAGCGTCTCGTCTTTTATATGCACCCCAAAGGCCATTTTGTCAAATTGTTTTTGGCTGTTGGCGTCAGCCCAGTCGCGAACGTAAATTAGAGGGTTTGTCTGGAAAATGTAACCACCAAATATGAAAAAAATCAAATACACACATAGACATCAAATACACGTGTAAACATAAAAATAAATATGTAAATATCAAACATATCAAACACACATGTAAACATGTAAACATCAAATACCAACATTCATCATCTTTTCCCGTTTGTGCCTGAGACAAATTTGGGCAGATGAAGTAGAGTTCATCTGTTTCAATAACCTTTGCTTAAAAGGGGATAACGTGATCAGTACTATGCCAGCCGCCTTTATTTCCCTAACGTGAGTTAGGTCACAGTTGGGTGGACTCAGGGACTTTCTACTGGTTTAAACACGGATTCAAACTCGAGACAGTCGGGTTAACAGTCTAGCTTTCTACGGCGAGGCCTAAATACCAGTTAACATCAAATAAACATGTAGAGATCAAATATAAATGTAAACATCAAAGACACATGTAAAAAGCAAATATACATATAAACATCAAAGACGCGTGTAAAAAGCAAATACACAGATACTCAATATAAATTGTTATTGTGAAGTAACTGAAAGCACTTTGAATATTGGCTGTTTTAACTTTTTTTATTTATTCAAGAGCGGTATCTATGACTTTAGGAGATGTTCTCATTTATTAATGAATGTATGCTAATTTTATACTACAATTTTATACGCTAATTACCGTAGCTAAATATGCCAGCTCTTACATATTCTGGTTCAATAAATTCAGAATTTGGAAGCAGTTTTTTGTACGTGTCCAAGAGATCTTTGGGGGTGTTGGGGGACGTAAAGAAGGGCGTGATCAGGTTGGGCAGACGCTCCGGGTGGTACGTCATGGGCTTGAGCGCCCCCCACGTCGTCTGCATGTCCGAGTACAGACCAAAGGCGACGAAGAAAACGGGCAGTAGAATTAGAATCGAGGAGGACACGACGTTTCTTCGGAACAATATGAACTTTTTAACAACGATGCCGGCTAGTTGCTGAATAAAGATAGTCCATCTCGTGGTACTCTTGCATTCGTTAAAAGTTCTGAAGATTTTATCTGTGAAGATATTTAGCATTTGGTTAATAGGAAACATTCTTGAACACACTTCAAGTAATGAACAAGAATAAATAAAGTTGTAGGTCATAAATTGCAAAATACAAATGAAATAAATGCTTTGTTCATTGTCCAAAAGCTTTAGGTTAGACAACGATAGAAAATGTATTTAAAATGACAAAATCAAATAAAATGTGAAATATAAATCTAAGTATTAAATTGATGACCTAGCTATAAAGAGTTTAATAAAGAATAATGTATTCCCTTAGATCTGCTGTATAAGTGGGCAATTTAAAGGTAAAAGTGTGATTTTATAAAATGTAAAATAGCCTACTCTTTCGTACCAGATTATCAATCGGGTAAAGGCTTCAATTGTATGAGTGTGTAGGGTTTGACAAACGATGATTTTTAGGGTCAGATGCATTGTGTGTGCATGAGTGTGTAATGAGAAGGGTAATGAGCAATTTTAGTCAGGTGAAACGTTGTGTAGGGAAAAGTGAATGAATGTAACTGTTAAACACCGCCCCCACTCCCCCTCCATGGGCATAGAAAGCTAGACAAACTAATACACACAACCTTCAATGCTCCCCACCACATACTGTGTACATGTGCTACGGAGCTGACAGGAGCAGATATTTTGTTACTCTATCTCATTGCCTCAAATCTAGACAGTGTTATACAGCTGACTAGGGCGCTGAATACGATGTTCATTTCGACGGCAAACTTAGATCAGAATACCACCCTCAGTACGACTCTGAATACGATGTTCATTTCGACGCCAAACTTAGATCAGAATACCACCCTCAGTACGACTCCGAATACGATGTTCATTTCGACGGCAAACTTAGATCAAAATACCACCCTCAGTACGACTCCGAATACGATGTTCATTTCGACGGCAAACTTAGATCAGAATACCACCCTTAGTACGACTCTGAATACGATGTTCATTTCGACGGCAAACGTAGATCAGAATACCACCCTTAGTACGACTCTGAATACGATGTTCATTTCGACGGCAAACGTAGATCAGAATACCACCCTTAGTACGACTCTGAATACGACCGTGAACACGGCTCTAACTAAAGCCGGAATCCGGCAGGTAATGGCCTGATCAAAGCCCTTAATTCTAAACACTTCAAAGCTAGTATTATATATCCAAAAATAAGACCAAAATGTGGTTGTAAATTCTGACAAGCTTACGGCGAACATTAAGGATCTAAAATGGCACAAAATATGGTTGTAAATTATGTCATGCTAACGTCGAACATTACGGATCTAAAATGGCACTAAATATGGTTGTAAATTATGTCATGCTAACGTCGAACATTACGGATCTAAAATGGCACTAAATGATGGTTGTAAATTCTGACAAGCTTACGGTGAACATTAAAGGATCTAAAATGGCACTAACTATGGTTGTAAATTCTGACAAGCTAACGTCGAACATTACGGATCTAAAATGGCACTAAATATGGTTGTAAATTCTGACAAGCTTACGGTGAACATTAAAGGATCTAAAATGGCACTAAATATGGTTGTAAATTCTGACAAGCTTACGGTGAACATTACGGATCTAAAATGGCACTAAATATGGTAGTAAATTATGCCAAGCTAACGGTTAACATTAGGATGTAAAATGGCACTAAATATGGTTGTAAATTATGCCAGACAAACGGCAACTAAAACGGACCTGCATATGGATCTGAACACGCATCGACCGGCTGCACGCTAGTACCTGTTGGTTGTGGTTGCGTTACTTTAGGTGGGTCCACAGCCGAGGATTCAAAGCTGCAAGAAAATGTTGCAAAAGCATCAAATCAAAGATCTATGTAGTAAGTAGCATTATGGTCCTTTAGAAGCTTCTGTATAGTATCTATTATTTACCAAACCGAACTGTAGAAGGTAAAGTTTAAGCTGGTGTACCAAACCTAACTCTGCAATATCTTGTCAATATCAGTTCTTTCAATACGATGAAACACTTTGAGGCGTAACAAGGCAAAACAATTATTTGTGCTAATAGTGTGTCTGTCTTTCTGTCCTTACAAGTGACCAAAACAAGACTTTTTTGAGAGTTTAATTAAGTAAGTGCTGAAGCTATTCTTCTTTCTTATTCGTTCTTAGTTTTTAGTGTTGAAGGGATCGAGCCTTATCTGCCATAGGGATCGAACCCGAGACTTTTCGGGTTAGCAACCATGAGCATTACCGACTCGACCACGCTATTAAAATTATTTACCGTTGGAACATATTTAACTGGATTTGGTTATCACAACAGAATGCAGACTATGATTTATAAGTTTAAAACAAAGTTTTGAACGTCAACGACGGAGCTTCGATTGGTTTTTTAATGTAAAACTTCTACTAAATCAGTGAACTATTATAATGTGACGGCTTAGTGTGAAAGTAGATGTTAGACCTAGGATCTTGTTTACACACAATTATTTTGTTTTTGTTGAGACACTACACGTAGCAATGGGGGAGCAGAGTTTCTTCCACGCATTTCTTCGGGGGGGGGGGGGGGGGCAGAGCCCCCACGAAGAAAGTCTACCACCCCACCCCTAAACGAGATGGTAATTATATAGTAAACATATACTTTTACTAGAGTCCGCCCTCCCCCCCGAAAAATGTTGACCGCCGACCCGAAAATAACAAGTGCCCCCCCCCCCCCCCCCCCGAGAAAAAAGTCTGGAAGAAACACTGTAGGGGAGTTGTTCCGATGATTGCTTGTGGTTACTATCGGGAAATTATTGAATGATTGCAAGACAGACTAATACATACACAAACATAAAATAAATTCAAAAACATACTTTATTATTTGTACTAAGCTAGCATAAGTAAATAACAAAAAAAACAAAGCGTGCACTTGCCTTTCATTCTGTCCTGAATCGGTCATTTCGATAACACTAAAAATAAGTAAATATATATATATATATATATATATATATATATATATATATATATATATATATATATATATATATATATATATATATATATATATATATATATATATATATATATATATATATGTTTTGTTTATTTATTTACATACTCATGTAATGTAATACTTATGTATTTACATACTCATGTAATGTAATACTCATGTATTTACATACTCATGTAATGTAATACTCATGTATTTACATACTCATGTAATGTAATACTCATGTAACACTACCTCAGTGAGGATAAGGTGTAATGATCGCCCATGGTATGTGTTACACTCATACAATACACTATCTATGTTTATGTTCTTATGTGTGTCCGTCTATGCGTAGGCATATGTGTACGTTCCTTCACAAATGCATGACGTAGGCAATATCAGTAAGTATGGCGATAGTGTGATACTGATAGTTTATGAGGGGCTGATATTCCTAGTTGGACATGGTTCAATGAACCTTTAATTTAAAAAAAACATAACATACACTGTAGACCTGCCATCCGTAGTATTAACCTCAGCTATATCCCCGGGTGATCTGCCGTCTCCAACACTGTAAAATAAACATCGGTATGGTGTTATAGTGAAGTGACTATTCGATGAATTTGTCTTGCTATCAGTGTTTCTTCTAGACTTTTTTTTCTCCGGGTGGGGGGGGGGGGGATTGGCTTACTAAATTTTCTGGGGGGGGGGGGGGAGAGAAGAGACGCCTGGAATAAACTCTACTTGCTATGAACACATGAAAACATTTTGCCGTATGCAGGTTTGTACTTCGCCACAAAAGTAGCGCGGCAAATAGCTGCGCCAGTTGTGAAATATGTCTTGTGTTTGGTTGATGGCAAATGGGTTAAAATGTATGTCTTATTGTCTCATGTTGCAAACGCAAGGATCCAGCTGGTGTAAAGAGTTGATATACTTTTGCATCATTTTGGTTCTAGCTGAATTCTATGCGACTATGTTCTTGTCCTCTATGTTCTTATCACTGCTTCACTGTTTCGTCCCTCGCCTTCAAACAAACCGTCGTGACAACAGCTTTTTTATGTTTTCACTACATAGCTATTCATATAGATATGCATCGGGGAACTCACATCTAAAAAACCATTTCTAGAATAACTCAAGGCGAGTTCAATGTCGTCTAAAGACCGAAATCCAAAATAATTTCAGACAATGGTTGACAAAGGGAAATAGTTTGTTTGTAGGGGGGGGGGACGTATGGGGTAATATTTTGTTAACAGAGAGACCGCTGAAATAGTTCTTGACAGAGTTATATTTCTAGCTGAACAAATATTTAAAAATCATAACATACACTGAAGACTTGCCATCTGTATTATCTACTTGAATTAAACCTTCAGATAATCTGCTTTCTCCAACTCTGTAAAAAAATAAACATCGGTACGATGTTACAGTTATATCCCTTGAGACTTCGGTCTTTGCGAAAAACGAAAAGCGAAAAGGGTAAAAAGTCTAGAAACAAAACAAGACGGACTTTACAAAAAAAGGTAAAAAGTCTAGAAACAAAACAAGACGAACTTTACAAAAAAAGGTAAAAAGTCTAGAAACAAAACAAGACGAACTTTACAAAAAAAGGTAAAAAGTCTAGAAACAAAACAAGACGAACTTTACAAAAATTGGTAAAAAGTCTAGAAAACAAAACAAGACGAACTTTACAAAAAAATGTAAAAAGTCTAGAAACAAAACAAAACGAACTTTACAAAAAAAGGTAAAACGTCTAGAAACAAAACAAGACGAACTTTATAAAAAAGAGTAAAAAGTCTAGAAACAAAACAAGATAAATTTTACAAAAAAAAAAGGGTAAAAAGTCTAGAAACAAAACAAGACGAACTTTACAAAAAAAAGGGTAAAAAGTCTAGAAACAAAACAAGGCGAACTTTACAAAAAAAGGTAAAAAGTCTAGAAACAAAACAAGACGAACTTTACAAAAAAAAAGTCAAAATCTAGATAGGACCTACAAACCAAGACGAATTTTACAAAAAAGGGTAAAACGTCTAGAAACAAAACAAGACAAACTTTACAAAAAAAAAAAGGTAGAAAGTCTAGGAACAAAAAAAAAGACGAACTTAACAAAAAAGGTAAAAAGTCTAGAAACAAAACAAGACGAACTTTACAAAGACATCCTCCATCGAGGTGGCTGTTAGCCCAAATCCGTTGATCGCCAGCTTCTCCGCGTCGTCTTCTAGAACCGTCAGCAAACGTGGGTACATTTCTGTCATGTTCTCTGGCAGTAGGTAGTCGATCTCTGAGTTGGTTTCACTCTACAAGAGAAATTAATAGATGGTCCAACAGTTGGCTTGACAAGAATAATATATACATACATACATATATATATATATATATATATATATAAATATATATATATATACATATATATATATATATATATATTATTCTTGTCGAGCCAACTGTTGGACCATCTATTAATTTTATTCTCACTTCGACTTGTGACTTTGGAACCTAGCTTGACAGTTATAATCTTGCCCAAAGTTTCCACACTTACTATATACTGGGCTTGGGGAATTAGTTTGAGGATCTGTTGAGTCACCTTAGCTGCCAAGCACTTTGGCCGCTTCACAATCTTCAGCTTGTATCCCGTACCTGATGAACATAGCATTTTTTTCAACATTACTGGCCAAATTAGAAATATCAAAGTTGTGGTGAAAAGTGAACGTGTTTATTAGTTGATGGCAAGGGTTATATGTCAGGGGTTATATGTCAGGATTTATAATTCAGGGGTTACAATCATGGGTTATATGTCAGGGGTTATATATCAGGGGTTATATATCAGGGGTTATATGTCAGCAGGGGTTTATGTCAGGAGGTATATGTCAGGGGTTATATGTCAGGAGCTATATGTCAAGGGTATTGGCTAGGGGTATATGTCAGGGGCTATATACCAGGAGGTATATGTCAGGGGTACATGTCAGAGAGTATATTTAAGGAGTTATATGTCAGGGGCTATATGTCAGGAGGTATATGTCAGTTGTATATGTTAGGGGTATATCAAGGTGTATATGGTAGTGTGTATATGTCATGGGTCTATGTCAGGGAGTAAATGTCAGGGGTATATGTCAGGGGCTATATGTCAAGGTGTAATATGTCAGGGGTATATGTCAGTGTTTCATGTCAGTGGCTTTTTTTCATGGGCTATAATTATGTCAAGTGTATTTCATCAAAGCCTTAATTGCCATAGACTATTTAGAAACATAGGCGTACCACAACACTAAATCCTCTAATAAACTTACCGTACACCCTCTTTAAAAACATAGATGTGCCGCAGCATTTAACCCTCCCCTCCGCCATGATGGCGATTCTGTCGCCCAGTACATCTGCCTCGTCCATGTAATGGGTCGTTAAAAGGATGGTTCGACCTTCTCTCATTGTCTTTAGGAAAGCCCACATTTCCTGTCTGGCGGCGGGGTCAAGGCCGGTCGACGGCTCGTCCAGAAATAGGACCTGTGAAATACAAGACATATCATAGCTGTGATTCATATCACGTATGGGCCAGATATAGGATCTACGACTAATGCCCGAAAGGCGACGCTTGCTCTAATGGACGTTAGCCCCAGTGTTTCTTCCAGGCATCTTTTACCACACACCCCTCCAACGAACTGGAGTTTATACAGAAAATATATACTTTTAACAAAATCCGCCCCCCCCCCCCCAAACAACGGAAATTTTAGTCCGCCCCCCCCCGAAAATTCAAGTGCCTCTTCCCTCTTCCCTCTTACCCTGGTGAAAAAAAAGTCTGGAAGAAACACTGATTAGCCCGAATGCGAGAGATTCATTCTGGCAAACGTCGATTCGGATAAATGTCTTTCGGTAAAACTATCAGTTCCCCATTAATGTTATTGCTGTGTCCAATACATCTCTTACCACAATACCACAATGATGAAAAAATATAGTTCTAATATCCACTGCGGGACAAGATATATATATATATATATATATACATATATATATATATATATATATATATATATATATATATATATATATATATATATATATATATATATTTACGCCATTGTGGGACCAGATACATCTCTTATAACACCGATGGGTCCGCGAACTCTTTTATCCTATTACTAAGCCAGATATTAATTTACATAAAAAACCTCTTAAGCTGAGCTGTACCTCCGTGTAATGTATCTGTTCAAAGGTTGAATGACTCACCTTTGTGTTACCGCTGAAGGCACAGGCTAGTGACAACTTCCGCTTTTGACCATCGGACAGTTTCGACGCCAAGCATTTCATCTTCTCGCCCCCCAGACCAATAGCATCAAGACGCTTAAGGCTTTCGGATACATTTTCTTCATTGTACAGGCCCTTAATCTTGGGAAAGTAACACAGAAGATATAGACATCCGAAAAGGGAAGTGGGGTGAGGGAAGTTTCATTATTTATAGAAATAGAGCTCTGTCCTATTTCTATACGGGGATCGCCTTTCTATATGGGACGGCGAGGCCAAGCGGTAGAAAGCTAGACTGTTAACCCGAAAAGGCTCGAGTTCGATTGCGGGTTAAAGTAGAAAGTTTCTGAGTCTAATCAATTAGATAATTATTCTATTCTACCTCTCCTTTCTTTTACCTATTTTTCAGAATTACCCTTGACATCAATGGAAATGTCACACACGAGCAGAAAGGAAGTAGAGTTTATCTGTTTCTGTGACCTTGACATATGAAGAGCCACCTTTATTTTCCCTAGAGTAAATCAGGTACCCGTCAGAAATGGGTGGACTCAGACCCATCCTACGTAAAACAGCCCGAGATCCAACCTCGAGACGACTCGGTCATGCACTCATCCATTCAACCCCGTTGTCCCACATCACCATCAATTTTCTTTACGTTCCTTGTGGACCATAGGGCCTCTGTCAAAGCTTTCCACTCCCCACAGTCTCCTGCCACGCTATTCAAGTTGTTCCCAATTCCTTCCTATCCTTACAGCCTCCTCCAGCATACTACATCATCATGTCTTCCTGAGCTGACCCCTGCGTCGTCATGTCTTCCTGAGCTGACCCCTGCGTCGTCATGTCTTCCTGAGCTGACCCCTGCGTCGTCATGTCTTCCTGAGCTGACCCCTGCGTCGTCATTTCTTCCTGAGCTGATCCCTGCGTCGTCATTTCTTCCTGAGCTGACCCCTGCGTCGTCTTGTCTTCCTGGGTCGACCCCTGCGTCGTCATTTCTTCCTGAGCTGACCCCTGCGTCGTCTTGTCTTCCTGAGTCGACCCCTACGTCATCATGTCTTTCTGAGTCGACCCCTGTGTCGTCTTGTCTTCCTGAGATGACCCCTGTGTCGTCTTGTCTTCCTGGGTCGACCCCTGTGTCGTCTTGTCTTCCTGAGTCGACCCCTACCTCATCATGTCTTCCTGAGTCGACCCCTACGTCATCATGTCTTCCTGAGTCGACCCCTACGTCATCATGTTTTCCTGAGTCGACCCCTGCGTCGCCATGTCTTCCTGTGTCGCCCCTGCGTCGCCATGTCTTCCTGGGTCGCCATGTCTTCCTGGGTCGACCCCTACCCACCATGTCTTCCTGGGTCGACCCCTGTGTCGCCATGTTTCCTGGGTCGATCCCTACCCACCTTATCTTCCTGGGTCGACCCTTGCGTCATCATGTCTTCCTGGGTCGACCCTTGCGTCATCATGTCTTCCTGTGTCGACCCTTGCGTCGTTTGCTTGAGGGATTCCACTTCAAGGCCTATCTGACAGTGCCAGTGTCCTACAATAGCGTGTTCCCAATCCATCGCCATTTCCTCTCCATGGTTTACCTTTCTATTGCTCCCTGTCCACACATCTCCCATAGTTTAGTTTTGTGGGTTTTCTACCTTGTCTTGCCATTTTATTTTAACCTACTCCATTGGCACCCATTTACTAAAGTCTGGATTCTGTTTGTAGTTAATTCGGTTGTTCTCGCGTCGCCCCACTCGTGTGCTTTACCCAATCTAAAATATTAGACTACACCAGAGGCGTAGCTACCCTTCCCGGCGCCCGGGAGCAAACTTTCAATTTGGCGCCTCCCCCTCCACCCCGGAAACAAACTTTCAATTCGGCGCCCCCCATATATTTTTTATATTTATAATGCAAAACTGCAGCTAAAATGAGCTTTTAATTTTTTTTTCAACCCAATTTGGCACCCCCTAGGGTCGGCGCCCGGGGACATATGTACCCCCCCCCCTCGCTACGCCTCTGGACTACACATCCCACTTTGCTAGTCTGTGGTTACGATTTGAACATCACTGATTAACTAACAAGTGTTTATTCGACTTCTGAGTAGTATCCTTACCTTCAAGAAAAAGATCATGTGTTCTGCGCATGTTAGCTTAGGAAACAGGATATCCTGTTGCGGGCACAGACCAATGGCCGTTCTTGCTGCTTTCGTGTTCTTGCGCATGTCCAGACCTTCCACCATGATGGTTCCACTGGTGGGGGGCAGGAAACCTAAGAGGCATCAAACAAGTCAACAATCTTTCGTTTGGCTGCGGTCCTCCGCATTAAGACTCAACAAAAAAATTAATAAATGCGATGCCATTTTTTAAAGTTAGTCAACAACCTGTGATCATGTTGATTGTAGTTGTCTTCCCTGCCCCGTTGTGTCCTAGCAACACGGTTATCTGCCCTTCGTAAACGTCCATGCTTAACCCAGCAACGGCGACCTCTTGACCAAACATCTGGGGAGCAGGAGAGAGCAGTATAATTTATATCTGGGGAGCAGTAGAGAGCAGTATAAATTATATCAGGGGAGCAGTAGAGAGCAGTATAAATTATATCTGGGAGCATTTGAGAGCAGTATAAATTATATCTGGGAGCAGCAGTATAAATTATACCTGGGAGCAGCAGTATTATTTAAACATAAAATGTCTATGCTCTGAAAATAACTAGTATATTGGCCTACCCCATCTTAAACGTTTTGCATGGTCTTTTAAAGAAACAAATATCTCCTTACTTTGATTAAATTTCGGACTTGGATCCCAGATTTTAAATCGCCCTCCGGTTTCTCAAAATAGTTTTCGTCCTGCGGGGGAATAGTTGGAATCTGCCCTTCATCTACGCCTGTGGGGACCCAGTAGCTCCGCTAGTAAATTAAACAAGAATAAATGCATCCATACATCCATTCATCAATCCATACATCCATACATCCATACATCCATACATCCACACATCCACACATCCATACATCCATACATCCATACATCCACACATCCACACATCCACACATCCACACATCCACACATCCATACATCCATACATCCACACATCCATACATCCATACATCCATACATCCATACATCCATACATCCATACACCCACACACCCATACATCCATAGCAAGTTCTCACACTAAATGTTCATGCCCCTCGCTCTCAACCACCCACCCTCCCACCCAGCCCACCACCACACGCCCATCCAGGCCCATCCAACCACCCACGCCTCCTCCCACCCACCCACCATACCCACCAACCCTCCCACCCACCCACCGCATCCCCCCCCCCCCGACCCACCCCCCCCACACACCCACCCACCAACCATCCACCTCCATACACCCTACCACCCTACCACCCCCATACCACCATCATCCACATACCACCCACCCACCCACATCCTACACCAACCATCTCATACACATCATCATACAGTCATACCTTCCACATCACACATCCATACATCTACACATCCACCACACCACACATCCATCCATCCATACATCCATACATCCCTCCCTCACATCCATACATCCATACCCTCCCATACAACCAACCTCCATACATCCATACATCCTACATCCATACATCCATACATCCATACATCCATACATCCATACATCCATACATCCATACATCCATACATCCATACATCCATACATCCATACATCCATACATCCATACATCCACCATACATCCATACATCCACACACCCATACATCCATACATCCATACACCCATACATCCATACATCCATACATCCATACATCCATACATCCATACATCCATACATCCATACATCCATACATCCATACATCCATACATCCATACATCCATACATCCATACATCTATACATCCATACATCTATACATCCATACATCTATACATCCATACATCCATCCATCTACACATCCATACATCTATACATCCATACCTCCACACATCCACACATCCACACATCCATACATCCATACATCCATACATCCATACATCCATACATCCATACATCCATACATCCATACATCCATACATCCATACATCCATACATCCATACATCCATACATCCATACATCCATACATCCATACATCCATACATCCATACATCCATACATCCATACATCCATACATCCATACATCCATACATCCATACATCCATACATCCATACATCCATACATCCATACATCCATACATCCATACATCCATACATCCATACATCCATACATCCATACATCCATACATCCATACATCCATACATCCATACATCCATACATCCACATATCCACACACCCATACACCCACCCACTACACTTACAGTAAAGAGAAAATTCAACGGTTTGGCAATGCCATATTCTCCAGGGAAAACGTTGCTGATGTACCAGACACAAAAGACATTAAACACAGTGTTGAACATCATCAAATTTAGAGCATCCAGAAAGGTCCTGTTTGGATCGTTTTCATTGACATCAATGGTTGAAAAATATATCGGTCTATCTGTAAAACAGTTCATTTAAATTGAATATTAAATTAGACTTTGTGGAGGCAAAAGGATTGGGAAAAAAAAACCATCTTAATACGAACATTTGATGTGTTTGAAAAACAGTGATGTTATTTTAAATAGGGTTGGACGGGGGGAGGGTGAGTCATAGGAAAAAATTAATTAGACATATAATTAAGTCAAATTTAATGTCATGTTGCACTGTCTTCATGTCTTGATCCACGTGCCAACTATGAAACGAATCTGTCAGATGTGCCCGAAATTTCGCTCTGGCGTTTCGATCTAGCTAAAGATAGTGGGTTAAATAAAAGCTTTCAAAATATGTTTTGTTATGAAATTAAACTGCATTGTCGTAGGGCTTTCGTGTGTCAACTTTGTCCGTCAACATTGTGTACTGCTGACGTTTTACGTAAGCATCGGCTTTTGAGCTGTTACATAAAGTTTATTTTCTGTAACTTTTTACCTAGATTCGTTTCCTAAGTTATTCGTTTATTCATTGAAAAATCGAACCTTTCTTACCTGTGGCGTAGCGAGGTCGGGTGTCACCCAGTGCGGCACTTAATGGTGTCACCCCTCTAGAGGCGTAGCGACCCATTTTCGATTTGCACCCCACCCCCTCAAACTTTCGATTTGCAACCCCCCTCAATTTTTCGATTTGCACCCCCCCCCCCCTCAAACTTTCGATTTGCACCCCCCCTCAAGTTTTTCTCTATATATTTTGCCAATTTTTGCCTTGGTGTCACCCCCTAAATGGTGTCACCCGGTGCGGTCCGCACCCCCCGCCCTCCCTCCTCGCTACGCCCCTGTTTCTTACATTGCCGTTAGGTTCAGTACAAAGTGTAGGGAAATGACTAAGTTTATGCTCCGCTCGTTCTACGTACAAATGCTAAGTTAGCTTCTCATCTGAGGCGGGTGGACATACAAGCACATTACACATGTACCAATCAATTACCTGATTCTTCGAGGTCTGCCAAAACGTTGATCGCCATTTTTAATCCGAACCCGAACACGACGATGCCGAACGGGAACACCAAACTCTGGACAAAGTCTAGCAAGAGGATGATGTCTGCGACCATTGGCGCCACAAAGAAGCCGTACACCACAGCAAGGACGCCTGCTAGACGACCTGAGCACACGTTTCAAGATGAGAGTGGTGGATGGTGAAATGTACACTGTTGAGGACCTGGCGGTTCGTGGGGCAGGTGAAGTAGAGTTCACCTGTTTCAGTGACCTCGGTCTATGAAGTTTAGTGTTCAGCACTATGACAACCCGCCTATACTCTTCCTGACGTGAGTCAGGTACCCATTAGAGCTGGGTGGACTCAGGGAGGTTCCAGGGACATGAACCTGGGATTATAATTGTTTGTATTTCCCGGAAATTAACTGAACGGTATTCATATTCTTAAAAAAAAACCTGAACCCGCCACATACTTCTTTATCATGGAATTGAACTTTGACTTTACAGACTACAGCTAGACCTAGCTCATAGCTCACACGTCACGATGAACTTTGAACTTACAGACTACAGCTAGACCTAGCTCATAGCTCACACGTCACGATGAACTTTGAACTTACAGACTACAGCTAGACCTAGCTCATAGCTCACACGTCACGATGAACTTTGAACTTACAGACTACAGCTAGACCTAGCTCATAGCTCACACGTCACGATGAACTTTGAACTTACAGACTACAGCTAGACCTAGCTCATAGCTCACACGTCACGATGAACTTTGAACTTACAGACTACAGCTAGACCTAGCTCATAGCTCACACGTCACGATGAACTTTGAACTTACAGACTACAGCTAGACCTAGCTCATAGCTCACACGTCACGATGAACTTTGAACTTACAGACTACAGCTAGACCTAGCTCATAGCTCACACGTCACGATGAACTTTGAACTTACAGACTACAGCTAGACCTAGCTCATAGCTCACACGTCACGATGAACTTTGAACTTACAGACTACAGCTAGACCTAGCTCATAGCTCACACGTCACGATGAACTTTGAACTTACAGACTACAGCTAGACCTAGCTCATAGCTCACACGTCACGATGAACTTTGAACTTACAGACTACAGCTAGACCTAGCTCATAGCTCACACGTCACGATGAACTTTGAACTTACAGACTACAGCTAGACCTAGCTCATAGCTCACACGTCACGATGAACTTTGAACTTACAGACTACAGCTAGACCTAGCTCATAGCTCACACGTCACGATGAACTTTGAACTTACAGACTACAGCTAGACCTAGCTCATAGCTCACACGTCACGATGAACTTTGAACTTACAGACTACAGCTAGACCTAGCTCATAGCTCACACGTCACGATGAACTTTGAACTTACAGACTACAGCTAGACCTAGCTCATAGCTCACACGTCACGATGAACTTTGAACTTACAGACTACAGCTAGACCTAGCTCATAGCTCACACGTCACGATGAACTTTGAACTTACAGACTACAGCTAGACCTAGCTCATAGCTCACACGTCACGATGAACTTTAACCCTGTAGACTACAGCTAGTCCTAGCTCATAGCTCACACGTCACGATGAACTTTGAACTTACAGACTACAGCTAGACCTAGCTCATAGCTCACACGTCACGATGAACTTTGAACTTACAGACTACAGCTAGACCTAGCTCATAGCTCACACGTCACGATGAACTTTGAACTTACAGACTACAGCTAGACCTAGCTCATAGCTAATACGTCACGATGCACTTTAACCCTGTAGACTACAGCTAGACCTAGCTCATAGCTCACACGTCACGATGAACTTTGAACTTACAGACTACAGCTAGACCTAGCTCATAGCTCACACGTCACGATGAACTTTGAACTTACAGACTACAGCTAGACCTAGCTCATAGCTCACACGTCACGATGAACTTTGAACTTACAGACTACAGCTAGACCTAGCTCATAGCTCACACGTCACGATGAACTTTGAACTTACAGACTACAGCTAGACCTAGCTCATAGCTCACACGTCACGATGAACTTTGAACTTACAGACTACAGCTAGACCTAGCTCATAGCTCACACGTCACGATGAACTTTGAACTTACAGACTACAGCTAGACCTAGCTCATAGCTCACACGTCACGATGAACTTTGAACTTACAGACTACAGCTAGACCTAGCTCATAGCTAATACGTTACGATGAACTTTAACCCTGTAGACTACAGCTAGTCCTAGCTCACAGCTCACACGTCACGATGAACTTTGAACTTACAGACTACAGCTAGACCTGTAATGAAACTACACCTCCCATCTCTGTAATGTAACCACACCCCCCCCCCCCATCTCTGTAAATAAACCACACCTCCCATCTCTGTAATGTAACCACACCTCCCATTTCTGTAATGCAACCACACCTCCCATCTCTGTAATAAAACCACACCTCCCATCTCTGTAATTAAACCACACCTCCCATCTCTGTAATGAAACCACACCTCCCATCTGTAATGCAACCACACCTCCCATCGTCTGTAATGAAACCACTCCCCCAACCCCTGTAATAAAACCACACCTCCCATCTCTGTAATAAAATCACACCTCCCATCTCTGTAATAAAACCACACCTTCCATCTCTGTAATAAAACCACACCTCCATCGTCTGTAATGAAACCACTCCCCCAACCCCTGTAATAAAACCACACCTCCCATCTCTGTAAGAAAACCACACCTCCCATCTCTGTAATGAAACCACACCTCCCATCTCTGTAATAAAACCACACCTCCATTACCTGTAATAAAACCACACCTCCCATCTCTGTAATGCAACCACACCTCCCATTTCTGTAATGCAACCACATCTCCCATCTCTGTAATAAAACCACACCTCCATCGCCTGTAATAAAACCACACCTCCCATCTCTGTAATAAAACCACACCTCCCATCTCTGTAAGAAAACAATAGTCATATTCTTAAAAAAAAACTGAACCCGCCACATACTTCTTTATCATGGATTTGAACTTTGACTTTACAGACTACAGCTAGACCTAGCTCATAGCTCACACGTCACGATGAACTTAGAACTTACAGACTACAGCTAGACCTGTAATAAAACCACACCTCCCATCTCTGTAATGAAACCCCACCTCCCATCTCTGTAATGAAACCCCACCTCCCACCTCTGTAATAAAACCCCACCTCCCATCTCTGTAATGAAACCCCACCTCCCATCTCTGTAATAAAACCACACCTCCCATCTCTGTAATGAAACCCCACCTCCCATCTCTGTAATGAAACCCCACCTCCCACCTCTGTAATAAAACCACACCTCCCAGCTCTGTAATAAAACCCCACCTCCCATCTCTGTAATGAAACCCCACCTCCCATCTCTGTAATAAAACCCCACCTCCCATCTGTGTAATGAAACCCCACCTCCCATCTCTGTAATGTAACCACACCTCCCATTTCTGTAATGCAACCACACCTCCCATCTCTGTAATAAAACCACACCTCCCATCTCTGTAATTAAACCACACCTCCCATCTCTGTAATGAAACCACACCTCCCATCTGTAATGCAACCACACCTCCCATCGTCTGTAATGAAACCACTCCCCCAACCCCTGTAATAAAACCACACCTCCCATCTCTGTAATAAAACCACACCTCCCATCTCTGTAATAAAACCACACCTCCCATCTCTGTAATAAAACCACACCTCCATCGTCTGTAATGAAACCACTCCCCCAACCCCTGTAATAAAACCACACCTCCCATCTCTGTAATAAAACCACACCTCCCATCTCTGTAATGAAACCACACCTCCCATCTCTGTAATAAAACCACACCTCCATTACCTGTAATAAAACCACACCTCCCATCTCTGTAATGCAACCACACCTCCCATTTCTGTAATGCAACCACATCTCCCATCTCTGTAATAAAACCACACCTCCATCGCCTGTAATAAAACCACACCTCCCATCTCTGTAATAAAACCACACCTCCCATCTCTGTAAGAAAACAATAGTCATATTCTTAAAAAAAACCTGAACCCGCCACATACTTCTTTATCATGGAATTGAACTTTGACTTTACAGACTACAGCTAGACCTAGCTCATAGCTCACACGTCACGATGAACTTAGAACTTACAGACTACAGCTAGACCTGTAATAAAACCACACCTCCCATCTCTGTAATAAAACCCCACCTCCCACCTCTGTAATGAAACCCCACCTCCCATCTCTGTAATGTAACCACACCTCCCATTTCTGTAATGCAACCACACCTCCCATCTCTGTAATAAAACCACACCTCCCATCTCTGTAATTAAACCACACCTCCCATCTCTGTAATGAAACCACACCTCCCATCTGTAATGCAACCACACCTCCCATCGTCTGTAATGAAACCACTCCCCCAACCCCTGTAATAAAACCACACCTCCCATCTCTGTAATAAAACCACACCTCCCATCTCTGTAATAAAACCACACCTCCCATCTCTGTAATAAAACCACACCTCCATCGTCTGTAATGAAACCACTCCCCCAACCCCTGTAATAAAACCACACCTCCCATCTCTGTAATAAAACCACACCTCCCATCTCTGTAATGAAACCACACCTCCCATCTCTGTAATAAAACCACACCTCCATTACCTGTAATAAAACCACACCTCCCATCTCTGTAATGCAACAACACCTCCCATTTCTGTAATGCAACCACACCTCCCATCTCTGTAATAAAACCACACCTCCATCGCCTGTAATAAAACCACACCTCCCATCTCTGTAATAAAACCACACCTCCCATCTCTGTAAGAAAACAATAGTCATATTCTTAAAAAAAACCTGAACCCGCCACATACTTCTTTATCATGGAATTGAACTTTGACTTTACAGACTACAGCTAGACCTAGCTCATAGCTCACACGTCACGATGAACTTAGAACTTACAGACTACAGCTAGACCTGTAATAAAACCACACCTCCCATCTCTGTAATGAAACCCCACCTCCCATCTCTGTAATGAAACCCCACCTCCCACCTCTGTAATAAAACCCCACCTCCCATCTCTGTAATAAAACCACACCTCCCACCTCTGTAATAAAACCACGCCTCCCATCTCTGTAATAAAACCCCACCTCCCATCTCTGTAATGAAACCCCACCTCCCACCTCTGTAATAAAACCACACCTCCCACCTCTGTAATAAAACCCCACCTCCCACCTCTGTAATAAAACCACACCTCCCACCTCTGTAATAAAACCACACCTCCCATCTCTGTAATAAAACCACACCTCCCACCTCTGTAATAAAACCCCACCTCCCATCTCTGTAATGAAACCCCACCTCCCACCTCTGTAATAAAACCACACCTCCCACCTCTGTAATAAAACCACACCTCCCACCTCTGTAATAAAACCACACCTCCCACCTCTGTAATAAAACCACACCTCCCACCTCTGTAATAAAACCCCACCTCCCACCTCTGTAATAAAACCACACCTCCCATCTCTGTAATAAAACCACACCTCCCACCTCTGTAATAAAACCACACCTCCCACCTCTGTAATAAAACCACACCTCCCACCTCTGTAATGAAACCCCACCTCCCATCTCTGTAATGAAACCCCACCTCCCACCTCTGTAATAAAACCACACCTCCCATCTCTGTAATGAAACCCCACCTCCCATCTCTGTAATGAAACCCCACCTCCCACCTCTGTAATAAAACCACACCTCCCACCTCTGTAATAAAACCCCACCTCCCATCTCTGTAATGAAACCCCACCTCCCACCTCTGTAATAAAACCACTCCCCCAACCCCTGTAATAAAACCCCACCTCCCACCTCTGTAATAAAACCACACCTCCCACCTCTGTAATGAAACCCCACCTCCCATCTCTGTAATGAAACCCCACCTCCCACCTCTGTAATAAAACCACACCTCCCATCTCTGTAATGAAACCCCACCTCCCATCTCTGTAATGAAACCCCACCTCCCACCTCTGTAATAAAACCACACCTCCCACCTCTGTAATAAAACCCCACCTCCCATCTCTGTAATGAAACCCCACCTCCCACCTCTGTAATAAAACCACTCCCCCAACCCCTGTAATAAAACCCCACCTCCCACCTCTGTAATAAAACCACACCTCCCACCTCTGTAATAAAACCCCACCTCCCATCTGTGTAATGAAACCCCACCTCCCATCTCTGTAATTAAACCACACCTCCCATCTCTGTAATGTAACCACACCTCCCATCTCTGTAATAAAAAAAAACCACACCTCCCATCTCTGTAATGTAACCACACCTCCCTTCTCTGTAATTAAACCACACCTCACATCTCTGCAATGCAACCACACCTCCCATCTCTGTAATGAAACCACACCTTCATCGTCTGTAATGAAACGACTGCCCCAACCCCTGTAATAAAACCACACTTATTCATAAAACAACCACTCTCCACTGAAACTTTACCGTTCTTGAAAAACGTTGACATAAGAAACGCCGCTGTTATCGTGTTGGTGACTGCCCACAGCTCAAAAATAACAAACAGACCGGACGAAGACTGGAACAGCGGCCCGGAGTCGGAGTAGTTCCCGTAGACGACAAAAAAGGCGAGCAGGCTCATGAAGAGGCCGTAGATGAAGTTCATGGCGAACCAGGACATCCAGTAGATCGACTCGCCCAACCCCATCAGTTTCATGGACTCCTGGGGAGGGATGGGTATACGTGTTAGTTAGACACAGAGTTTCTTCCAGACTTTTTTCTCCGGGGGGGGGGGGCATGATATTTTCGGGCGGGGGGGGGGGTACAATATTTTACGGGGGGGGGGGATGGCAGACACTGGTAAAAGTATATGTTTTCTATATGAATTCCATTTTTTTCGGAGGGGGGGTGGGGGGGAGCGGTAGACTTTCTTCAGGAGGAGGGGGGGGGGGAGCATCATTGGATGCTTGTAGGGCCTACAACTAGTTTACTTTTATTATTAGATTATTGTAAAACTAGTTTACCTTAATCATTAAGTGCTTGTAAACCAGTTCACCTTAATCAATAAATTCTTGTAAAAACCAGTTTACCTAAATCATTAAATGCTTGTATTACGAGTTTACCTTAATCATAAAATGCTTGTACTACAAGTTTACCTTAATCATAAAATGCTTGTATTACGAGTTTACCTTAATCATAAAATGCTTGTACTACGAGTTTACCTTAATCATAAAATGCTTGAATTACGATTTTACCTTAATCATTAAATGCTTGTATTACGAGTTTACCTTAATCATTAAATGCTTGTATTACGAATTTACCTTAATCATTAAATGCTTGTATTACGAGTTTACCTTAATCATTAAATGCTTGTATTACGAGTTTACCTTAATCATTAAATGCTTGTATTACGAGTTTACCTTAACCATTAAATGCTTGTAAAACCAGTTTATCTTAATGCTTATACAGCCAGTTTCTCTAATCATTAAATGCTTGTATTACGAGTTCACCTTAATCATTAAATAATTGTAAAACTAGTTCACCTTAATCATTAAAAGTTTGACCTTAATCATTAAATGCTTGTAAAAACCAGGTTACCTTAATCTTCCTCTCGCGTTCCTCCACCAGCGTTATTGTGGCAAAACAAAACAGAGGCATGTACCACAATGCCAACAGAGATTGCATGAATCTCACGGTACTTTCGCCAGTTCTATTCAAATCATGTTTGGGTTTGCTCGGCATTCTGGTCAAGACGAGTTGTTTCATAGTTGCCTCGGTGCCATTTCGGTTCTGCCAATAGTCCATGTATAGCCTCGTAACCTGATACATGGCGCTGTGTACCTCCGGCCAGTTCGAGAAAGTGGGAATCAGTGGTAAAACTAGAAAAATAAAACGAGAGTTGTTTCCCATAAACTTTCATGTATATATATATATATATATATATATATATATATATATATATATATATATATATATATATATATAATTCTCTTCTGGGAGACGCTAGAAAACAAGCTGTAAACGCGCTCCCTACCATCCCCACCCCTACATGGTCTCAGTGAGCTGTGGTTCACGCTATGTTTACCTTCGTGGAGTCGGGTTTAGTGACGGCTATTAGGGGAAGATAATTTAGTTTGAAACGATTTTTAAACGTTGGGGGGGGGGGGGGGAGAGGAAAGGGGGGGGGGGGGGGGTATGGTCCTTAACGAGCTACTTATAGTGTTTTAAAGAAATATTTTCAGTGCCAGCGTTGGTACTGTCGAATTCACAAATTATGAATTACTGAAAAGTAGAATAAACAAAAACTAAATAGCGGCGTATGTTATGCCGCGGGCCGGCTCGTATATATATAATTCTCTTCTGGGAGCCGATAGAAAACAAGCTGCAAGCGCGCCTTTGCAGTCCCCTCTTTTCCTCTCTATCACTACCACCCCCACCCCACCCCCATAAGATCTGGTGAGCTGTGGTTCACTCTAAATGTTTACAAATCGTAGAGCCGGGTTTGTTGACGGCTATTAGGGGCAGATAATTTAGTTTGAAACGATTTTAAACTTACAGGAGGTAACTAAGAGGAGGCTGCTTTCACGGGGGGGGGGGGGGGTGTAGGGTAGTAGGGTAGGGGTTGGGGGAAAGGGGGGGGGGTAGTGTTTTAAAGCAAATATTTTCAGTGGCAGCATTGGTGCTGTCGAATTCACAAATTATGAATTACTGAAAAGTAGAAAATAAAACAACTAAATAGCGGCGTATGATACGCTGCGGGTCGGCTCGTTCTTTTATAAGAAGGATGGTACTGTCAGTGCAATCGTGCTGTATTAATGTTTTTTTATCATTTGTTAAAGACTTAATGTTTTAAATAGAATAGACTCGAGTAAAAAATAAAGCGGGAGTAATCTTCCCTAAACTTTCTCGAACATTCTTATTTAACGGTAAGCGTTATGGCTAGGCGTGAGAGTGGGGATTGAAAAGGAGGGAACAACGAAGCCGATGTACGTCAACATCAATTGTGTCGACTGTTTAGGATGGTGGCCGACTTGCTGCTATATTTACCGCAGCTCAGGAGGAATAACTTTAATGTATTCTAATCTAATAGTGATCGATTGATTGTGAAAAAAAAAAAGAGAGAATTGGGACTACACAACGGGTTAAAAAAATTTTGAAGACGATTTTTTGAGAATCCTCATCGGAAAACTGGCCTATGGTCAACTCAGAAACTGAATAAGCTTATTACTCCATTAGGTTTATAACATATTACTATAAGCTTAAATTGGAAAAATTGACTCACTCTCGCTTTTTCCATAGACCTTGTATGGGTGGTATTTGTAATCCACAACGACGAAGAACTTGAGATGTTTGGGCACCGTGGTGACGTCATCCAACTGAAAACTGACCACAGGCGTCGTGTTGTTGCCCTTAGCCTTGTTCTTGTCATAGCGAATGGTAGCTGCTTCCACCGTCGAATGGGAGGAGCTAGAGGCAACTAAAGATGATTGACAAAGTAACCTTTGGGGTAGTGGGAGGAGCTAGAGGAAACTAAAGATGATTGACAAAGTAACCTTTGGGGTAGTGGGAGGAGCTAGAAGTAACTAAAGATGATTGACAAAGTAACCTTCGGGGTAGTGGGAGGAGCTAGAGGCAACTAAAGATGATTGACAAAGTAACCTTCGGGGTAGTGGGAGGAGCTAGAGGAAACTAAAGATGGACAAAGTAACCTTCGGGGTAGTGGGAGGAGCTAGAGGAAACTAAAGATGATGGATACAGTAACCTTTGGGTAGTGGGGGGGGGGGGGGAGCTAGAGGCAACTAAAGATGATTGACAAAGTAACCTTTTGGGTAGTGGGGGGGGGGGGAGCTAGAGGCAACTAAAGATGATTGACAAAGTAACCTTTGGGGTAGTGGAGGAGCTAGAGGCAACTAAAGATGATTGACAAAGTAAGCTTCGGGGTAGTGGGAGGAGCTAGAGGCAACTAAAGATGATTGAAAAAGTAACCTTCGGGGTAGTGGGAGGAGCTAGAGGTAACTAAAGATGATTGACAAAGTAACCTTTGTGGTAATGGGAGGAGCTAGAGGAAACTAAAGATGATGGATACAGTAACCACCATTTGGTTAAATTTACTGACAGATTTTCTTCCAGGCATCCTCAAGGACGGGAAGGGGGGGGGGGGTGGACCATTCCCCCCCCCCCCCCCCCCCACTCGAACGAAATGAAATTTTACATAGAAAATATATACTTTTATAAGTGTTCGCCCCGCCCCCTCCCTTAAAGTTTTAGTATGTTAATCCGTCCCTCCCCCACGGAAAATTTTAAATTTTAAGTGCCCCCGAACCCCTCAACCCCCACTCCTCCTCACCCCCGGAGAAAAAAAAAGTCAGAAAGAAACACTGCTGACAGATCTAAGCCAAAGATATAAACCTGTGAGATAAAATAGTAAAGACTAGGCAAGGCTTAGTTTAAGTTCATTAATTAGCTAGAGCAAAACTTCGGGTTATAAATTTGTTTATAAGACTGGGGCTAATTAATTAAGTCTTGCTCTAAAAATAAAAAACTTCGCGTTTGCTCTTACATATGTTGGTCACTAGCAGCATCTGTTCCACGGCGTGCGACACGGGCGTGTAGACTAGTTCCGTGTTCGGCTGATGCTCCAAAATTTTCCTGCCCAGCAAGTCCAACTCCACAGACTTGCGATGGGGCGCACTCGAGTGAACCGAAAACATGAACCCGGACACTGCTAGCGGGAGCACTGGAACAAGATAGCAACTTGTGTGCAGAGTTTCTTTCAGGTGTATCTTCGGGGAAACGGGGGGGGGGGGGGGGTACATCACCAGGAAGCAAATATATGCCCCCCCACCCCACCCCCGAATGATATAGAAAAATATATTATACGAGCCGACCCGCGGCGTATCACACGTCGCTATTTAGTTTTATTTTCTACTTTTCAGTCATTCATAATTTGTGAATTCGACAGTACCATTGCTGTCACTGAAAAAATTTGCTTTAAAAACGCTAAAACCCTCCTTTACCCCAACCCCATTCCCCACCCCGTGAAAACAGCCTCCTCTTAGTTACACACCCCCCCCCCCCCTCTAAGTTTACAATAGTTTCAAACTACATTATCTGCCCCTAATGGGCGTCACTAAACCCGGCTCTACGATTGTAAACATTTAGCGTGAACCACAGCTCAACAATGTGGGGTGAGGGTGGTTGCGATGTGCATAGAGAGGAAGAGAGAGGACTCTTAGGCGCGCTTACAGCTTGTTTTCTAACGTCTCCAAGAAGAGAATTTTATATAGAGAAAATACATACTTCAACGACACCACGCCCCCCTGAAGAGATGCCAGAAAGAAACACTACTTAAGTAGCCGCTGTAGAGTTTCTTCCAGGCAATACCCCCCCCCCCCCTCCTCCCGAACTGGCTGCAAACGTTTATTTAAGTAAACAATCTAAAGACTTACTTTATAAAAAAACTAAATCAGCTCCAAACATTTAAGTAACCAAAGTAAATACTTATTTAAATGCTGCAAAGACTTACTTAAATAAACAAAGTAAACACTTACTTAAATGTTGCGAAGACTTACTTCAAGTAATACTTGAATAAACAAAGTAAACACTTACTTAAGACTTGGGTAGCTAATGTAAACACTTGGATAACCTTCGATTGCTCTTATTATAACTTAAGTAACAAACGTTAACAATTACTTAAGTAACCAATGTAAGGACGTACGTAGCTCTGATATAATGCTTCCCCATGAGCGATACTTAATTTTCCAATTTTTCCACAACAGCGCCAAGAACTGTTCAAATTGTCCCATGACTGCTAGCAAGCGACTTCCGCCTTCAACAATCGTCTGCTACTTGTTCCACTTGCCTGCAACTTGTTTCGCTTGTCTACTACACATTATACTTTCAAGATTTGCAACCAAATGCCCGAACGAAAAAAAAAATTTATGCATCTTTTAAATTAAAAATAAATAGATTCTAATTATAAGCAAGTAAACACCATTACTTAATCACGTTTGATGTTACTTTAAAAAGATTATCAACACAAAACGTCACATCCGGTATGTAAAATAAGCAGTGCAGACACGATCGGGAAAACCTCATACTTAAATATATTTTTTTCACAAGTTTCTAAATGTTCATGAATGGGGCAGATCAAGTAGAGTTACCCGTTTCTGTAATCTCGTCATATGAAGGGACGTCCTGCACACTAGTGCCCAGATACCCACGCTCTGGGCTTTTTAGTTAAGTTATCGCGCCGTTCGAGTGCAGACAATACTAACTAGATATCTACCTTGTACATTATAACATGGACATACAGCTCTGATCTCTATAATAACCCATAGAGGAAACGAGAGAAAAATAAATCTTACTCATTCGATCAATTTTTTTTTAAATTTTTGCTTGAACTTTAAAATTTTCTTCTGACCTGTTCAACTACCCCCCCCCCCCCCCCCCCCCGCAAGATTTTGCATACATGTAATCAGATTTTTTTTTAAATACGTTTTCTTTGCATTCTTAAGCTGTATTGGAATACTTGTCATTATTTAAGAATCACTCATGTCTATCCCTATGTGAGAACTGTAGACACACATTTCCTACATATTTATACACCAAAAACAACAGACACACTTAAACCACAAACATTTTCTACACATTCTGAAGGGAGCTTCACACCAGAAACAACAGACTCGCACTTAAACCACAAACATTTTCTACACATTCTGAAGGGAGCTTCAAACCAGAAACAACAGACACACTTAAACCACAAACATTTCCTACACATTCTGAAGAGAGCTTCACACCAGAAACAACAGACTCGCACTTAAACCACAAACATTTTCTACACATTCTGAAGGGAGCTTCACACCAGAAACAACAGACTCGCACTTAAACCACAAACATTTTCTACACATTCTGAAGGGAGTTTAACACCAAAAACAACAGACACACTTAAACCACAAACATTTTCTACACATTCTGAAGGGAGCTTCACACCAGAAACAACAGACTGAACTTAAACCACATACATTTTCAACACATTCTGAATGGAGCTTTACCCCATGAACATCAAACTAATACTATTGAAACAACACAAAAAGATTTAAGTCAGCAGTTGTTTTTAAAAAAAATCATGACATCAGTTTAATACATTTTCAGTATAATACATAAGGATGATCAATTATAAATAAGCATTCATTAGTCCAGACAAACTGTAACTGGTCACTTACACGAAACAAACAAAATGTTAACTGACCAGGCCTGTGTTAATGCTAGGTCAGCCAGTGACCAATGGCTGAACTTGACCTGGCCGTTCAAAACCTTTTAAAATCATGTGTTAAAAAAAACAGCACGTTATTTCAATACTCAAGGATTTTCTTCGTAGAACTGAGTTGTAAAACTTAAAACAATTTGAATACATGGGCTTCGTATAACATAATTGTGCTGTGCTAAACAATGTCTTCATTAAGATAAATTATATAACAATACATTAATTAGTAAAAATTAGTCACAGCATTAAAATGTTCTTAGTTACATTAAAAAGGGGATATAACTTACACCCTAGAGTATTCCACATTTAAAAATTCAAAAATTTAAGCTTAAAAAATTTTAAAACCAGACAACAGACCAGTATTAACCTGTCAAGCTTAATGTTAACTCCAGATAAAAATACAACATTCAATTATGCAATTCTATTATACATAATTTCTCTCTATGATACTGTACAGGGTAGATGGAATATTATGTGTATTCCTGGGGTGGCAGATGCAGCTTCAATTATTTAAATGGTACAGCTTTTATTTTAAACAGTTAAAATTTATAAAGAAATATAAAATTAAGAAGTATCATTCACTAATAGGTCATGACAATAGGATTTAAAACAACTTTTCTGACAAAAATATGTTAAATTTGTTACAGCTAACAGAAATGACAAAAATTATTTAATGAGCATCTATAGGCCTGAGCTTTGTTTTTTATTTTATTTTTTATTTAGTCATTCAATATTTTGTTTAAAAAAAAACAACCTAGTTCTATAAACAGTACTTCAATTTGTTAATGACATGAACATTTCAGAACAAAACACACATAAACATCACATATTGATTCATCTAAATCTACTCATGGCAAATTGAGCATTAGAGGCAGCTAACAAAGGCCAGTAACCATCACTAGTTCATAAAGTCTACAGTAACTCGAGCAAAAAAAAAAAATCACGTTCCAAAAACTTAATTTTTTTTTAATAGATTTATAAGTAGTCTATTCATGATTTCATTTTATTAAAATTAAGTGGCTAGAATCTCATTATGAATCAGTTACAATTTAAAAAGGCGATTTTTAAAAATTATAAATAATTTTTTAAGACAAAATAAAAAACCATTTTTTAAGATAAAATAAAAAATCATTTTTAAGACAAAATAAAAATGCGATGAGCTACTTTGATAATGGTGTAGTACACCTGGTTACATCACATCCAGTAGCATAATTAATAACTGCAAAACAGCATGGCTATTGACCACCTCACCACAGTAAATTCAGGATAAATTGTCATACATGACTCAACAATAAAACAAGTAGATATAGCAGAACAAAGCACTTCTTAACCTCAATCCTTTCATAAATTACAATTATGCTTCATTAAAGACAATGTATCAGAAAATTAATCGGACTACAGTTTCAACAAAAATAAACACTCTGTATTGTTATTTTAGAAAACAACTGCTAATACAACCATAACTTTCCTTATTTGTACCACTGAAATCGCTGGATACAGCAAGGATTAAGTTAACGAAAAACCTTTAGGTTCAATTAGTATTTGAGTTTGTTTTACGATTTTCTTGAAAAGAAAAAATTAGATTTTTCTGAACTAAAAAAGTCAGTTCTCTGGTAACATCTACTTTCTTTTTCACGGTAAAAAAAAATTTCTATTTTTAAATTTTCTGTTGAGTATCCAATATGACTTATATATTTTAACAATAGTCTTCAAACGAAGTTCAAAGCTCAGGAATAAAATTGGACTAGTACAAAAATAATATTCAATAGCCTATAATAAGCCAAATAGCTTAATCAGACTACAAGACAATCATTTTTTTGGCTAGTCTAAGCCTGGTTTTTAAGTTCTGAGACTGAACCAAGACTACAGATATCATCATAGACATACCACAAACATGGTTGCAGGTTAGATATTTTTTTAAAAGTCTGGGTTTAAAAGAGAAATGAATATGTTAACTTAGCAGAAGAAATTACTAGTTTACTCAATCTTCTTTTTTGTAACAAACACCTTGAACCAAAATGAAAAAAAATTTTTTTAAATCTTTTAAAGGGACATAATACAAGCTATTCTTATTTATTACATTTCCAAGTAAAAAAAAATTGTTTTTGTTGTATGACTATGATGATGGGTTTTGTACCACTGAAAGATAGCGGAAACAAATTTCAACAGATTATATTGCACTGTCACTACTTTATGGGTGATCAATTTCGCGGAAATATCAGATCAATAAATGCTTTCTTTACAACAAAATACTATCATCTACCCTACAAGGTTAACTCCCCTGTCTGAAATAACAAAGGTAAATTGTACACAGAAAGGAACTAAATCCTTTTGTAAAATGGTCAAAATATTATTTCACACTGTTGAAGGCCATTGGTTGTTCACATGCTACAAACATTTAAACAATAAATCAAACAGTATGACATTATCAAAAAGGAAGGTTAACTTGTTTTTAGGAGAGATAAACATGTTATGGTAATCTAGAAGAGAACAAAATTTTTTTTATCAGCTCTTGTTATAGGTTTAAGTCAACACAGTTTAAGAATCAGATAAGAGAAAAACACAACATGAAGAGGATTTTGAAATGACGAGCATTAACTTAGAAGAAGATGACAGTCAAGAAATACATAACACAGACACGATGAACAAGTTTTTGTTCGTATTGATACAATAGAATCCATGTGGTGTAACCAACAATCTAGCATCCCCATAAACTGACATATGCCAACTACAGCCATGCAAATGACATCCAGTGATATTTTATACTTTAGAATTCCGAATTATTTATACGAGTTCCGGTTTTTCAACACATAAAATTTGAAGGTTAATTAATCCACACACATCCCCAGCTAAGAATCTACAAGGCAATTTTTTCTAATTTAAATTTTTTTTTTACAAAATTGTATGACCGTACAAAAGTGATGTATAGCTCAAGCAAAAGACAGACATCAGCCAACATGACCCATACCTTGAACTGCACTTCCCACACAATACTATTTATATTAATTTGATCCAAAAAAAACAAGGCTCATAAATTAAAAATGTGAGTTAAAATATTTTATCATCAATTTGACACCCTCAACACTTACATAAATGGAAATTTAAAATATAAATGAACATTGTTTTTAAAATTTCTTCACAATAAATAAAATTAGTAATATTACAGTAGAGATGAAAGTAAAAACTACAATTGTAAAAATGTGTACATTCATTTTTTTTTTAAAAAAGGCTGTATACAGTAAAACATTTAAATAATTTGTTTCAATATAATGCTTGCAATTAATTTTGTACAAGTAAACTCAAGGGTTAAAAAAAATGAACCAATCTGTCAGTACATAATAAAAATACATCATGTTGCATAACATTAATATAATGTTAAAAATGATATCTAAAACAAACGAAATAGTTCTCCATCCCACAGCATGCTATATGTAAGCACGACTTGAAGAATTCTGCTGCAGTGTAAATTCAAATGAGCCGAACCATTCCTGCACAGCAAACCTTCAGTCCGATTGTCTTATTTTTTCACAGGGGCATAAAGACTAATTTACAAACTCTGAAGCACTACTCTATATAAACTTTGCCATTCCAATGTACAAAGCTGGGCAATAGTTTTTCATCTAATTATTATAAACTGTTCAGGAAAATATAATACTTCCACATGCTAACCAAAAAGAGCAAGAGTCTCTTCTCAGTTGGGATTCTTGAGTATCACAGTAGAAATGCAACCACTTTAGTTTGACTCACATTCCAAATAGAACAATTTGTTTTCAGGGAACAGCACACACAGGGGGAGGAGGGGGGGGGGGCAGCCAAAACAATGTACTTAGTTGACTGATCTTTGGCTTTTAAATTAACATTGTCACCTTCATATGTACACGCAGTCATCCAGGAAAATTTTGTTATGTTTGAATTCAAACTGCTACTTAATGAGCACTGTGATTCATATCACCCACACAACTCTGCAGTGTTCTTTGGGTTGGGATGTTTCTTGAGCTACCACCAACATGAATTAACCATCCAAGAAATTAGCACAAACCCTATTCTTTCATTCAAAGCTAGACTTGATCCCCGTCATAATAGTGACATTCTATATAGGATGTAGGAACAAAGCCCTCACTGCCGTCATTTTTGCGAACACGTGTCCACCCATCCCCTTGGTCTTGTTCAAGTATTTGCATTTCCTCATTCTCCCCCATGTGGACTGAACCTTCATTGATGGCTGCAGATAAAAGATCATTATAATAAGACCAGAGATAAAAGATTATTATTGCAATATTGATGGCTGTTGGTAACAAGTTTTGAGTAACATTAAATGTTTCATAGAGGGAACTTATTATATCAATAATTGTTTCATACATGGAACAATGTACCAATGATTGTTTCATAGAAGACAATTGTTTCATTTAGGGAACTTACTATACTAATGATTGTTTCGTAGAGGGAACTGTATACCAATAATTGTTTCATAGCGAGAACATTGTGTACCAATAATTGTTTCATAAAGGGAACTTTGTATACCAATGATTGTTTAATAGAGGGAACTGTATACCAATGATTGTTTCATAGAGGGAACTTGGTATACCAATGATTGTTTAATAGAGGGAACTGTATACCAATGATTGTTTCATAGAGGGAACTTGGTATACCAATGATTGTTTAATAGAGGGAACTGTATACCAATGATTGTTTCATAGAGGGAACCAATGGGAACTACACAGCTGATCTTGGACAAAATGAACAGGATTTGAGGAAAACTTCAATTCAAAAGCTGTGACTAAAAACTACAGTCAGCAGAAAACCATCTGTGAAAATCATTTACCTTCAAATGCATACAGAGCTCTACATCGCCCAATGACAGGAAAGTTGTCAAAGTCATCTTCAACATCTTCATCACCATCTATAGGCCTGCAGGATAAAAGAACAGTAAATCAATTGTTATTTCAGTGATTTAAAACCAACAGCATTGATGCAAGTAATTACTGCGCCGTATATTATAAATCAGGGAAACAATTCAAGTATCTAGTACCTTATTAAGTTCTAAGCTTAAGATTACAATTCTACATATTTTATTTGGCAAAATGTATGAGGAACATAAAACATGATTTTCTTCAGCATAAAATTATATTATTTAAAATATCATAGACATGCTGATTGTTAGGCCACATGTGAACAAAACTTACTGGTAAACGTTATGTTGGTTGTGAGGTGTGCCAGGTGCTGACACCTGCTGAATGTGTGGGGTGTCGCCACTGCCAGATGTACTCAATGAATGGCTGTCTTCTGATGCACTGTGGCGCCTGGCATTCTTGCCCTCTGCTTCTGCCAGATATCCCTAAACACAAAAGATTTCTTAATTAACATAGCTAAAGAACATCTTTTTGATTAAGTATTTTTTAAAATTAAATGTACCAAACTCTAGTTCACTTATAAGTTTGTTAAAAGCATGCAATGCATGATTATATTGTAAAAAAATCCGAACTCAATGTAACTCTGTATATGATATAATTTATTAAAAAAAATCAAAATGAAGGTTGTAAATTGATATGAATGTAAAACAGGATAGGATTAGACATACTTCATATTTTGATAACTCTTGTCTCAAGCCATCCAGTTTTTGAGAATTCTCTTCAATTTTTTTCTCTAAGGTGCTGGGGTCACCAAGTGCAGGATTGCTGGCATACACATCTTTCAGTTTCATGATCCCCTCCCTAAGGACACAAATAGTTTAAGTGTTACATTCCATTTTTTTTTTTGCTTTAAATAATCATTAAAATATTTGTCTTTCTAGTACTGACAAAACAACAAAAACAAGCTTTTCAAAGAGTATTTCTTGACTGCTGTTAATGGTAATGGCCATCAATACTAATACAATAATCTTAAAATACCTTTCTTGATTTTCTTTGTACATCTCTTTTTTAATGCTGTCAATTTTTTGTTGAAGCTTCCTCTTCCTCTGGTTAGGTGGTAGATCACTAAAGTCTTCTTTTAGTTCATCAACCTAGAAATTCAAGAATATTCCTGTATTTAACTGGTATAAAGGATAAATCACTCAAGTCTTCATTCACTTTATCAACCTAGAAATGCAATAATACCCTTGTGTTTATCTAGAACAAAGAATACATACAATTACAGTTTTAAGCTGGAAGTACTGGCTATACTAATGAAAAAATGTTTATTCAATTCTTTCAGGGTAAAATTTTTCAAGCAAAAATATTTTTTTGCTGATTTAGACAGTATTTTAATTATTTTTTCTCTTATTTAATTAATCCCACTCGGACTTGATCAATACAATTTACTCTTAAGCAAGATTTTGATTTATTAAAAGCCAAAAAACATACCATTAATTTAAAGTGAAAATCAGAAATAAATTAAAAGTAAAAGCTTCCAACCAAATAAAAAAAATATTTCTTTGAAATTAAAAAGAATCTTTAAAAAGACTCAAAAATGATTGCTATGCTTGGGTGCTGATTTACATTTGAAAATCTTGAGTAATGCAATAAAAATTTAAGTGATAAACTCAGAAACCATTCTGACCGGCAAAAAGCTTTTAAAAATAAGATCTTTTTTCTCTTAAAAATCATGCAATGAATCAGGTTAAAACAGAAAGGGTGCATTTTCAGATGGTACTGACATGAAAAAGTTTTTACTAAGGGGAAAAGAAACCTAAAATTCAAACTGTAAATCTAAATTCCCCTCAACAGGAAATGTTTTTTTTACTACTTACTGTTGACCAAAGCTGTCTCAAAAACAGTAAACATAAACAGCAAATAAAAATGGATGGCCATAAAAAAACATGTTACATTTTGGATTAAGCAATAGGTTTTAAACTGTGCAACACAATATAGGAATAACAGTGGGTAACAACACTTAAACTCTAGAAAAATTCAGCTATGAAAAGAAGTAGCAAAATCAGAACGTTTTACTCTTTTAATGTCCCGTAACGCCCGCTGCCGCCCGACACCGTTAATGTCCCGTAACGCCCGCTGCCGCCCGCTTACAATACGCATAGAAAAATTAAATTTGTTTCATTAAAATTTGGCCTACAAATCCTAATTTTTAACTAAACAGGAAGTCGGATTGTTTCAGCATCCTTTTCCGGTCTTTTAATTTCAATGGCGCTTTTGAAAGATATAAAATAATAGTTTCTTTCTATCTCGAAATTTTAGACTCATCTGTCCTATTTTTAGTAGATTTAATATTAAAAATAAAATAAAGTAATGCCTCTAAATGTATCTAGGCATGTATTTTATGAATTATATATCTTAAACATAACCAAATTGATATTTAACTGTTAAATTCGATGCATAGTTGTTTAGAAAAAAATAAATAAAGTTGACTACCGAAAATGACCTGTTTTGAATTTTCTCCGACATTTTTTATTTTTATACTGTACTTTTACCAAATATAATATATTCTATTTAATACTGTTGGAAAGCCAGGTTTATTCCCAACATTAAGCAATAGTTTTTATCTTAATTTTTAATTTCATTTAGACAAAAACAAATATTTTGTGAAACTATTCACTTGATCATACAGAGTTATGCTCCTTACATCGGGCCGTCATGGGTGGAGTTTTGGTAGAATTAATGGGACATTAATGGTTAAGTATCAGGTTTAGTTAAAAAGACAAAATAATTTTTAAAACTACAATACACACCATTAAATATACCACCATTAAAAGAATAATATTTTCACAGAAAGGACAGATATCAAGACTGGAATACAAAATTTACATTTGAAAATTTACAAAAAGATAGAATCTACATCCTTGAAATAATTTCATTCGAAGCATAATATTCTACATATTTTTAAAATACTTTTTAAATAGTTAAAAAGACAGGCAGGCTAAAAAAGTCTACCTAGAAAAAATTCTAGTAACCTAAGCAGATGTTTCATGTCCACTATTAAAACACCTTCATGCAAGAGACTTTAAAGAAATGTAACACCATAAACACTAATTCGCATTAGCTATGTTAATGTAGAATTGCTGATTAACAACAATGGAAGTAAGCACACTTCTCTGAAATTCAAACATTCGTGTGGAAATCAAGAGGAATTTTTGCTGAGATAAAAACAGACTGCTAAACATAAAAACTGCAGAGGGTGATTTGTAACACTGGAGACTGACAGGATCAATAGAAAATTATTAAAATATTTTACTTATTCATGCTTTGTTAAATACAAAATGCTATTATTTTAACAATATTTAATATGGTAGCAAAACATTACAGATTTTTTGGGCAATAGTTGTTACAATTACCAAATAAAACACAAGCCTGCTTTAAAATAAATACATTTTTGGGATATAATTTTGTTCAGCTACTAGTTAGACCAGCCTGGACGGTGGTGCCAAGGCAAGAGACTGTCATGTGACCAGAGACAACTACAGGAACACACCAATCTAGGTTTACTTACTTTTCCCTTGATAGAGAGAAGCAGAAAAGGAAATGACAGATCATTTTTATTACAGTAATAAAACAAAAAGTGCCCATTCAAAATATAAACCATGTAATGCTAATGTTGAACTGAAGAGCATGTGAGAATACAATAAAGAAAAGTATTCAACCATAAAGAGGTAAGAAATTGATGATATAGATTATTTGTTTTTTATATTTAATTTTTTAGAAGTTACTGAAATGCAAAAAGTGTTAATAAAGCTACGAGTAAACAGTAAAACATACACAATACAAAATACTGCTTTATAAACTAACCTTTGAAGAGCCGAACAGACCAAATATTCCTCCTCTTTTCTTGGACTTGCCTGACAGTGTTGCGCTTTTCACAGTGTTTGATGGTGTGTTCACGCGTGAGGGTAGGGGGTTGTTTGTTGGCTCAAAAGGCTGGCCGGTGCTCAGGTCTTCAAAGGGCAGGTCGTCAGGTATAGGAAAACCTGACTTGTAGCGCTCTATCACTGATTTACTATCCTGTGGAAATTAATAGAGTTAAGTACACTTTTGAACTTTGTGTGGGCAGGTGAAGTAGAGTTCGGCAGTTGAAGTGATAGTGTGTTTGGCTATGCACAGTTCCCTTTAACTAAGGTGAGACATGATACCAGCAGAGCTAGGTGGACCCATGGACATCTCAAGTCCAAACTGTTTAAGTCCAAAGATTTTCAGACTAGCAGTTGTACTCTTAATCATCTGACAACTATGTCCCATAACATAAAGAATTATTTTCAAAATATTTACACTACTTGGTTTAGTGTAACAATGCTGTGTTTTAAAACAAAGGACAGATGGATGCAACTAACAACATTTAGCTTACTTGTGTAGGATCAATATTAGCTGCAGCTCTAGCAATGCCCTCTATACATGTGTTTATAATGGGTATGACATTTTTTTCTATTTCTGCACACTGGAGAATACATTCCTGAATCTTTAAAATCCTTTTCTCATCCATGTCTTGAAGTAACTGTAAGAATGTAAAACACTAATTTAATTGATTATATCACACAGAATGTATCATTTGTCTTCGTTACAGAGTAAAAACAATTATAAAGCCTTTACAGCAAGAAGCTTTTAAATGAACTAAAATTAAGAAAACTAAGTTTTAATAGGAGAAATGAACAAGAAGCTTTTAAATGAACTAGAATTAAGAAATTAAGTTTTGAAAGGAGAAATGAAAGCATTTGTCAATCCATAAATCTTTTCAATACATTTTATTTTCATTTCTTGGATTAAATTAGAAAAGATTTGAAATGTCTACGAGGAAGAATGACAATTAAATAGCCTTTACAGAATTGTAATGCCAAAGGAATTTAATCGTGTAGGACTTGAACATTTCTGTGAGTCAAGTTGGCAATCACATTTAAAGCAATATCAAACAAAAGGAACAGAACCTGAAAGACTTGAGGCATTGACATGGTGTAGTACTCATTCTGTTGGTGGTTGTAGTTTTGGATCTGAGTTGCATATTCACTCTTACATTCTTCATTCAGCTGCACTTTCTGGTTCATGGTCATACGGTACTGAAAAAATGTAACAAAACTATTTAGAACCAGATATAAAATCTAATATATAAAGCTCAGTTCTGTATGTAATGCATTTGTATGTCGTTGGAATTGTACGATTTTAAGTGTTAGAAAAATTATCATGCGCATTTGTCTAAATTTATGAGCTACAAAATTACTATTGAAAGTGTTGGGAAATAATTTTCATTTTTCAAATTATAGTAATAATTGTCGGCATGTTCATTAAACACAAGTTTTAAAAAAAATATCATCTTTTACAAAAATTCTAATTATGTCTTTATTTAGTCCTATAGCACTTACTTCCCTTTGATAAATTAGGAAAAACACAATTACTTCCCTTTATAAAACCATTGCATTCCGTGAAAATAATTTACTTTTTAATTACTTTGTTTTGGTGTTGGGAAAAAAAATAATTACATAATTAGCGGGGATTGATCAAGTGCAAATGTTGTAGGTATTTTACGGATAAGCTTGGAGTATTAAAATTGTTTATTAAATTGAAACAGGCGCGTTCGTTTAAGTGAGTGCAAAAGACTGTGAATAAGTTGGGGTACTATAGTCGTTCATTAAGCTAAAACAGGTGATTCCGCCCCGGGCGTTTATGTTCGCGTTAGTGTTTTCTTTGTGTTTAGGTGGGTTTGCGTTAGTGGTTGCGTTTTAATTTGGTTCGTTTTTGTTCTTTCTTTTTTCGTTTTTGTTTGTGTTTTTTTTGTTTGGGTTTGTATTTGTGTTTTTGGTTGGTTTTGCGTTTGGATTTGGTTTGTTTTCGTTTGCTTTTTTCGTTGATTTTTTTTTTGTTGGTATTGGTGTTTGTGGTTGGGTTTGTTGTTAGGTTTTTGTTTTCGTTTGCTTTTTTGTTTGTTTTTTCTTTGTGTTTGTATTGGTGTTTGTGGGTGTGGTTGTGTTTGTTGTTAAGTTTTTGTTTTCGTTTGTATTTGTAATTGTGTTAGCGTTATGTTTGCGTTTTGTTGTTTTGGTTTTGGTTGGTTGTGGTTTGGGTGGGCAATGCCGGGTTTATGATGATTACTAAACACACAGGTAATGGTCTTTAACAGAAAGGTTTTTCACAGAAGCCAGAGCAGGGCCTGGCCGGGACGGCTAGTTATACTATAATTGTCAAAGACTTCCATTTTTAATTGAGAACCCAATGTGGTGTAACCATAATTATTCATAGGTCATTAATGTGTAACTGCCTCATAAATACAAAGGCTTTCTGTGTGGAGACAAAAATAAAAAATTTGAATGCGTTTTACCTTTTCTACTTCTGCCCGGGATAAGTTGATATCTGCATCTGCTTTCCTATAGTTATCTAAGGCTTTCTCTGATTCAAAGTGGGACCGCTCATACTTGCGCTTTGTCTGAAGAATAAAATAACAAATTAACAAAAAAAAATTGTATAAAAATAAATTAATATCTCTATCTATGAATCTATGCAGTTTTAGATCAAACCTTATTTAAAACATTTCTCTAAGTGATATGTAAATAAATAAATAATTAATTTATAAGAAATAATACAGGAAACAGGCATGCGCTTACTTTCTCTAAAGATTGGACTGACTGTCTTAATACATCTTGAAGTCTGGCTCCTTCTTGTAAATTCTGACCAAAAAAAAATATTTCAGTTTGAAATGCGTTTAACTTGACTGTGTAAATGTACCAGTTATTCAACAACTTTACAAATGTCAAGGTCAGGATATAAGAGACCAATGAATCTTTGCTTACTTTTGAACTAACAGCTAATCAAACAATGTGCATTTATCCCCCCCCCCCCCCCCCAACTTGATTAAGTTATTACATGGTTATTTTTCTTAGGTGATTGTTAATCCTAACATCCATTTTTTTCTTCTAAAGAAGTGTATTTTAAAATATTATAACCTGTAACAATTTAAGCATTATTTTAGAATGACTGAATTTAAAATTTTAAAAAAATCTATTGAAAAAAAAACTAATGCAAAAAAGTGATTGCGGTGGTATGTTGTCAAAATTCTGACCTTTTTTCTATCTGTTTTTAATTCTTGGACCAGATCAGAAACATTCTTGTTGACTGTCCCTTGTATGTTTTCAGCAATGACCTCATGTTGACCAGCCATATCATAGACTTCTTTTAGCATGTCAAGAAATGCTCTAGACCAAGTAAACCTGGAGGCAGATTTCCAGCAGTTTAAAAATAAAATTTACAATATCACAAGCACAAGATTTTAACTAAAATTTGGGTTCAGAAAAGTGTGGATGTAAGTAATGTTTAGCTAACTTTTAATGGAAGACTGGTAATGTACACTATTAATTTAAATCATCAAAATCCAAACAATCTAAATCTTTTTTTTTTTAAATGAACAATAGACTAAGTTGCAAGAATAAAGATTTTACTTACGAGAACTCATCTTCTTCTTTTTTCTTGGGGCTAAAATTTTTTACTAATCTTCTGTAAATAGATAAAAATAACAATGGTTATTAGCAAATATGTTAATATTAGGCTAATATTTATTTAAAAATATCAAGTCAATATCCCTTAATTTGGAAACACAGTAAGAAAAGGAAATAAGTAAATTAAAGGGCTTAACATGTTATAGTTATAGGTGTACAAAGTTTAAAGTAGGAAGAATAAACAAAACATAAAAGATTAAAATCAATGAAAAGGGAACAATATTCAGATGAAATGGATTGCTGTGTAGGAGTACAATCTCCTATATGAATCACTTATACCCCGGCACACAAATATCTACTGCTGGTTCTCAGAGTTTTATTGTTTAAATTTTTTCTTGTCACTAAACATTAGACATTCCCAAATTTAAAACACAGTAAGATGCTGATATAAGTAAATCGGGAAACAAATGCAATAGAATCTTAGAAGTAAACAATGAGAATTGAATATTTAAGGGAAAGCTCTTTCAACCATGAAAGGAGCAACAAGTGAAGGGACAAGTGAAGAATATAAAGAAGTTAAACTTGAGGGACACACCTAATGACTGCTAGGAACACCTTGTTGCCAAAGAGAACTTTTTACATTAACCCTAAAGCGTAATACAGCAATAAGTCAAAGGTCAGACTAAACTAGGTTAATGAGGGAGTTAGTCTGGTTGGTTACTCTCCTTGTTACTACCATGTACAGAGAATGTTTAGGGAGGGGAGGGGTGTCTGAAATCAATGTACGCAAAATCACAAGTCCACACCCACAACTACACCACGTGACTCAGCAACGAGGAATTTTTTTCCGCTAATTTTTTTTTGTTTTAGCAGGAGCGTGAGCAGAGGTGGGGGGGGGAGGGGGGGAGAGAAAAAAATTAGCAAATTTGTGTATGAAAGTGCGGGTGAGAGAAGGGGCAAGGGGGAAAAAAATCTGTACCGTAGAAGTTAATGTGACAAAGCATCCAACAGCTGTTGTTTTTAAAGGAGGAGGAAAATTTCAAGACCAGTCCACGCTAATGGAAGGGTGATAATTTACGTGGAAATTAAGGATTCTATAGGGATATGTAAGTCGGCTACGTGCTTACTGAAGCGCACTAAATACTACGTTTGGTTGGGCTACATCCAATACACGGATAGGCCATACGTCTATAGGTGTATGGTCAACGACAGTGTAGCGTCAAAGAAATCAACGGAGAAGCTCTTTCACCTTTGTCGTATCAACATGTAAGGTCATAACTTTACATATTAAAGAAAACAAGTACAAAAACCTTTGATAATTACAAACTTTTAAATTTAAATGCACTAAAAATAAGAAAATAAACACCATACATGTTTTAGCAATAATAGATGCGTAGGCAACAAAATATAATAAAAATATTTCAACTACTTTCAATACACTTCGAAAGAAAATTTGCGCTTATCTAATTGTTTATAGTGCATCTGAAAGCTTATTGTTAAGGTATTTATACTAGTTTTATTTTGTACTGTTTAGTATTTGTATTTTGTAAACACATAAGCACAAATCGATACTTCAGTTTAAAAGACAATTAGTACAATATTTATTTTTTCTACGCCGATCGTTCTTGTCGCTAATACTCCTAGACTTGATAAAATCTCTTTAGACAGACTAGTAGTTCTATTCTCTGCCCGATAGCAACAGGTATCTAAGATTTATAACCATACGTCGTGAACCAAGGTCACCCGACTTATCGGGATGGCCTACGATCTGCTGTTCTAAACTTAGGTTAGTCAATGTAGACATCTTTCATTTTTATAATTATTTTTTTTTAAACTAATTACATTGCAGACGATTATACTCTTGCTTTGTCTCTGGTAATTACACACAAAAAAAACAGTAAATTTTAAAAAAATATTAGGTTGTAATCGAATTACATGGTTTGACAACAAACCCACAAGCTTACAACTTATGGGGCGCAAGTACTGGGCAAGCTATAAAATAGAATAGAGGACTAATCTCTGAACGACAAGCGTACTACACATGTAATTGGGACAGAAGACGAGATAGGCACGTAACAAACAATTAACGATGTAAACAAACACGGGCATCATGTCGGCCAGTGCACAGAGATGACAACACAGACACAGATAAAAACACAGACAGGTTATAACGCAGAGATAAAAAAAAAAACAGACAGAGGGTTCCCATTTTACTTCTCACCACCCACTCCCACAAACACTGGCTCTGTTCACAAATGTACACAAACCGAACGACTTTCTAATTGTAGTTTGTGGCCAATCACGGCTCACCTAGCAAGAGATTTACTAGGTAAAATATATACCAACAGAACGACTTTCTGACTGCCCCCGTCCCACACGAGCTTTTACAGAGTAAATAAACAGGGGCGTCTAGGAAGGGAAGAGTCATGGCTGATTACTTGAACACCTGGAGTCTGCAGGCACTGCATGCAGCCACGAGAGCATTGTGAGAGCACGCCCCTCCCCCCTCCTACACAAAGAAGCGAAAGCCGCTAGCGTGCATGACTTTTAAAAAAAAAAAGTGTACTCGAATGCCGACATCGCACTGTAGCGGCCTTCACATAAACGCAGGTGGGGGAGGGGGTGGACTAGACACTACAGTCGACCCTGACTCCAATATTATATAACCTTGTTGATTTAGTTACCTGCAGGGGGGAGGGGGGATGGATGGTATAAACAAAATAAACAATAGGCCCTCTACGACACTGTTTAACATAAAGGCGGGAGAGCAAAGTCGAATCGCCCAAGCGGGGAAACCAATCTAGCAATCAGACCTATAATCTAGATCGTGTCGTTTTATCAACTGTTCGCACACATGGAAAGCCACAGCGACAGATTATTTAAAGCCGCATATCGGCAAGATACAAATGAGGAAGTTTGTTTACATTTAACCCTGTACATTTTATCATCCGGTATGATGGCCACTAAGTTAACAATACAACAAAATGTAGTGTGGTGAAAGCGTGATAGCGTAAAGGAAGTTATAAAATTCAACAAAATGTAGTGTGGTGAAAGTGTGATAGCGTAAAGGAAGTTATAAAATACAACAAAATGTATTGTGGTGAAAGCCTGATATCGTAAAGGAAGTTATAAAATACAACAAAATGTAGTGAGGTGAAAGCCTGATACTGTAAAGGAAGTTATAAAATACAACAAAATGTAGTGTGGTGAAAGCGTGATAGCGTAAAGGAAGTTATAAAATTCAACAAAATGTAGTGTGGTGAAAGCGTGATAGCGTAAAGGAAGTTATAAAATACAACAAAATGTATTGTGGTGAAAGCGTGATAGCGTAAAGGAAGTTATAAAATACAACAAAATGTAGTGAGGTTAAAGCCTGATACTGTAAAGGAAGTTATAAAATACAACAAAATGTAGTGAGGTGAAAGCCTGATAGCGTAAAGGAAGTTATAAAATACAACAAAATGTAGTGTGGTGAAAGCGTGATAGCGTAAAGGAAGTTATAAAATACAACAAAATGTATTGTGGTGAAAGCGTGATAGCGTAAAGGAAGTTATAAAATACAACAAAATGTAGTGTGGTGAAAGTGTGATAGCGTAAAGGAAGTTATAAAATACAACAAAATGTATTGTGGTGAAAGTGTGATAGCGTAAAGGAAGTTATAAAATTCAACAAAATGTAGTGTGGTGAAAGCGTGATAGCGTAAAGGAAGTTATAAAATACAACAAAATGTATTGTGGTGAAAGCGTGATAGCGTAAAGGAAGTTATAAAATACAACAAAATGTATTGTGGTGAAAGTGTGATACTGTAAAGGAAGTTATAAAATACAACAAAATGTATTGTGGTGAAAGTGTGATACTGTAAAGGAAGTTATAAAATACAACAAAATGTAGTGTGGTGAAAGCGTGATAGCGTAAAGGAAGTTATAAAATACAACAAAATGTATTGTGGTGAAAGCTTGATACTGTAAAGGAAGTTATAAAATACAACTAATTAAAAAATGTACTAGGCGAATAAATGTCAAATAACCAAACGCAACACGGCCAAAACGACAGCAGCGATTCATTATTTATCATTGCCATTGATTTACAACGCCATCATACCAAATCGTTTGAAGCCCAGTAATCAAACACCCATTCAATTACTTGTCCGGTGCATTCCTATTACCTCCTAAGCAAAGAAAGAAATCTCCCTACCAGGAATTTAGCCTGTGGTTATAAGTGAATCTACTGTAAGGTTAGGTTGTTTTTTAACTAGATCTATAAATAAAGCAGATAATCTGATTTCCTGATTTAGGTTGAAAAAAATGCACTATAAATCTTCAACAAACTGCCTTTAAAAGTCTATCTTATACAAATCAAGCAATTTAAAATCGATTCTTCTCATGGGAGGTCATGTTTGTCTACCTAGTTGTTTAAAGTTTGAAGAGAAGACCCAGCCACCACGAGCCAGGGGAGGTAACCACCAGACAGGGGCGGTAAGGCGGTGGGACGAGGTGTGAAATTTTCAACGGTCAGTCCGCACAACCAGCGTCCAGTTGGAGGGGCTTCAATATTTTTTTTTTACACGTAACGGGTTTCTCCGATGATGCAAGCGACGTTGGTCCAGATGTAAAAATTTCAGCCATGTTCGGGACTCCGGGCCAGGAGATTAGAAATGTTGACCCAAGAGATTTGACCCACGCGATTTTTTTTAATAAGGCAACATCGCTATACAAGTCAGAAATATCGATGGGGAGGGCTAGCCAACATATGCGTGGACAGTGCGCCAGGTCGTATGTGGGCAAGCTTTGGGTCACCATGACATGTGTACACGTACTCGGTGACCGGTAGTCTACTAGACGTATGTATAAGTCTTGTGAGACCAGTAGACGACCAGACGTATGTATAAGTATTGTGAGACCAGTAGACGGCCAGACGTATGTATAAGTCTTGTGAGACCAGTAGACGGCCAGACGTATGTATAAATATTGTGAGACCAGTAGACAGCCAGACGTATGTATAAGTATTGTGAGACCAGTAGACGGCCAGACGTATGTATAAGTATTGTGAGACCAGTAGACGGCCAGACGTATGTATAAATATTGTGAGACCAGTAGACGGCCAGACGTATGTATAAATATTGTGAGACCAGTAGACGGCCAGACGTATGTATAAATATTGTGAGACCAGTAGACGGCCAGACGTATGTATAAATATTGTGAAACCAGTAGACGGCCAGACGTATGTATAAGTCTTGTGAGACAAGTAGACGGCCAGACGTATGTATAAATATTGTGAGACCAGTAGACGGCCAGACGTATGTATAAATATTGTGAGACCAGTAGACGGCCAGACGTATGTATAAATATTGTGAGACCAGTAGACGGCCAGACGTATGTATAAATATTGTGAGACCAGTAGACGGCCAGACGTATATATAAATATTGTGAGACCAGTAGACGGCCAGACGTATGTATAAATATTGTGAGACCAGTAGACGGCCAGACGTATGTATAAATATTGTGAGACCAGTAGACGGCCAGGCGTATAAGAATTGTGTGACCACTAGACGGCCATTTAAGTATTGTGTGACCAGTAGATAACCAGACGTGTACATAAATTGTGTGACAACTGGACGGCCAGACGTGTGTACAAGTATTGTGTGACCAGTAGCCGAGCAGACGTGTGTACAAGTATTGAGTGTCCAGAAGACAGCTAGTCACTGTGTACAAGTACACAACCACCACAAAACCACATGTGTAGCACCAATAGACCACAGCAAGCTAACCAATCACCCTATCTACAATAACACATGCAAATTGTAATGACACACTCGCCGGTGATCCTACGATATTATAACCAAGTACACTTGGAGGCTATCTGCCATATCAGACCACACAGAGACAATGAAAACAAAAAAAAACTAAACCACGAGGGAAGGGGTGGTTTCGGTTTAGAAAATGAGGTATGGCGTGCCAAGATTGTGTAGCGAAGGCACGTCTAAAAAATAAAACACTTAATCGATAGCGTGTTGTCTTTTTTTTTAACCACTTCTTTCAAAATGTAGATAGATACACACACGACGCCTCAGCTGTACTAGAGTATAGCCAGGGCAACGTTTATACAGCTGTCACTCTAAGTGCTGAAAGGAAACGGTCATAAGTGTTTTCAAAACGTTAGTTCCCTTTTGGCAAATCTTTTCACAACACGAAGGGTAATGCATTCTTCCTGATCTACAACACAAGGAAGTGATAAGTATTAGTATATGTATCAGGCAGTGACGTGGTGTACAATAAATTAATTTTCTGGCGCAGAACATACATTATCAAAAAGGGGGAAAATACAAAAAATGTCCATAGTGAAACACGAGGCTAGCTCTAGATTTCTACCTGATTAATATTTGCTACTTTAAACAGAAATTCTTAATGGACACCAGCGAGAAAAGTCTCAAAGGTATTTGAGAGGTCCATAAATTAATTTAAAAATCTTGCACGGCGTAGTTACAATTAATATGGTTATAAAATCCTGTCTGTCTGTTTTTTTTTCGGACTTTACTAAAGATTGGATGTATTTGATGTTTTTAATATTTTTGGTAACTAAATAAAAAATTTTAAAAAAAAAAGCAAAAACAATTTGGTTTTCACGTGTAATGGCGACATAAACAATGGCATCCTGTTATTCGATAGGCCGCCATAAATTTTACTGTACACGTTGTAAGCTAAAAATAGAAAAACTAGGTCATGGGGTTTACATTTGCATTGTTATTTAAAACTTGATCTGCAAAGTTTTGTAAACAAAATAACTATAAAGTGGGGCTGTCAGAAATCGATCACGGAGTTCCTTTACAGCCAATCAATGTTTGTCTTACGAAAGTGAAACATCGGGTTAAAACTTAGGCTTGATGAAAATAAATAGAAATGTAGCCTTAAACTCAACAAATTATTTTCAAGTTCTCTGGATCTGCAACTTGTATAGCATTGATTCTAAAAATATTAAATTTCTGAATTAATTTTAGGCTTAAGTTTTTAATAAAATTGTATCTTTTATTATTTTTTTGGTCCTAAATCTAAAAAAGCACATTTTGATTCCATGTCAACAACATTACGGAAGGATTTTCGTCAACTCACTGGTGTCCATTTATCAAATTTGTTCTATCAATTTGAGCCATGGTAAACTGCAGACACCACTGTTTCTGTGGTATTGCTTAAATTTTGTATGACGTGGATGCCCCGACCCATTACGGCTTTAAGGTATACAGCTGTGAATCAAGCAATGCTAACGCCCTATTGTTCTATTTTTACTTTTAAATCGAGGGCGCAAGGCTTAGGCTGACCAGCACATACCCCGAAAGCAATGAACCGTGACCGTCTTTGTCACGGCTATGCGTGTGTAGTTTTTGGCCATTCGCCTCTTGCACGACTACACATAGACCATACCGGACGTACCAATTAGCATTAAGAACCTCAATGTTACAATAGGTACAGCTAATGAAGTGATCAGTAGCATTGTGAATGTTACAATCAAGTTACATAAATGAAGTGATCGGTAAGATTGTAAATGTTACGGTAAGACTGTGAATGTTGCAAACAATCACAAATGAAGTGATCAGAAAGATTGTAAATGTTACGGTAAGACTGTGAATGTTGCAAACAAGAATCACAAATGAAGTGATCAGAAAGATTGTAAATGTTACGGTAAGACTGTGAATGTTGCTAACAAGAATCACAAATGAAGTGATCGTTAAGATTGTATATGTTACAGTAAGACCGTGAATGCTACAATCAAGTATCAAAAATGAAGGTATCAGTGAGATCGTAAATGTTACGGTAAGATTGCGAATGCTACAATCAAGAATCACTAATGAAGTGAACAGTATCATTGTTATCATTGTTATCAGTATCATTGTTATCAGTATCATTGTATATGTTACAGTAAGACCGTGAATGCTACAATCAAGTATCACTAATGAAGGTATCAGTAAGATCGTAAATGTTACAGTAAGATTGCGAATGCTACAAACAAGTATCACTAATGAGGTGAACAGTATCATCAGTAAGATTGTAAATGTTACTGTAAGACTGTGAATGGTACAAACAAGAATCACAAATGAGGTGAACAGTATCCTCAGTAAGACTGTAAATGTTACTGTAAGACTGTAAATGTTACAAACAAGAATCACAAATGAGGTGAACAGTATCATCAGTAAGATTGTAAATGTTACTGTAAGACTGTGAATGTTGCAAACAAGAATCACAAATGAAGTTATCGTTAAGATTGTATATGTTACAGTAAGACCGTGAATGCCACAATCAAGTATCACCAATGAAGGTATCAGTAAGATCGTAAATGTTACGGTAAGATTGCGAATGCTACAATCAAGAATCACTAATGAAGTGAACAGTATCATCAGTAAGATTGTAAATGTTAAGGTAAGACTATGAGTGTTAAATCAAGTATCACAAGCGCGGTACTTTTGTGTGTGAATACTGATCACTTTACAACCCTCGATGCTACGGAACAATGTGCTCAAGCGGCGGACACACATGGGGAATATTCCCGATCAAAGTGGCCACGAGTGGCAGTTAATGTGGCCAAACGTGATGGCCTACTTGAGCTGAATGCACTGAAAAGTGCCAGTTAAATCAGAATCAATTCACGCTAATTAATTGCAACACAAACAGTAGTGCTTAATCAGATGCTAGCTACATCGAAAGAGGAATCTAAAACAGAACTTAAGTGCTAACAAGCTACTATAGAGGGCCTCGTAATTTGGCTAACAGAAGAATATAACATGATGGTATTAGCACAGTTGAGCAACACGTAAATAACTAACCGATGAATTTAAGTAATGTCTATCACTACAGTCTTTCTTTACCCGCGGTCCATTAGTCACACTGAGCCACTTTATGCGACTAAGCGCTGTTTGTTCTATTCAATATACAGATGTTTCTACGAAAAAAATGCCAGAAAAAAAACACCTGTACAAGTTAAAGTTAAAGTACAAGAAAAAGAACCAACTTTCCGTGCAGGTGTTTTTTAGTGTAATAATAGCAGCAGAACTAATGTTTAAGGTTGCTGACACCTGAGCTAGCCCAAGTGAGGACCCCTGTAGCATACAGACATCTCGACGTCCAATGTTGTTGACCTTGAACAAAAATAACTGACTGAAAGAATTTAGACGAAGGTTATCGTTGCAGTAAAAAGGGTGGAGACGAACAATCCCCTTTTTATCGCCTTGCGCCATGAGAGTTCGCTTCATTCACAAAAAGAACAGTAACAGAAAGGGGGGAGGGTCGAACTAAGACGCTGAAGTAGGCCGTCGTACGGATGATTACTCAAGATGGCGGAGATCAACACTTGTTCCACTTGAAGTTAGGGGTCAGATGTCTAAGGTTCAACAGGTCAAGTGTACACTGCCAATTAACGAGGTGGAGTTAAAGAAAGGAAACAAACCTGGTCACAAGGTAAACAAGTGAGCGACACATTAGCCGGGACATTAAGTCTGTCAACACGATGGCTGGTGGGGGCAGCTGCCAGCTGATGATAGTACAAGTCCTAGTCACCACGCTGCTCGTCAGCCGTGCAACGACAACAGAGTCGGGCAAGTGTGAAGAGATCCAGATCCCCATGTGCCGGGGGCTCATCAAATACAACTCCACCAAACTCCCCAACAAGTTCGGCCACGCCACACAATCTCAAGTCTACTGGGCCCTACAGCCCTGGTGGCCGTTCGCCGACACCGGATGCTCGGACAATCTCCGGAACTTTCTGTGCGGCATGTACCTCCCCAGGTGCGCCGGGGACGAGACCGAGCCGCACTACCCGTGTAGAGAGACGTGCAAGAAGGCTAAAATCCGGTGCAAGAAAGCCATGAAGGAGCAGAACACCAACTGGAGCGAGCAGTTCAAGTGTATACAGCTCCTGCCCAAGGACTCGCACCGCTGCGTCAAGCCCGAGAGAGAGACCAAGAAGAAGCAGAACAAGAGCAACGCCCTGTGTCAGAGCAACAAGTTAGCCATGTGCCAGACTATGCCGTACCCCCTAGGGTCCCTACCCAACATGTTTCTTCAGGTGAGTCACTCAATTTGCTCATTTATTGTTTACTTCAGCGTAATAACAACACTTCCTGTTTAAACTGCACGTTCTTTGTTCTACATTTATAAGCCTAATCTAAAACTAAGCTCAACAAATACATCATTAACATAGCATACCAGCATAACTATTGCCAATTTCATCTAACTTCAATAATAATAAATATTTACTTTGTTTTTATTGAACAAAGTTACAAAAATGCATACAAAAATAAAGCAACTTAGATCCACTCTGAAAAACTTGACTAGGCCGATGTGTCAGAAATCGACGCGGAAATGCAACAATTCCAACCCCTCATGGACACCGGATGCTCCAAGAAGCTGCGGTTCTTCCTGTGCGGCGTGTACATGCCGTTTTGTATCCCAGACCCGCACAAGAAAACAAAACCGGGAACGGAACTGAAGAAGCCATTGTCCAATAAACTACCGCTGGTGGTGCCGTGTCGCGAGCTGTGCCAGGTAAGGAATCTAACAACAACTTCTCGCATACAGATGTTGACATTTGAATACAATTCATAGTGTCGGATTACTCGGCTTTAGAAATAACAGAGGGAATAAATGGCATATACTGACAACTTAACAAAGATAAACACTCACGGTCACATGTCTTGGCAATAAAATAAAAAAGTCTATAAGATTTTTTTTTCAAATTAATGGAGAAAAAAACCCACTCACGTTACTACGAACACACGAAATACAGAGTATGTATAACATAACCTAATTGCGACACAAAATACTTCGTGCTCAGCCAAGTGAAACCTGACAGTTAAAAAGTGAAGAAACCTTATTGCCCTTACAGCATTCCACTCTTTTCACTTAGTTTATTTAAACAGAGGGCCGCTACGTGCTCTGTCCCCGTCTGTCGGTGTCTGGCTGTTAACGGCCCTGGTTATAGACCAGAGTTTATTCACTTGAGTCAAACGCTAATCAATACTCGTTTCATTAACTGGTAATAGTCTAGAAATATGTAACTTACATTGATTTTTTTGTAGCGTACTATAAAAATTATGAAGGAAAAAAAAACTAATGCTCATGTACGTATATCCCACAATCAGGAGATCTTTGCTAAGTGTAACGACGAGTACCAGCTGATGTCACAAGGACTGCCGTGGCCGGCAAAGTTCCACTGTAACAGGTTTCCGTCCTACCTCGACCAGAACAACAAAACTGCCAAGAAGGTGCCCAGGGAGGGGGGAGAAGGGAGCAGAGTCACGTGCATCATGCCGCCCCCTGATTACCAGGGATAAAATGATCTCAGTAGCAAAACTACAACAGTGCTACTTTGGGGCAGCATTACTACCCTACCCTTAGGTAGCAATACCAAAGTTAGAACCACATTGTAAATACCCAAACATTGTCAATACTGTCAAACATATGCATGCTTTCTGGTGTGTGATATATTTGTTAAAAAAGAAAAATCTGACCAAAACTGTAATAGTTATGTTATATATAACGAGCGTATATGTAATGTATTAGTTAACATTTGCCTACTACGTGTTTATTCTGAATGTAAATTAAATCTCTGATTACACCAACAACATGTTTTAAACTGCTTCATTCCAACAACACATTGTGAGTGCTCATCCGACAGCCACACCCACTACAAGCTCGATGATAGCGAGACTTCAACGCCGAACAAAACGCTAATGGCCAAAAGTTCTGTTATCGGTGAATTCCGCTACACCTGGGTACGGCTAATCGATCAGACCGCAACCTAAAAAAAAAAAATCCCCGGCTACATTTCCCAACGAACACTTGACCGGTCGTGATTTCTACACAGCCCAGGCTCCCATCAGAGCGAGTGTGTAGGTGATGTCAAGCGATTCCCTCCCCTATCTATCATTTATTTCCTCCCCGGGTGACGGCACACTTCAGCCGGCTTTACCCAGCCAACCGCAAAGGTAAATCTCAGGTAAATCAATCAGCAGCATCTACCTGGCCAACTGAAATCTCGGCGCTTAACACAGCTTAATACACACTTTTTTTTAAGAAAACAACAAGAGAAAATCCGATACAATATCAAAACGACAGAAATGTCATTGAAGTTGGGCGGTGACCTACAAGTTTCCGGTATCAAGTGAATTAAAATTGCCTCAAGCTAAAATAACAAACGATTCTGGTTTGTTTTTAAGGGGTTGAATTTTACATTGAAAAAAAAAAGGTTTCACCGGAAGGACAAAACTGCATCGTAATGAGAATGAATTTTTTTTTCGCCGACACCGCAGTTAAGGTCAGGGCCAGAAACTGGACAGAAAAACTAGAACCAGAAACGACAAATATTATAAGCACTGCGACGTCTCTCAAGCACCAAAACATTAACTTCTATGCAACATGACTCGTCTCAAATTACAACTAGCAACCAGTCGTCGTTCACGGGACAGCCTCAACACACAGAGACAGACACAATCCTCACTTATACAGAAAAGGACCACGAAAGCAGAACATACCCCCCTCCCCAAAAATTAGCACAACGACTATACAACAAGAGCCTAGAGATCAATGCGGATAGAGACAAGGTAAGGATCGGGATATGGAGCTGGATAGGTATCCTAAGTATTCTTTCTCTCTAGTTGGGGGAGTGGGGGGATATAATGACCTAGGCACATGTGTCACAACCGCAACCCCTATTTTGCCTGCACTTGATTTGCAAGAGGTTATTCCCTAGCCAATAAAGATTGAACACAGAGAATGAATTAGAACAGCACAAGTGCAGAAATTGAATCCCTGCAAGGGTAGAACAAAGGAAGAGGAAGTGAACAACCACCACTACAATGTCAGAACAAAAGTCATGTTTATTTACAGCAACAGCAAAGTTGGCACTGGACCATTAATACATTACACAGCAAAAACTAAACTATCAAAAGGAAAGTAAAATCACTCGATAAAAGATATCTAACTTGCTAAATGATACAAAGAACTATTTTTGTCTTAGTTAAATTTTAATTTTGTTGCATTTATTTCCTTCAACTAATCAGCAATGTCATAAAAAAAAGTTTTTTTTAAAAAAAAATAGGACAAACAGCTTGTTTACAAGTAATATATTTGGCTATAACTACAACTCAGTCATACTTTGATTCCAACAAGATAAAACAACAGCCCCCCCCCCCAACATAAACAACAACAAAGAAAAAAGCACAAACATAACAATAACATTCCACTTGAACACTTGTTAGAAGAAATAAAATCCATCGTCAGATCATGACATTTAAATTCTTATCTAGAGATCTACACACTACTTGTTCCCCTGACAGAAAGTTTAATGTTCAAGCTGTTTTAATATCAAATACAATGACAATGGACAGATTGTAAACAAGCAGTGGGCTTATTCCAGATTTAGCATTGCAAGAATTTAGTTAGGACCTGCTTGTAATCCATAAAACGCATACAGTATCAAGTCATTTCAAGGATACCAGCAACACCAATGTGTGCAGTACAAAGCTGAGCTCTCATACACAAGTAGCATAAAACTACAAGGCTACCACACACAGACATGCATGGTGTATAAAAACTACAATACAAGAAGGCTACCAACCACACAAAAACATACAGCATAAAGTAACGATAAAGCCACAAGGCTACCTGGCACAGAATAGTCTATTAAACTACAATACAAGAAGGCTACCAACCAAACAAACATACAGCCTCACTAATGCTGGGTAGCACATAGCAATATCCAGACTAACTATACATGTAGCATTAGGCTACAATCAAGTTACACTACCCAGAGAAGAACCAGATTAGAAAGAAAGACCATGGTACAGTATAACCAGTGGTATAACATCCTGACTAACTATACATGTAGCATTAAGCTACAACCAAGTTACACTTCCAAGAGAATGACCATAGAAAGAAAGACTATAGTACAGTATAGCCAGTGATATAATACAAATATGGAAGCTGACGCCAAGTTAGTCAGTTTGCTATTGGTACAGAAAGCTTAGCAAATGACTATTTAAAATCATCATGATCATAAGAAGGAACGAAACTTGATTACAAGAAAAGACGAGTAATGTAAAGCTGTATGTACCATTGTTCAAAAGCCCTACCAAACTATCCTTTACTATGACCCAATTCAGAAATGATTTTAAAATATGTCTTGAAGGCATTAAATTAATCCACAAAGCTTTTGAAAATTGAGAGCTTAGCTAAAATATTCTGACAAATGTAGCCACTTGCAAATCAAAGGTCAAAACAATTTTAATCCAACTCAAGTGATTTTGTGAAAACAAACATTAACAAACAACAAAAAAGGGAAAGAATTAAATGAAATAAAGATAGATAACAAAAACACAGAACCAATATTGCAAGTATACCAGAAGATATCTGATGGGCATGAGGTGTTCACTTACTTCAAATTCCTGGCATATTCCATTTCTACTGCTGTCCTTTCTTTCAGAAAGTGATTGAAGCGCTCACAGAAGTCAATGCCTCTCTGTGTGAGAGAGCTGACATTGTCCCACTGATCCTGGTAAAAAAGGAAACAAAAAAAATATTATTTTATTAAACCAAAAACATTTTGAAACCCTGCTCAAGTACTGACCAATGGAAACACTGCTCTAGTATTGGCTAATTTAACAAAATGGTCTGGTCTAAAGAATAATAAACAGCCTGTATTGTATTTTATTTTTATCTAATCTCTCCACACTCTATACACAACATTAAATTTAATATTAAATAATAATTTGGCTTGATTTTTAAAAAAATAATAACTATATCAAATATGTGACCCCAGGCTATCATAGCAGTGGTAGAAACACACTTTAGATGATAGCAGAAATAAGAAATTACTAATCACCAAAAAAAAGTTTCTACAACAATGGGATTCTAAAAAAAGGTCAGAGGTCAAAATGAAGTGGTGGTACACTTAAGTCAATGAAAAAACAACTAATTAACTTAAGATAGCTAGTCTACACAACTTGAATTCATGAGAAATCTAGTCTGACAGCATTTTTCAAACTAAAACACAGCAACAATAGTCATAGGTGTTAGTACTTAAGAGAACTTAGTATTACATATTCTTAACACAGTAAGAGTTTTAACATTTGCTACATCGAAATGGCAGAAATTTAAAATTATATTTGTTAACAAATCTGAATGAACACTTTGCCAAAGTTAAAATCAGAGGCCAAATTAGTATATAAAATTGTCATGCCAAATAAGATACTAAACAGAAGATATATATATTCAGTAGATTAAATTTAACTACACAGGGAGCCTGCATTGCAAACTACGAGTAACCTTATTCCATTAAAGTTTATAAAAATATGACATACATGGGCTATACAAAAATTTTATGAACATCACTAATTTTACAGCAGAAATAGTCTGGCTCTCACACACTTGGAGTGGTAATGAATATCCACTCCAAACTTACTTTTAAAAGGTTAAATAACATAAAATCGTAGTAACAATTTGCTACGTTTTGTTTGAGAGATGCTTTTCCTTTACGTATATTATGAAAGCATCCCAAATGTTTAAAAATGTGTAAGAATGAGAGATGTACAGCCATTGTTGGCAACCATTTTGTCTATGGCACTTGTAGTTTAAAATTAGTTATTATCAAGCAGAAAGTCATTACTTTAACTGATTACTACTACTAGCATTGGAAATCCTACGAAATTTTTTAATGGGGCTCTTGATGTTTCACCATGAGGCCTATCAAGTCTTTGTGATCAGCAGCTGATGCCAAAGGATTATGTTCTTACATAAAATAATCCAAATCAAAAGTTAAAATAGATAACATAGCAATGAATTAAAGATTAACTGCATAAGTCCTTCATTCTCTTGGTAACAGCAACTAGATCTAGGTAGTTTATTGAGTATGCTACAGAAAGTGCGGATATAGGTGTACAGCCTAGAATGAGTGATTTATGACTGAGGCCTAAATCTTTAGCAAAAAAGCTTGAGTAGCTAACCGTATTTACTACATCTGAGTGTTGGTAGCATACCAAATAACATGATTGACTAGCCTAAACTAAATGTCTTTTATAGTGATTAGGATAGGTTCACTTTCATTCAGTTTCATTGGCTTTTAAAATTTTGTGTAGCCTATCTGGCTTAGCTTAACTCAGTTAACTGGCTATCTAAATAGCTAGGCCAATGCCGCTGCCGAGAAAATCGGACAAATCGGCTTTTCCCTACCCCCTGCATGTTTAACTCTGTTTTTTGCATGCTTTTATTGTGTTTATGTTAACATATTATACATCATTCTGTTCGTAATTGAACAACCTTTTTAACTGTATAAGTTTGATTTCTTTATTATTTCAGACGTTGAAGAAATCGCCGATTTAATCGCATTTTTTACCCCCCGCGGCGACGTGCCGTTTAGGGGGGAGGCTTTTTCACCTTTTTAAAAGAGGGGTGTTACTTAGAGTCTATAGACTCTTTGAGTTTTCGTACTACAACAGTGAAACTTGGTAGAAGAATAGATTAAATGTTCACGTATAACGCTCAAGGTTCTTGGGGAAAATATGTTAAATACTTTTGGAGATATCGAACGGCAAAGTTGAACTAAGTTATTTGGGCTATTAATGAACCGATTTTTAATTTGAACCTTGAGCTGTATTCCTGAAATCTCGACGTTTATTAATATGTATGATATGTCATATTAGGCCCTATAATAAGGACGTCTATAGACTTTGAAGTGGACCGAAAATCAAAACATGACGCGCCGACCGCTGTCCGACTGAACCGCTCGGCTGTGCTTCGAATTGCTGTGTTTTAAATATGACGCGTTACAATTTTTTTTTATAGACGTATCGAGTTTACGTACTACAACAATCAAATTTGGCAGACGAACAGATTAAATGTAGACGTACAACGCTCAAGGTTCGTGGTCAAAATAAGTTAAATACTTCGGGAGATATCGGACCGCAAAGTTGAACTAAGTTTCCCGGTCTATTATTTGACCTATTTTACATTTGAACCTTGAGCTGTATTCCTGAAATCCCGCCGATTATTTTAATGTATGACATGTATTATAACACCTCGTAATAAAGCCGTCCATACATTTTAAGACGGAACGAAAATAAAAATTAACGCGTCGGCCGCCGTCCGACTGAATCGTGATCTACACATCGTGTAGCACAGCAGAGTGTGTGGTCACGTGCCGCTAGGCGGTCGATCCGATTGGATGAGACTATAAACAATTTCTAAAGATAGATACGTGTGTTCCCGTATTTGACTCGTCGGGTATTGCTATTTTATATTTAAGTAGACAGGCATGTTTCATAACTTTGTTTTAAACCATTGAAACGGCAAAAAAAAGTCGTAATAGTATTTACTAATCGTCAAAATTAATCTTCTTTAGAAATTAATCCGGATAGCTGCGACCCGACCAAACAATGCTGACGTGATTCGCGTGCCGTAACGTTTCATTATTGTGTACATTACTTTTCCTTAAAAATGGCTTTAAAAAATAAATTAAATTTTACCCCGGGCTCTTTTTTCGGTTGACTAAAAAATTTTAAAACCCTTAACAACGTGGAGGTTACTAGCTTGCCAAATCGACCAAAATGGGATGGGGTGGGTATGGGGAGTCACTGACCATCCTACACGGTTTGTAACTATTGTAACACCGTATGTAACATCCATAGCCTCACCCCGCCCCCACTACTCCGTGACGCGACAAGCCGAGGGTCGGCGCCTTTGATGTTGTATAACACCCGTACGGTACCCGAGCGGCTCGCGGTGGTTTCATACCCCACCTCCCTTCCCCTTCACTTTGTGGAGTTGATGTTACTAACCCTCGGGCATAGATCAGGAAATCTTCCCAGACTTTTGTCTCTAAAATTACGTAATATTCGTCTGACACGTTCATCGGGTTGGCCGACTAGCCTATCTAGCCTCGTGTTTACGTAATACGGCAATAAAATTCGTTGGTCAGAAAACCTGGTTACCCACGTCTGATTGAACTAAATCTAGGCAAATGCTGATGGTGATAAACGCCTCCGTGTGTAGCTAGACACGGGAAACTTTTAAAAATACCTAGCATCTACTACACACAGTCAAGCACTCAAACACGTGCTTTTTTTCCTAATGTAATAGGCCTATGGTAGGCCTACAAAATACACACGCTTACAACTAGCATAAACATTGAGCATATATAAATCTATGTTATAGACCTATAACTTACACTACCTTGTACAAGCTAAAAAAAAAAAATTTTCCTCCAATGTTTATGTTATTAAAATTGTAAAAATGAGCAATTTTTTTGTGTTTAAAAATATTACAAAATTGTCATAAAGCACACTGATTCTGATAAGACACATTTGTAACTAGGCTAATTCTATAGAAGAAAGTTGTATCAATGGTATGACATTTAAAGTAACAAGAAATATAAATATAATAAGATATGCCTATATTTTTGGAATAGAGTAGGCCTGTAGGATTGCACATAGATTACATATTTTAAGAAGTTACATCATCACAAATATACTATTGTTAGGCCTATAGCATCCTTCTCTTTGTATTAAAACTGTATTAGTTATCTTTTCTTTAAGTAGGCTATTCACTTAAGTTAACTGGCAATGAGCAAAAGAGATTTTAAAATAAATACATGGTAAATTATGAGCAAAAGGTGCGAATTACATAACCTGACCTTTATAGTTTTGTAATAATGTTCGACCATTTTAAATATCACCATTAGCTTCAGCATATTCAAATGTCATATTATGGTTTAAAACAGTGTTTAATTTAAAGAATGACTTCTTATCACACGTATTATCAGATGTTGTAAAAAAAAATTGAAGGGGGGTATTACATAATCCATGAAATAAGTCTGTTATGTAATCAAAAGACACTTTTTAAAATAGCATCATTGGATTCGGCATACAAAAATCTACAAAATATCATAAAATGACATCAATTGGTGAAGTCTGCTTACTTTTATACCACTTTTAGTGAAAAACTCTTAAAAATTTGGTCCATACCCTCCCAGTATTTTTCCTCTTTCAGGGTCTACCCCGGTTGTCTGAAAAAACTGCTGTTTTTTAATGACAAAAAAATTCATAACTTTTTTGTTTATGGTCAGATTTTGAAAATTCAAACTGATCTGTAATCAGATTGACAGCCCCTATCTAAATATGTAACTATTATATTGTTTTACTGAAATTAAATTTTTGCATTGGCCTAGCTAATCTAAATGCACTTTCACCAAAACTATGATTGAACTAGTTCTATATATCTAGATCTAAGTCTACTACAAGATCTAGATAGACTTAACTCTAGAGATTCTATTGACAACAATAAAAATCATAATGACACTGGCCGACAGGTCTGCAACAGCTTTAGTGACTTTAGTTAGGGAGTTTAGTCTGTGCTTTCGGCTTTAGATTTTAGAGCTTAAATTCGTTCAATTACAAGCACAGGCTTCGAAAAGCCAACGCATCTGGAATAGTTTAAATTGAGCTTATGCTATTCTAATAAAAAAACATCGATTACAGAAATTATAAATCTCTACTTTAGTTAGTGACTAGTGAAATGCCTGCATCGAATAAATCAAATCGCGGTAATCTATCGTTTTGGGTACGTAAAATCGCCCGCGACTTGTTATGTGAAAACCAGGTGACTCCTTAAATTTTAATAATTCTTTCACATTTTGAGGAGGATTTATGTTTTGAAAAATACAAAAATGTTTCCTTGTTTCATTTAAGTACCTGTTTTTATTCAATTGAATTAAAACTTTTCAGTAATAAATGAACACCAGCGATGTTTCCAACCAGTGTTTCTTCCAGACATTTTTCTCCGGGGGGGCACTTGAAATCTTCGGGGGGGCGGTAAACTTTCTTCGGGGGGGCGGACACTGTTAAAAGTATATATTTTCTATATAAATTATATAAATTTCATTTCGTTCGGGGGGGGCGGTAAAAATTTTTCGGGGGGGCTTTGCCCCCCCGAAGAGATGCCTGGAAGAAACTCTGTTTCCAACAGATACAACCATGCTCATTTACTATAGTAGCCATCTTGTTAAAGTTTTATTTTTATAGACTTCAAGCGTGAGATTCAGGCGGAAGTCACTCTATTTTACAAATGGCTGCTGTTTATATAGCAAATCTTGCTTGCAGACACTGCTGTTTAAAGTTAATTTCTGGCCTAGAGTAAAGTTCCACGCGCGGTTAAAACACCGGTGCGATCATCGCCTGTTTATCGCTTCGTACAATATTTGTTTTGATGTTTTATACGAAACTACCGATATCTGCTGTAAACCTGTCCATTTCTAAATATATCCAGGTCAAATTCTTTTGTTTTTCTCCTTCTGGAAGTCGAGTTTTTAAATTTTAAAGTTTCGAGGTATGACGTCGTAGGCGGTTCTAGTTCCCCCTATGAAAAACACTAGGTCCCGGATGAGATGAATAAAACCAACTAATCAAAGCTTTTTATAACTAGGTTAACTATAAATAGCTTCTACAATATATGCGGGACACTTTACATACGATAGATAAGGCTAATAAAGCAACCTGATAGGTAAATAGGGGTGGCCGCAGCTTGGGTGTCGATTACGGTGGTTTCACATCGCTGCGTAACCAACGACTTGAGCTAGACTAGCCTAGTTCTAGATGCTCTATATTTCAAACTAAGCCTAGAATCTGTATACTTTCTATTTTTTTCTGCTGTTTTAAATTATTTCGATCATCTACTTCTTCTAAATCTAGTTTGTGTCTCTACATACAAGCATATCTAAGCAAATGTTACGTTATGTCTTTTAGTGGTTGTTACGTCCCTTTGTTATGATTATTATAGTTGCGTCCCTTGAGTCATCACTGGGTCAACTTTTAATGTCTTTAATTAATTTAATTAACATGTTTTTAATTATTATTTTTGCAATCTATTAATTAATAATACAATCAACAACACGTTTAAGTGTGTAAAATATTTATTTCAATTATTAAAATTGGATCAAAACGTATACAATACGCTCGTTGGCAAGCAGGTTCTTGCGTACGCAGGCAAAAAAAAAAGGGAAAAAAAATATCGCAAGGAGGGACGTCACTAAAACATGAATATCTTAAATACTATGCGTAGGAATACAAAATGACTCATACATATTACAGTAGAATGGCAGCGGAGTAATACAGTGCTTTCGGTTTGTTTCTGTGTGAAACGGTTATAAAATAGCGCCCGATGAAAATCGGGAATTTGGAATTTTCCGCTATGTGTGACCGCGCGTGGAACTTTACTCTATATTGATATATTTAGCCATTGATTTAGGTTTATTATTCATTTATCTATAATATTTGACACAAACATATCACAATATACTTCTATTACAGCCTTGATAATGAGGTAACGTTTTCGTACATTAATAGCCGCGAGCGATTTTACGTACCCAAAACGATAGATTACCCAAATCGCTTTTTATTTCTGGCATTTTAAATTATTTTAATTTCATTTATTTTATAAATAAGAAGACAACGCTGATTTTGCTTAAGTATTAAAAAATCTGAACTTACCCACAACTCCGTTCCCCAACTCATGGCTATTTAATGACCCGTAAGAGTTTTGGATTGAATTTCAACCATACACTTGTCCGACTATCTATCACCTTCCTCCTACTTTCCTATCACCAAAATTAAACATGGCGGACGAGATGACTCACGTTTCGTCTCGCGGCAAAGCGAGAGATGTTGCTCAAAATAAATGCAAGGAAATTCTACGTATTGATCCACTTGTATTATGTAATCACGAAATTTCAGTGAGAATATACTGTTTTTTGCATGTAAAAAGACATGCAGCCATACAAGATATATGAGAAATTAATAATAAGTGGTGAAGTAGCTACCCTCGGCGGTGGATTTATGGTTTGGAAAACTACCGGTAGACCAATAGGCCTTGTATTATTAGGATATACCAGGGGAAAATACCAAGTAAATTTTAGATGGTCAGAAGAGAATAATAAGGTAGTCTCCCGTAATTAATGGCAATGACTGGAATAAACAATGGCTGATGTTTACAACGAATTCGTAAGAAATGTCTGAGACGCAATGTTACCAAGTGGCATATTATAGAACTACTCGCTTGAACTAAGAGATTTTTCTTTATTTAAAGCTTGCTATTATAAAAGTATTAAAAGTTTGTATGTCTATTTTAAAGTAATGATTAGTTTTAAATAATTAATCATATCTATTTATAACAAACTTTTATAAATATTAGTTTATTTTGACGGAGATATATTCGCAAAAGTATATAATAGCAAATCGATTGTTTGTCACTTGGTTCTATTCCCTGTGTTATTTTAAAACCAAGCAAGAAAACAAAACACGATTACGCCATCACACTGATTTTTAAAAATGCGTTGCACGTCATCGGGTTTGTAGTAAAAGAAATGGCGTACATCAGTGAAAGCGAGCTTCGAAAAGAAAGGTGAAGATCAGATTACAAACATAGATGTTATTTTGCTTTCCGACTCTAGACTTCAACACATCTGTCGTCATTCATTTCTTGTAAAAACATCAGTAACAAACCATAGTGTATTATTAGACTTTTAAAATGGTAAAGTATTAAAAAGCTGAAACACCCTTGTCATCTAAGAAAGAAGTTTTAATCACATCCTGTAAAGTTAATGATAGGTGTATGGGGAGAATGAGTACATTGCATGTAGATTCAAAAGTCAAAGTCGAAAGCTTTTAACAAAAACCTGTGTGGATTTTAAAAGTTAAAAGGTGAACCACCAACATCATGATTGAATATCGAAAGCGCGCGAGATAATGCGAGCTTCTGATGCCTTGAAATGGAATATGAACCAGGAGAGTCTCATCATCCCAAGGCCGAGTCACGTGGGAAGCAGGACTTCCTGCGCCATCATGCAGGAAAAAACAAAAGAAAAAGAAATGCAACTTTAACGCAGGAGAGTTACAGTCTTCATTTCGAAGGACAGAGGTACCGTGATGGAAATACGGAAGCCCCTAAGCCGGAATACAGGAATAACATGGCAGATATTACCTATATGGAAAACCACCGGCCCAATAAAGCAAGTTACACCATGTATTCGCCTATATTGGATAGAAAACCTGGACCAAACGCTGTTTCTAAAACGGGAGATTTCTGCAGCAGATCAAAACTAGAAAACGATAAAGTGATCCCCCATCATGAACTTCCGAGATGCTGTTGTTTGCATGATCATGACAGCGAATCTTCCGGGACCAGCCAGGGTCATTTGATTTCGGCATATGATAAGAACACAACAAAGAACTGTAAGCTCTCTACCTCCAGCAACTGGAACTGTGGGATCAACCGGAAAATCGAATACCTCCGCGCTAAAGAAAGGCAAAGCGACCCAGCGCTTGTAAAGCGGTGCCCCCAAAACAGCCACAGTGAACCAAAGCAGTATGAGATGGCTAAAAATTTTACCCACTTGTGCGATTCGGATAGCGATGCTTCTGACAAATCCACTTCGAATACAGCGAGTGTGAACAGCGGCAGGGGTATTCATAAAAGCGATGGCTACCACGTGAAAACGTTTCGTTTGAAAAGTGATGCATCACCTTGTGATGTGAGCCCCGAGAACCATCCGTATCGACGTTTAGAGCGGAAGCACTACATCAGCAACAGGAAAGGAAAAGGGGATAAGCACACTGCTAAGGATGAAAGGTCAAGCCTCGCTAAATGTGATGTCAAGCCTTTCAACACAACCATCCTGTATGACGTCAAACCCTTCAACAAGAGCACCTCTGGAGTCAAACCGTGCACAGCAGCAACCGCAACTGACGTCAAACCTTACTCTACAGCCACGGTATGTGATGTCAAACCTTACTCTACGTCTACCGTATGTGACGTCAAACCTTACTCTACGGCGACCGTGTGTGACGTCAAACCCTACAGCGTATCAACGAGGACACGTGACGTCAAGCCCACCATTACAGCCGCACCCCACGAAGTCAAGCCTTACACCCCAGCGTGTGACGTCAAGCCGCACGGCGTCTCCACCAGACGTGACGTCGGACTCCCTGCCACAACTCATGAGGTCAGGCCTTACACGGCCGAGTGTGACGTCACCCACCACAAAGCATCAACATTTGACGTCGAGCCCAACAGCACTTTGCGAGAGGTAAACAAACAACCACGCAGACCTAACCCGACTCCACGCGATAGCAAGTCTCTTCCTGATAAGAAGAAAGACACCTTACACTCATTGGAGAAGACGATAAACGCACACAAATATCTTCCTGCTCCATACATCGATGTATCTTCTTACCAAGGTGACGTTGAGAGCGTGCGAGCGGCATCCAAAGTTTGCAATCACTTAGACCCCCATCGTCGGGAAGACTCCGCTAGAACCCCGTGGACTTGCACAAAGTGGGTCGACCAGGGTGACAAAGCCTGGACCTGCGAGGTATATTCGGACACAGCGATTCCGGAAGTAGCCAGTGCGCATGTCGTCAAGACCTACATTGATAACCGGAAACCGAAACCAGATCAGCAGTATCAGCAGCAGAGATACGCTACGTGCGATGAGGTGAAAAACGTTGCACAGTGCACCATGGGGAATATGGACGAATCCAAATTGGCGAGAAATCCGGGAAATTCAGTTGACGCAAGCCGTCAAGCCCAACAGAGGAATAGCCTTTCCCACACTGAACTCAACGGTCGTAATGAGTTCAAAGGTCAAGGTGAATTCTCGCTCCTTATGAAAGACAACAACGCAAGTAACACGCACATACACGAAGCTCCTTACGGCAGTGAGGCTCTCCGCCTTATAGAATCCCAAAACTACTTCAACGAGGATATAAAAGAACAAACGCCTTCGCATCATTCAGAGAACAAGATCGGGTCATGGATCGAGAATAAACTCCGACCGAACCAAACCTTAACCATGGAGAACAGTCAAGTCGTCAGCAACCCTGCGCTAACCAGCTGCTCCCAGGGTCAGTACATCAGCTATCTTACATCTGAGACCTTCAAACCCACCACTGCAAGCGACGCCAGCAAAAAAAATGACACAAACCTACAACAAAACAACCAACACTGTCCCGAAGATACAAAACATTGCCAGAACAATGAACCAACATCGCCGAATGATACGAACATGATGCAGTGTAAGTACGAGAAACGCAGTTGTCTGACTGGTATTATTGAGAAAATGAGCAAAAAAAGCCAACGAGCAAAAAGTGTGGACAAGGCTACCCAGAGCGAAACGGTCTACGCCATCATCGCGGGGCATCCAGTCCCAATCATCTCCTCCTCCGATACCGACAACGCTACATACTACACCGCCAGTACTTCCGGTTTCGACAAGAACCAAACTTCACTGAGAAGCTCCGTTTTAGCTGATATTCCACACATCTTCGAAAACCGCACCAGCACTGATATACAGGATAAGATCTCCTACGAGGAATACAAATCTGGTCGAAAGAGATACGCTGAGAGGCAGGAGAAGAGAACTGATTACGAAATAGAGGAGTTAACTTACGAAATAGAAAACAACACCGATAAGGGCAAGCAGATACACTGCCGCTCCAAGTGCCACCTACCGGGCAAAAAATACGGTCCAAATATCAAACCACACTTGCATTTTAATTACACTAAAAGCTCTGAAGAAAACAAACTCCGAAAAAAATCGCCTCTTCGATTAAAACCCGAAAATGATCTTTCATATACCAACATCTCGTACGTAGATAAACAGACAGTGGGGGAAGTACACACGACAAATGATGGAGATTATGTAACGTGCGAAGAATCCAACCCGAAGCAAACCTCTAGCTCTGCCTCCAACCAGCAGACGACGATTCGGGATCCTAGAAGAAAGCAGAAAAGCCCAGACATGTCTCAAGGTGCTAAGCGCAAAAAGAGACGCAAAAGAAAAACCCCGGTGCCGCTGTCTGCCAAAAGCTCCAAAGTCTCCGTCTCCGACACCAGCGTCTACAAAGGGAAACGCAAAAAGAAAAGGACACCAAAGACAGCTCGCTCGGCCACTGACCAATCTAGCCTACCAGTTTTTGTTATTGCCAAACCCGGATCATCAGCCCACAAGTCGGTTTCTAAGGTTGACCAAGACGCCGCAACGAAAACGGAGGTCCAATATTCCCTGTCCTTCGCCCGTCCGCCACTTCCCAGCGGGGGGAAGGGAATGGAACCCGTCCAGCGCACGTCAACACCCACCGAGCCTTATAAGATGGACGGCATGTTGATTATTCCAAACCCCAGTTCACGAATAACCCGACGCCTGGTCGAGGGATCCAAGGAAAAAGAAAAGAAAAAGGCGACTCAAGTTGTAAATGTCCCAACGTTTTACAGAAATGTCGAACAACAGTGTTCAACAAATGAGCTTCTACAAGATGGCGGGCGACGGAGCGACGACCCCTCGGCTTTTACATGGCCAAGCGGGGCGCCGCGCATAAAACGCCAACAACATTACCGCCAAGAAAAAATATCAAGATACGAAGAGCAGAATCCAAGCTCTGAAAGCGAGCAAGTCAGTACTATTAACACGAATGAATTAAACGCATCCATAATGCGACTTTACGAAGAGATTCACAAACTCAAACTACAGCTGGACGCCTCAACTGATGCATCTTTATCTTCCTGTGGGCCATACTTGGATCACTACGACGTCTCACCTGCCAGCAAACTGAATAAAAAAGAACGTGACGAAGTGATGAAAAACA